ACTCTTAAAAACAATAATAAGTGAATAAAAGTATCTAAATCGTAAACATAATATCAACTAATTATAAAATTAGCATTAATAATTATTAGCTATTGAATAACCACCTGGCTCTCGTAGGAAACATAGCTACGCAAGCCATGTTGCCTACTACGAATGCCTAAGAGGAGGGACACAACTTGATTCCTTTTTTTCGTTCTATTTTAATGGAATGATCTAATTATCATTTCTAAAGTGATAGTTAGGTTTCTTTTACCAAATTGGAACAAAAGAGAATGGATCCTTGTTTCCTTTGCTCGAGGTACGCGTCTGTGCGACTGCTGTGTATCTCATCTTTTAGATACTACAATCTTACCAATTACGCTCGCCTGCGCGCTTGCCTCCTTTGCTGGCTACGACAGCAGCGACTAAGTCCTGTAGGGGGTTCTTCCTTACCTAAACAGACCACTGCGATAGGTGGAGCTTTCAGTGGTAGCATCGAAAGCAACTGTTGGATCAAATCTTATGATTCTTCGTTCAGATTGTACACTCTTGGTTACATCAAGGATTCATGATAGGGCCCCCAGAATAATCTCGTAAAGCGGTCACAACATATAGACCCGACGGTCAAGATTCGTCGTTGGACTTGCTTTGTATTCTCTTACAACGACGCCTTAATTCAAACCTAATTTAGGTGCACTTACCAGATGACCATCCTTGGGGATTTAAAGCACAATGTAGTCTTATAACAAACTTGTGGTGGTTAGCAACCCACTAGGATTGTGGCTTTCGTGACTTGTGTTGAAAAAATTGAGTAAGCTCAAGGTATTTGCTTTAAACTTCTAAATAAAAGTTTATTAATGAAAGATTACCCGAAGATTCTTAATATGGTTGCCCTGCGAGATGAGAGCGAGATCAGGGTATACGCTAACCACGGAAAGCGCTAAGTACGGCCGACATCGAAAGGTATGCTTTTAAAAATGGGAAAACAAGTCACATTAGATCTTCATGAGTTGTAATTCCTGTAAGCTGTCTATCGAACTAGCACATACATGTTTAGTTTGAAAGAGTTAATATCCAACACTAGCCATTGCAGCCTAATGATTCAAGTACAAAAACACGGCGCTGATACACTAGGATGATTGCCTACCTGACTCCTTTGACTGCCTGTTTATCAAAGTGACTAAGTAGATCCCTTAGAACTAACTTGAGAATGGCTCTAAGGGCTAAGTCGATAGAATTAGAGTGAATTCGTGAAAATATAATCTTATATCATGTCGATTCTATTAATAATAATAAAAAAAGTACACTATTAGCATTGCATCTAAATACTAACAAACTAGTTGAAAACTGGTGATGTTTGTATATTTGTAGAAAATCTAATAATGTACTGCCTGTTATTTCTATAGAAATATACTGATACAATAATGTTACTTACTATTGAATACTATATTTGACATTGTTACCCAGCAACAAAGCAAACAAGTAACGACCTTATTGTAGAATAAAAAATTAATAAAATTAATAAAATAATATAATAAATTAATTAAATAATATAATATAATAAAATTAAAATAAACTATAATTAAGTTTAGAATAATATTTTTATACTTATGTTACTGACTATTAATACTACTTTAGTCAGAAAATTAGTATTTTTGCATAATTAAGCTTCTGAAAACCTCGCATAAGAGATTAGAGATTTGTTCTCTAGTCTCGTTGCTTGCCCGTGTCCTGTGCTCGCAATTTATCTTAAAACTTTGCGCAAGATACACGTAGGCAAGCTTTGTTTTCGCTGAGACAACAGCGGTGTTAGGCGTCGGCCATCAATTAAAGCTCTATTTAGGCAGCAGTATAGGTTGGTGCCATTAATGGTAGCACTAGGCGCTCATTGTGCCGACTGTTGACTTGAATCTAACTTATGAGCCTTCGCAATGGCAATGTACATTCTTCATGCAAGTAACGGTTGCTTTTTACGGACAGATGCATCGCCCCACAAATGCTTGTAACAGACAAGCCTATATATAAAATTCGCGTTAACCAGCGCGTTATTCCTGAAGGCACCTGGGGGTAAGCTCTCTGTTTGGTTACTTTTTGCTAAACATGGCAAGCTTCCGTTTGAGGCTTGGATTCGTTGTGACAATTAAAACCAAAGAATCGTGATTATGGCACCTTCCTTAGCTGACCTCTAAATTCATGGTGAGCACGCGCTGAGGGGAGTCGTGGTGGTAATCTAAACTCGGTTCGAAAGAGATTCTATTAAAGATGGTAAAAAACTTCGGTTCTTCCTGTTTACCTTTACCGCCGTATGAAAGTAACAGTAATAAAAGGACAAAATGGGAAATATTTATTCCAGTTGAATCTACTACTAGCGGCTTTATATGGAATGGTTACCTCAAATGAGGCAAATAAACAATTTTTTTCCTAATCCCATTAATTATAAAAACATGAAGCAACTACTCTAATTAACTCTTTTCACCTAACATTTCTTTCAGATTAGTAAGGTTGTTTGTAGGCTATCATAAGCTTAAATTTATTGATTTCTTCGAGTTCGTCAACTCCGATAAAGTACCGGAAAAAAGAATCTTTTCTTAATTAATTATATACGAATATAAAGACAAAAAAGATTTTGCTTCTACTGTTCTTGCACGCTTCACCAAACTGAAGAAATAGTATCAAGTTATCTAAAGGAATTATCACAATATGAACCATTAAAATTTTTAAAAATTTACTACTGTAGCCTTTTTATAACGTTAAAATAGAATAGTAAAAAGTCTACGTAAATAACATTATTGACAAAAAGAAGTCATCATAATAATATTTCTAGTTAAAGAAAAAAGTCTTTAAAAGGTTCGGCGCAAATCCACTCGAGTTGGGATTTATAAGACACGTTAGCTTTCTACATATATTAGATGCAAACAAGGGTATCATTATATGTGCAGTTAATAGTAGAATCATAAACTGCCAGATTCAGGGAAACACATTTAAAAAATTATTAAACTGTTACAAGAAGTCAAAGGATTTTCATGGTAGCACTCGCATAATTAAATTACAACTTAAATAGTAACAGGGTTTCTTACTCTCCTTAAAGTTTTAATAACTAAAGCATATTCCTTAACACGTTAATAAATATTGCCTAATTTTTTCAATTCTATTTCTTTATTGCGTTCTAATAGTATTAATTTTTGCTTAGAGGCATCAAGGGAGCCAAAGGTAGTTAACAAATTACATTAATCTTCCATAAATATCTTTAGCTTGAGTTTAGCCACGTGCACGTGTTACCCACTAAGGATCACGACATTCAACGCATTGCTTTTTATATTTAATACCTTAAAATATGTTCATGTAAAAAGGAACAGCTATAACGGCATGAATGTAATCGTTAGTCTCCATTCCTTACCCAGCGATATCAGCTTAGTAAAATGACTATTAATTAAATTATTACTGAGAACTTTTTTCTCAACAATTAATTACTAGAATGGTATGGGGTAATCCTCTTACTTAGTTACTCCATAGACATTCTATTAGCTAATTATATGATTGATACAAAATAGTGGCGCTATGGGTAACAACACTGCTGAAATATAAAGCAACTCTATTGTTGGCGTTCTATTTACTTAAAATTCATACTGCGTGCCGTGGGAAATCACTTCATTAAAATTACAATACCTACCTTTAGAATTATTTTGGCTGATGTCGTTTATAACTTCCCTTCTCGTAGTACTTCCGTTTCAGCTAAAAAGCCTTTCTTAACCAAGAAGTAGAGAAAAATAGGCAAGATCATTATTTTTCATTGAATTGCTTCGCACTACACCATGGGAGCTTTCCAGTCTCGGAGAAGGGCGTAGTGGCAGTTATTATATACTTGTGCTGTTTGCACCAAAATATTGCACTTCAAATTCCCGTTAGCCCCTATTTCTACGGGCATTAGCCCTCTTAACCGTGCGTCTATATTATTAATTTTAACTTATAACACCCTGGCTAGTCTTCACTAACTCTTAAGCTTAAGGTACGTCTTTAGCCTACACTGTTGAAAATAAAATTTGAGTTGCAAAACCGTTGATAGTGTTCGTAAATCAATCGTTTTACACGTTTGCAAAATGTTAACATTAGCCTATCTGTATTTTTATTTTACTGTAGTAAATTTATTATGATTAACGGAAGAGCCCATTTATTTTGTAATGCGTTTAAAAAAACAATATTGATTCTCATATAAGCTGATTACTTATTTCTGATTGCATTAAACATAAACAACTTTTCGTTTTAGATGTTTTAGCCAAATTACAGTGTTAAGGACTTCATTTTACAGTGTGTTCTTTAGTTGTCTTTGTTTAACAGTTATACGTTTATGTTTTCGTACGTGTGTTCTTTTTAGATGCATATAGAAACTTTGGCAATTTTTTAAATATGACAAAGTTAGTTTGTATGTAATATTGTTATAGTTATATATAATGATAAAGTTAGTTATCAATTTATTCTTTTTTGCCTAGCACGTTTGGAGTGTATGGCTTGAGTAATCGCTAAAAGTTATACAAAAATAATCATGGAAGAATGTTCTATGAAGGAAAGTAAAAAAACTTACGTTCAAATGCGTAAACGGAGTGTGCCTATCAGAAGGCTAAAGCAGCAAGAGCAGAAACCCTTGTTCTTACTTAATCTACAGTTGAAAAAGGGAGATGAATTTTACGCTACTTTACCAGTATATTCGGTTGTCTTTGCTTAGAGTTATAAATATACATCTTATAAAGATAGTTTATTTATCTAGAATGATAACCCATACACTATTGGTAAAATATTTGGTCGCCAAAATGAACTCGACTCGGATAAAGTCGTTGCATTATGTCATTTAATTGAAAGAGAATTGCGTATTAGGCAAAAATAAAGTATAAAACAATAAACTTATAATTTTACACCTTAACGGCTAAAAATTTATCCTTCTACCGTATTTTTCTTGCATAATTTTTTGCATAGATCACATTTTTGAAAATTCCTGCGATTAAGGCTAAGTGAACTAAATTTTAGGTTTAAAAGAGACTTCATTGTTTAAGTCTAACTTTTCAAAGTCATATTTCTTTTTTTCTAAAGCGAAAAACTGATTCTATTAAGTAAGTAATATATTAGTAAAGTCATTGGAGTTTGAAACACCTGAGCGTATTAATATTTTATAAAATACCTTAAAATTATTTATCTTTAAGGGATCTTGTTGCACCTTAGAAAACTGAAAAAGGTTTTCTGGTGAGTCGCCTCCCTGAAAGGAAAAGTTATGGCTAGAAGTATCGCGAAAACTGTTGAAAATAAATAGAAGTTTTTACGGCTCTTACTGGTGACTTACAACAACTCAATAAAACTACCATAGCGCTCTTTTTTTATTTCTAAGAAGACCTTCTCTTGGCAATTCATCTTTATTTGCTAGTCTATCAAGTCCTTTCTTTCTATCAAAAAAGCTATCGCTTTCTAATGCTTTCTCCTGGAAAGAATTTGGAGCTCGTTCTTTAACACTATGTATATAAAATTTTAATTGAGTAAAAGAGATAATCTAAATAAAAGTCATTGTGACCCCTAAATAACAAAAAAAGAAATTATATATTATAAAAAAGTTTTAACCTCATAAATAAGTATGAGCAGCCAAACTAACAATAGGGAGGATGACAAAGAACTCTAAGGGCTATAGTTGAAAGTTAAAAAATTACCTGTAAAATTTGAGGAGGGTTGGATCCGCTTTTGTCCGATAACCTACAATTCTGTAAATAAGGCGGTATTTGACCTTTGGTACGTGCTTATAGTAAAATCCATAGTTTTGCCGCCGTAATTATATCCCTAGCGCTAAGCTTTATAAATATTATCTTTTCAATCAAAATGTGTTATAGGCTGAAAAAGGCTTATTGAACTGCTTCACGCCAACTTTCTAGCTACAGAACCCGACTAGTGCCCGAGTGAAAATCATAATTATTAGAGATAGATGTACATTCTGCTAAACTTAACTTGCATTATTACTGTTGCTTGTTGGGACTGGATACCTTAATAAATGATTTTTGCTCCCTTGAGGAGGGCGTTCACATTTTATAGTGGTGGGAAATATAACACTGGTTCGAGTCCGTCGCCCTTAAGGAAAATTGACTTCTAATTTTAAGATAATGAAAAAAATTAAATTTCGAATTGAAGATAAAGATATAAAGTTAATATGTAAACCATTTTGTAGGGTAAGAGATTGTGTTAAGACTTAATACGTCTACATTTTTGTTTGCGGAAACCTAACAATGTTTAGAAGCACTTTAAAAAATTAGTCGCAATAGAATTAAATATTTGCTGGTGTTATGTTTAAAAAATTTAACATACATCACTTCTTTTGAAAATCGATACTTATCGCAATTATTTTTTATTAGAATAAAATAACTGAAAATCACCTGCTTAGCAAAAGAGGAATAGGCTGTGCTTTTTTAAGGAATAGGATGATACAAACTTAAGTTTAAACCATTAATCTAATTTTCAAGGAAAGCATTACACCACACAACTAATATTAAAATTAGTAAAGGAAGGTTCAAGCCGTTTCATTATAGCTTTTTAAGGTAGAGGAACAGCTTTTATATAATCTATCACAGAATAATACTTATGATTATGGGTGCACCTCCTTCCCAACGTCATTCAATACTAAATTTCAAAACTCGTAATGGTATCGGTGTATTAGTACTCTAGCTAATAGTGCTATTTACTAGTATATTTATATATATAGTTCGAGGCTCCACTATTGCGTACTTCGTGCCCTTACTCTTTCACATAAATTTTTAACGTTTTACGCAAATGACCCATTTTCTAAAATATTCACAATGCCAGCCCTTTCACAGTCTAAACTACAACTAACCATTAACATCTATTAACTCTTCTATTTATGTAAGTTCGACGGCTTATATTGATGCCACCATTCCTTGTCTGTTACCCCCAGAACTTTCTTTCCTCCGCGTCATAATTTTTTTTTTTGCATCTAACGAATGATTGTATTTTTTCAGTGTATGCCAGTTCTTCTTGTTTTTGCTTCTGGTCGAAGGTTATAAAGTTATTTTTTTATGAACTTTTACTCAAATTACCTTATATTATATTGCTCTCTAGGGTGTCTCAAATTTTTTTTATCGCCACGAAGTATTAAGCAGTCACCCACATATGCACCAATTATTATACTTTAGTATTGTAATTTTTTTATTAATGACTCAAACCCTTAAAAAAAAAAGACGAGTAGCTTATTTTGTAAGACGAAGCAAACAAAAATTTGTAGTACGCAATTGTAAATACCTTGGTAGTGTTCTTCTGAAAGTCCCCTAGGTACAGCCTTCAAGGTGAATGAACGTTTATAGATTTATAAAGTTTAGGGTGTCAAAATATGAAATTAGTATAGGCAATGCTTGAATTAAGATTGTAAAATGAATATTAGGCGCCCTTAATTGAAGGTAGTTGCTGAAAATTACGTAAAATTAGTTCTGGGGTGACCAACCCTTTTTTACCATGTCATTTCGTTCGACCAAAAGCATTTCCCTCACTGCAGCTTTTCACTCTTTTAATATCTTGGTTCATATCCATTTACCCTTCCTACCATTTCATATAAATCGAGTAGCAGAAAAAAAGTTTTTACATTTTTTACTTTTTGTAGTATGTGATTTTTCATCAGTAATTTATTATATAATGCATTGAAAAAGAACAATATTATATAGTTTTTTACTTAGAATAAATTTTAGTTGAAGAACAGAGTGAGGCCATGCTTTAAGCTTTTTTCGTAGTAAATAGTAGTTATTTCGTTCAAGGTTAATTTTAAGTTTAGTTTCTGTTTATGACTTTTCCAAGTTCTGAAATATCCTTACGCCATTATTAAGCCTGCTTATTTATCCTTTTTCCCTTTACTAGTACTCTTTTTTTAATATTTTTATTATTGCCCCTCATTATTTATCGCACTATAATTTACGGTCCTTGGATCTTAACAATTTTTACTCATTGCAAACAACTCAGAAAATATTGTAGATACCAATTTGCATAATAATTTTACTTTTTTAAAGTAAATCTTATAACTGCTAAGGTTCTTAAAAAATACTTTGCCTGTCAAAAGTACTTATAGTTGGCTGATACTTGCAGGTTTTTAAATATTAAATGGTTACATATATTATCACTATTACTATTATATTATGTTGTTTTTGGGAACGAAGTAGAAAGCAATAATTCCTAAATTTATATTTTTAGTGTTTATTTCTTAAATTTAACTAATATTAAAGGCATAATAATTATTATTTATTACTACCACAAGATAAAAATAAAACACAGGAAACAAATGATAATTATATAAAAACCAAACGGATTAACCATAAATTAAGAGCTTGTGTAAGCAAAATCTTAAAAACCTCTCGCTTTTCCAAGAGTAGGATCTGTCGGGTTAGGTGGAAAAAGTAATTTAATTAAGAACCATGCGAAGTTGAGTTACGAATGTTAGGGTAGGTGTTTCCGTTCTATACGTAATTTATCGAGCGAGTCCATTGTCACGCAATCTCAAGGCAGCTAACTCGATTCCCCTCGTGCCAACTCGCAATTTTCTATGGTTACTTGTATTAGAATTTAAAGGGCGAGGTTAAATACGCGGTCTTGAGTTTGCGTGTCAATGGTCTTAACCGCTGAGCTACGACGAAAATTTTTGGACTCGGTGAGATGGTTTTACGTATGTAGCCAATTAACTTTTACAACTTCCCTATAACAAAAATTCTAGTACATATTGACTTTTTAGTGGACAACTACAGTTGTGTAAGAGAAGATTTGTTAGGCTGCTATGCCCATATTAAATTATCATTGTTGACTACCCTTCAGGGTGAGATTAAATCTTTATAAGGATACCCAGGCTGCACAACCATCATACGAAAGTTAAAATTTAAATATATAATTTAATCACTTACCATATAACTTATACATTGTTTTTGTTTCCAATATTACTGAGTTTTGTAAGATATTAAAAATTACCTAAAACCTTGAAACTTTTATTAATACTAACTAATAAAGAAGTATATTAGGAAATTTAAATTAGTTATTTGAGTAATATTATTATAAATACAAAAAATTTTCTTTGTTATACCGCAAAAGACTGTCTTTCATCTTATTTCGTAGTCAGTGCATTCTAACAAATTAGATATTCGAGCAACATAACGAGATTAAGGGTACTCGGTTTTACTGTGTACAGATGAGGTCGTGGGTTCTATAATATTTACTTGTAGACAGCCAAGAAACTATACTATTCTATTCAACCACGACAATAGGGTGTGTAAGTTCTTCATGACACTGAGTCCCATTTTATCCATAATTTTATCTTATCTTTAGGTTTTCATACCTCTAAATTTTCAAAAACTTTTGTAACTGTGACATATCGCTTTTTAAACAAGATCTGCGTCTGCAACGAATTGTTGCCGCCCCTCTATATATTAGTTTCAACTTCTTCGTTTGCTTTCTCTTATTAATAGAGTTGACCTTATTTCTTTGTTTTTTTAAAATCAATAACCAATTGTCTTCTTTTTAACTAATAACTATGCAATTCTTTTCTTTAGGATTTTAATATCTAATTCGGATCTTCTTTTAATAAATTTACAGGTTTCTTATAAGGTAAAAACCTAGCTAAACTTTGCTAAACTTTATTAAGTAATTACCAACTAATTTAAGTAAAAGCATGCGTTGGGACGCACATGTATGTGTGAAAAATGTAAAATGCACTTTTCAACAATTATTCGGGGTTTAACCTAAAAATATATTACGAAAGGATATCCATAAGTACCCCTATAAAGGCACTGATTTTTATTGTGTTAAAAACTTTTTTCCTCTAATCTCCTGCTCAAGACTTTGAAAGATGGGCTACTTATTAATTAAGTACGCAGCTCGCTAACTCGCAAAATAAGCATAAATAAAATTTTATATAAACCACTAGAATTGGAGGCGAGGAGCGGACTGCGGCCCCTCGGGATACCGCCTTTTTTAGATGGAGGTTTTAAAACGGTACTTTACTACTAGCCCAAATGTCGAGAAAAAAAAATCTTAATATTTCTCCACCAGTGCACCTTGCTTCAGGAGAATATGCCAGTGGGCATCTTTGCTCAAACCCCTTTTGAGGAATAGATTCATGAGAACAAGAATTCCAAAGTACAAAGGAAAGGAATACGAGATGCAATAAAAAGAAATTTTATAAATTAGTCCGTTTGACTGTATTTAAAATCTTCATAAAAGTTTTTTTTTCCCTTTAATTTTCGTATACTGAAATGTATAATAATGAATAATATTTATGACATTGGTAAGTTTGTACTTAGCGTTCTTTATTTTAATGACCCATATAATAGAGTAGAAATTTCATTTTTCAAGTTTTAATTGAGGGTGAAAATTTTAATTGCTCCAAGTGAAATTCTGTTTAGTGTGTAAGTTTGCAGATCTCTGAATAGTTTACTGACTTTAATATAATTATCCTTGTTAACTTTAAGTAGTTTCGTAGGATTCATGCTATATATATCTGTTTTGTAGTGGTCTCTTATTAGGATACAGTTGAACAGATTTTTCTTTTTAATACTGTAATGTAGTTTTTTCCTGCTAAAAAACGTTAAGGATATTGGTTATAACAATAAATTACTACTGATTTATTGCGTTTTTGTTAACACTTAAACTAAATACTAAATAGGACTGGAAGAAAGCTTAGCACAACTATATTAAGGCCAGTATAATGGTACAGAAGCTCGAAAGACTCTCTTTAATAAAGAAAGCGGTTATAAAATTCACAAAAAAATAAACACTAATACAAATAGAATACAACATCAATAAATTTCTTGCCAGAATTCTGAGTGATATGGGTAAGAGGTAAATATACAATTTTTATATTATTTTATTAAAACAAATTTATAATAGTCTATGCCTCAGGCAAGTGTAATTTTCTTAAGCTTTAGCTAACCACCTTTTCTTACAAAAAAGGGTATACAAGTTTTTAACCCTACAGTAGTCGCAGCAGGTCCCTTAGAACCCTGGAGTCTAAAACTTGTTACTTTTAAATTAAATAAAAACACCGTAAATTTTTGAACACTTGTTTGTTGAAATATTAGGATACAAGCCACACTAAACTTTAACTTCTATCTAATTTGAAAGTTTACAAAACAAAATAGTTTGCAGATCTTGAGACTCCGTGCGAGAACTGTAGGGCTAACAGTATTGCATCACGTGATCTCAGAGGGGTCAAAATAATGTTGACCACGTGATTGTCTCGTGTACACTAAAGTGATAGTGAAATTTATACTCTCCAAAGCTTCTGAATTCAGTGCTTTTTATTTATGTAGGATATCTTACGATTTTGTAATGAAGAGGGAAAAAAAGACAAAGGTTTTTATTATATATCTATTACATTAATTATTTACTCTGCACTATAGAAACAACTACCGAAATTAAAAGTAAACGAATCTAATTTACCTAACACATTTGTTTTTCACCTTAATGAAATAAGTAAAAACGCTAGAATACTCGAAAAAAATCTTAAATATGTTATGGAGCCTTATACTGCTACCAGACTGAAAGTAAATATATTCTTTTCTATTTGAAATATACACTATGTTGGGAACTTAACTTATATATTAAAAACAATTGTTATATGAAAATATTGGCCTTTTTTTAACTTTCAAATAGTTTTTTTATTTAGTTTTTAATTTCAAGTTGATAAAACGTTAAAACGTTATAATATACACACGGACGTACTTGGAAATTTTTATTTATGTTAACAAATCCACATCATGCTACGCGATTTTGCATAGTTATCTTGAAGTATTTTCACGTTTTTCTATGGCAGACAACGTCGTCTTAAATGAACTAGTTAGCTTACTTTCAGTTTAATAAAAGAAGAAAAAACTGGTTGTTAATTTTTACTCTAATTGCTTTATTAGGTTAAACGCCGTAATAATCTTAAAGACTTTATAGCTGTTTCCGGCCCTTTAAACATTACACACTTCTTAATATTATCAGAAACCATGAACAGTGTGAATCTGGTTATATATTATTATAATTTTAAGATTTGACTATAGAGACTTTAGGTTTCCTATAGCGCATTTCTCGCGTACCTCGGGGGCCCACATTGACTTTTGCAATTAAAGAAGTAAATTTTATATATTACATATTTTTTTTCTAGTGGTCATTAAATATTTTAGTATTCTTTAAACTCTGAAATTTGGGCATTAAGCAAGCGACCGTTTGTCCCTTATAAAGAACATTTAAATTCTGCTTTAGTTTATATTTATAATAAAACCAAGTACCAAACCTTTAGTAACATAACCATTTACAGTTGATCCTTAATAATTTTGACCGATCGAAATTTGAACACAAGTTGCTTACGGCCTTTTTTCAGAACTTGTTCCCTCCAGTTGATGTTAAAAATGTGTACTTTCTCCCTTGCTTTTGACGCTGAGCTTGTTATTTTTTTTTTATACAACTATTTCTCTCAATTTTTAGGTACGTCTTAAAAATTTGAAAAGATGCGTTTTATTTGATTACCATAAAGACGGAGATGTAATTTATTTTCGACACTATGCAATATCTGTAAAGCCAAGCGGGATAAACCGTTCCGTCAAAAAAGTTGCTGTACAGTCCAGAGTACCTGATCTGAGCCGCTTTAACGACATTTCTAACTTTATACAAGAGTAGGTCTAGCAAGGCCTTGCTTTTTACACTGTTTAAGACTATTCCTCCTTAAAATCATTCTAGCTCTGGTGTATTTTCTGATAGCGAGGTAGAAGATGAAGACGCCAAAGTGGCGCTCCCACAAACCCTCCATGGTCGTTTCCACCGCTGCAGCGTGCAAGCGACTTCGAATTGACTAGAGAATATTATCTGCAGGAACGGGCAACCAGAAGAGTGAGGTATCGGCCGTTGGGCTAAAGGAGATCGGCCCACGGCTGACGCTGCATCTGTTGAAAATTGTACAGGGAGTCTCTGAGGGCGACGTCCTTTACCACAGTTTACGTTATCTATTTACTTTTATTGTCGTAGCCTTCTTTTTTCATGGAGTTTTGCTTTAGAGCACAAATCGGAAGAAGAAACTCAGCGCATTAAGAGGAGGTTGGCTGAAAAGAAATTGTTGAAGGCTAAGCGCCGGCGTGGTTGACCTTTTTTATGCGCTCGCCTGTGTTTGAAAGAAGGTTCACTTTATTTTAGAGCAAGAAAGAAATGTGGAGCTGAAGAGAAAGCAGAAATTAGCGAGTCAAAGTAAAGACCCTTCAAATAACGATGCGATTGTTTAGCATTCTGCCTTGGCTTTGTGTCTTTAAAACTTATAAAAATGGCTTATTAAAACTCTAAGCGTGTATACGTTATTGTTACTAACTTATTACATGTTATGGAAGTTTAATAAAGAAGAAAAATTCTTTGTACTGGACTTCTGCTTTTATTTAGTCCTCTAAGCAGCCTGCTAGAAATCTCAATCCTTCGGGAATTTTATTTGTCAGTTTTTTTCGGTTGGCAAGTTTTCGCACGGCTTTTGCTGCCAAACAAGTTAGCGATCTAAAAAAAAAACTATAGAGCGAGCGGTGCAAAATTAAAGCTTATTCTTACTGGCCAAACCTTATTTTGTGAACTTCTTTAAAGAGAAGCTCTTGTGCAGGCGTACAATTATTAAGCATTAGTTGTGCGCAAGTGACTTCTTTCCTAATCGAGGCTCCCACTGAAAGCAAAAGCTCTAACAATTCGAGGTACCCTAAGGTATTATGTTAGTACTCATTTAAGTGTTACTGCAAAGTAATAATAGGTCATTGTTCAGTGATTACCATTTTTTGTTGCTATGTTTACTAAAGATTCGTTTTCTTTGTTTACTAGATCTACATCTGCCCCTCTTGCGACTAATTCTTCGACACATAATATATTATTATTGTGCACTGCGCAGGTTAAGGCGGATTCTAAGTCCTCATCTACTAAGTTAATCTCGGCTCCCGATCTAACTAATAACTTAACAAAGTTATTATATCAGCTAGCACCAAATGGTATGTAATATCTTTAAGCCTGTTTACTACCACATTGAAATTTAGTTACCTTGACCATCCTGTGGTGCCCCCAATAGGATGCTAGCATTAGCGCGGTTACGCCGTGATAGTTTCTTTGGTTGACTACGGCTCCGTTATCGATCAAGATCGAAGCAACCTCTGTGTCTCCGTTTTTGGATGCCTCTTGAAGGGCTGTTTGTCCTCGAGAGCTACGAAGTTCAGAGTTTATGCTCTAATAATGACTTTTTAAAGTGGTTTTAAACCTTTTTGCATCTACATACTCTCCACTTTTCAGCAGCAATTCTACGTAAGTTTTTTGACCTAACTTTTATTATTGAAAACATACATTTTAGACCTATAGAAATTTGGACCCAAAGAAGTTGCTATAATAAGTGCTGGCGTAGTGCCGATATCAAACTTTTGTATCATCTTCTCGCTATACAGTTTAAAGTCTTCACATGGTAAGCAGAATAATGGATTTGAGCAAACAAAAGGTTCTGAAAAAAAAAATAATGTAACACAGTGTATACCAAAGTAAAGTCTTCGTTAAGTTTTAATACTTCTTGGAGCGCCCTCCATAAGTTCGTAAAGCCTTTGCCTTCTATAGTAAACGTTTTCAAGAGCGTGTGATAGGTAGTAAATGTCCGTGCACTTTTCACTTTGAACTTGTTTATCCTCGTATTTTTTTATGTTCCGCTTACCTCTGCGAAGTACAAAGTTTTTCCAAACTTTCATTGCACCACACAATTATGTTTATACTTAAATCTTTCAATGCCGATTGTTATGGGATTATCTGCCTTAACTTTGTACTATGTTTAAAAAGCCTTACCAAAAGGGCAGAATAATAATCTTTCTAATTATTTTTTTAAAATTTAAGTTTTATACGTTAGGCTAGGCGTACAAATAAAGTTTCAATAGAAAAATTGTTTTTTTTTAATTACGTATCATATGTGGTCGGTAAATAGTATTAAGTGAACCTTTTTCTTACTAAATAACGTAAGTTATATAACTTTTTGTTACCTTTTATAACTAGACAAAAAAAGCAGCCCAAACTTTTAAAGTCAACTTTTTATTTTTTAAAGTAGTAATTACTTTGGAGTAGCTTTCAAAATTATCTATTTATCTCGTAGTTTAGTATTACATTTTTTTCACTAATTAAAATGATCACTTTTAAGATGGGGCTAACAGGAAAAAACAAAATATTATCAAGGTAGTGTTAGATTTGTTAAAAACAGGAAGGGGAAAAGTTTCATTGCATTGAACAAGGACGAAGGCAACAAGCGACTGTGAAGAGGATAAACTATACATGAAACAATGCATATGCTCGCAAATAGTATGTAAACTGAATAAGCGCGGAAGTTGTAAAGACTCGAAGTAAGAAAGATGGTCTACTTCACAACAAATTTATAGTGATTATTTACAGTAAGTTTATTAGATATAGTTAAGGAGCAGAAGAGTTAAAAAGTTTATTCTTTTTTGCCAACTTAAACTGTGGTTATATGTTCATGATTTCGCTTTTTAAGTTGTATAAAGTTGGTGCAAAAATATGCAACACTTTTAGAAGTTCAAGCTTATTAAATATGAACACTTAACTGCTTATAGACTCCCAACTCGTAAAATTGTAATTTAATAAAGTTAAAACTGGGCCATTATTCTAATAAATTTTTTTTTTCACAACTAATAAGAACAATTACACCGGGCGAAGATCGTTAGGTATACTAACTCTGTTTCATTATTTATAATAACTGTCTTCTTACAACCTTATTATTCTTGATATCATTTGGTTCATGAGTATTATAGCCTTTGTCTATTTTAAGATCAAAATTGCAACTGTTTTTTAATATCTTATAACTCCGGTTTATCGATACCATTTTAAGTAATAAAGAGTTGTTACCATATACTCAGCTATTATTTTCCATTATATTATTTGTAAATTCAGTGTATTACTTAATTAAATGAACTTTATATATATTGTTCGAAAGGTGTTTAAAGGTTATTATTGAACTCTATTACATGTATTTTCTTTTTAATTTAAAGTAAGAAGGAATACAACTCTAAAAAACAATCTTTTCGGAATAGCATATGAAGGCATATTAGATGGACACTTTCGAAAAAAATAATAACCTTTTTCCATGAAGGAAGAGTTTAACAAGTGATTTTCAAAATTTGTGATAAGTATAATATCGCTTTTAAGTTAACCTATAAAGTAACAACCTAATATTGTTTATCTAGTACTTATTTACTTGATTGTTCCCTCCCCTCTGGAAGTCCTGAAAACAATAGTCATCTACTGTTCAGTGCTCTTAACCGAAGATAATTATAAGATATGAACAATAAATTAGTAGGCTTAAATCTAAGGTTTAAAAAGGTAAAAGAACAAGACTCACGAACGGAGGTAAGCGAGTTGAAGCTAATACTAAATAAAAATTTAATCAGCGCTTAGAACAAAAGAGGGCTAGGAGCAGAAAAGGAACCTTGAACTATATAGTGAAACATAGAACGGGTTCATAATTATTTTAATAGTTACAGAGGTAAAAACTTTTATAATTATACGACAGGCCCTTTATTATAAAGAGTTGAAATAATACCATTTGCGAACTTATTTCTGTTCCGCCATTTAAACCAGAAAAATATCTTTAAGACTTTATAAAAACAATTTAAAACGTTTACAATTTTTTGAATACACTTTTGGCGCTCTATATCGTGTTTTTAGATTTCTCTGGTTCCTTAGATGTACCTATTTAAGTTTGCGAACTTTATTTCTCTCTTTTCTCTAATTTTCACTTTTTGCAAGCTCTACCTTCTTGGAACAGCAGAAATGAGCTTTAACCAGGCACTTTGTTATTTCAGGGTTTAGTACAAAATATTAACCGCTACTAATTTATAGAGCGCGGATTATAAACGAATTAGATACTTGTTCAACAAAACATTTAATGCATGTAAAACTTAGGTGAAAACTTAAACGAGCTACATGCGAAAAAAAATATTTCATCATGTGTGTTGTACTGTTTAACTGTCGTACTGGTATAGAAAGTTTTTTAAACAAGTGAACGGAATAGCCCTTTGAGATGGGAATCATTCTTCACGCATTTTAATATATAAATTTTTTGTACTCCAGCGTTTCAGGGTGTCAGTCTCTTCTTTCTTATTATGCTTAGAACACTTCTCCAGTTAACAACGGAGTACAGGAGACAAACTCTAATAAAAAAAACCGTTCTTCTAGCCACACTTAACCTTTTTTAATATCACTAATAAGCCCTTACTTCAATTAGCGGTGAAAGTAAGCCACTCTATTCAATTATTTTATAGATGCGGTATTTGTTAAATATAAAAATGTTAGCTACACTTGCCACGCTGTGTCAAGAAAAGCAGGAAAATATAATAGTATGAGTTGTACCTACCGGCGATTAGAATCATTAAAATTGCAACTTTTTTACCCTTAAAAAACTTTACAATGGAAGCCTTGACCTAATTAAGATGCTTTTACATAAATAATAAAAGCATTTGTGAAATTTCTCCGTAACCCCATAATTAAACTTAACTGGTTCAGCATTTCTATTTCAACTGGCTATTACGCTAATATGACCACATTCTATTCCTGGTGTTAGTATTGTAACTAGCATAAAACATCAGATCAGTTAACTGGACGAGTTCATGTATGTATTGCTATAGATGCCCTAACTCTTAACCTTCTTTTGTCGTTTTGTTCGTCTGTTGCCTCTGTAGCTGTTATATTACATTTTATTTTTATACATATGTATACCATTTTAGCGTAGCGCACCTTTTCGGCGTCCCTTCCAATAAATTATTGTACATTTATAAAGCCTCCCCCTCCTCGCGTCATTATTTTATTATAAGTTTAAATATTATTTGCTAAATTTTTACTTTTAAATAAAATAAAATACTTTTACAGCTCCTCAATACGAAAAGTAAATAAGTTAATAGTCGACTGTCCAATATATATATACCCACCAGCTTGAATTACCATATACGTACAATAAATTAAATTGAACGAGATAAAATTTTACTGTTTAGTAGTTTGTATATCCAATTAGTAAGATAGGTTAAATCAAATTTTTTACGTGATAAAACATTTTCTCTTTGTATTTTTATTGGTTTCTCAGGTTGCTGGTTGGGTTAATCAAGGATCTTTTTTTCTTTGAAAATTTAGAGGGTTAGTGTTTTGTGGTTATGTACGTATTATGGTTGTACTTTATACTTAATTATACAATGTTTTTGTAGTCTGTTTACTTTTGTTTTTCAGTGTTTATCGTTTTCCGTATATTGTGTTTTAAATTGAGTTCCTAGGTGTTGTGTATAGTGTTATTGTGATAGCATGCTTGCAATATTTTATTAACTGTTAATTTTGTACATACGCCGCAAGGTTCTAGAATGTTTTTAAATTTAGCAATACCCATAAGAAATGGATATAAATACCTTAACACAAAAACCCTACAAGTGAAATTTATGTGTGTGCGCGACTGTATTTATAAAGTATACCCTAATAAACACAAGTTGGCTATCCTTTTATTGCCTCCTTATCAGCGCCACAGTAGTTTACAATATGCAAAAAGGGCTAAAACTTGCACAAATTTGTGCACAGCCTGCCGTTAAACCTATGGGTGTTCCCACAATTTTTAGTGTGCCAGGTGCAAAAAATTATCTTCTTTCAACTTTCAAAAAGGCTTACTTAACTAAAAACGCTACCTGGTCCTTTGTAACCACCCCTGGCGCAATACTTCAGAGTTTAAGCACTATAACAAAAGTTAGTTTACGTAATTTATCGACCGGAGAAGTGAGTTTGTCACCGTAGCTCAGTAAACAGAGCATTGTCGCCAAGTCTCAAGGTCGCAGATTCGATCCCCGTCGATGTCTATTCGCATTTTTCTGGTTGGTGCAAAGTGTACAACCTTCCTTTAGATCAAAATTCTAATACACTACATCTGGAGAAAACTACCAGAGGATACTTTTGAGGCTCCAACACTTACTTATAAATGGTTTTGGGTTTATTTTAAAATTTGATGGTTTATATTATAAGTAGCCTTAAAAAACCCGTTTTAACTGGTTATCTTCAGAAGTTAAGGGGATATATATCACACCAGTCACCGTCTTCTTGCATAATTTTCCTTATGATATTATTATTAACTGCAAATATAATAAATATAACAGTAAAAAGTACCATCCTCTTTTTTCTCCACTAACAAGAGCTCCTGCCCAAAAGCATCACCAACAGGGACAATCTTTTTAAATGGTTATTATTTTTTTTTACAGAAGTTCTTTATTACTTCAATACCATCTTTCCACCGACTTTAAGTTGGTCCAATAACTGTTGTGGGATCTCCTTGGTGGCCGCTCCGACGTGAATGGCGTCATACGGGCTAAACTCAGCGAGTCCAAGTCTCCCATCGCCAACTATATACTTCACTATACCTGATAAAAAGTAAACTTAAATTTTTAAAACTAAAGTTAAATATTAAGTGCACACCAGCTTCAAGTAAATTCGGATTCCCTTTTCGAGTATTGGCCTCACTTAACAGGATGAGATCTTTTAAGTACATATTGACCATAACTATATTAACAAATTTTTTAGGCAATGAGGGAAAAAAAAATTAATGCCTCTGATGTGGTCTATACCGTAGACCTTGCCGCTGTTTCCAACCATTTGGGCCATGCAAGAAGTAAGATATCCTAATAATTTTTTATTTAAGGTTATTGTGGCGTATAATCCTCTTGTTAATATTATAAAATTGGCAAAAATTATTTACATAAAGAGAATTTACATAGAAGTATATTTAAATAATTAAAAAGCTTAAGCTTAAAGGTTTTTTTTTGCCTGAACCACAGCCAACATCTAAAGCCACAGAACCCTCTCGTAAGCAATCTTTTAATTCCTCCAAACACAAAGCATGCTATGATAGAAAAGTATCAATAACATTTATAATATAGTTAATTACTTAAAAGTACCATATGAGGGGCAGAAATAGTAGCATTATAACCTAAACCATTGAGAATAAGAAAGTAAAGAAAGTTAGAGATGCCTAAATATCTTTGGTAAATATATACTACTTTTTTTAAACGATAGCCAGAAAAGTTTTAATACCTATATCCTGTGGAGAGTCTAGATAAGCTTTACTCGGATCACGACAATAAAATATTCTATCAACTTGTAACATAGCATCTTTAACTCTTTGAGAAGTAATTATTCCAGCTTATATAGTTACTAATAGTTATTAATTAATAGTAATACTAGCTATATAAAGCACCATTATATAAATTATGAATTAGTTCTAGATTTTCTCGCCCTGAACAACGCCAAGCCATTGTGGAATAAGCTAAGTGCTAGCAAATAATATTTGTTGATAAGGGAAATAAGGAAGACGTGATGTCGACCACTAATTGTCACGCGTCTCCTAATAGTTACTGCAGAGCAAGTCTTCATTGGCAAAATTTTTTTAAAGATAAACTTTAAAATATAGTTGTATTCTGTTGTATAAAGATCAAACAGATGTAATGATTTTTTTTTCTTTAGACGTTTATTTTTTATCCTGCTTGTTAGGAATCGATACGTTAGTAAATAATATCTGTCCCCTAAAGGTGAGCGTCCACTTTTAGGCGTGGTGAGAAATCTAACACTACTAAAGAGCCATTTACACTTTTAATCTACTTAGTTATTTTATTAAAGTATTACTACTAACTTTGTGGACTTTTTTACAACCCATGCATTCTGTAATTAAGTTTGCAACCCTCTAATAAAGAGCTTCTACATTCAAAGCATTGATAAATTTGTGGAAAAGTATTGTAGTAATTGATTTGTTTTTACTTATATTATTAAAGTATGATGTTAGTTCAGGTAAGGCTGTCACTTAGATATAATTACCTTTGCACAAAAAACTGCACAGTGCAAAACTACCCATGAAAACTCTTGTTTTTTGAATATTTCGTAAGATGTTATGTTTGAGCCCATGTTTCATTAGATGCCTTACTTAAAGGTTAAAAATATGACGGAGAAATAATATAATATTCCTTAAAGGCGGGGGGGGGGACACCAAGCAGACACACTTGGTAAAGTGATACATGGTAATAATTTTTTTTTTCTAATTTCTTCATTAATCTCCCGCCTAATTACCCTTTAGATAATTAATGACAAAACTTTTAGTCCTATAGCTTAAAACATTGTCTTTAACTTGCCCTTTGGAAAATCAAGCAATATTTTCTTCCCGTCACAAAACAACTGAACAAAAATTCTTATTTTTGTCAAAGTAGATTCGAGAGTCTACCTGATTAAATTAGTTTTAACGGCCATAGGCAAGGATTATACCAACAACAATCTACCAGATACGAACATGTAATTTATCAGTTAAAACAAGTCAAATTCTATAAAAAAATTGCTTTGAACCACATCCGGGAGGTAAAGGTGTCGAGTGAGTGTGTTTACACTAGTATTTCATCTGCGTAAAGACTTGCGTGAATTCTTTTAAAAGATCTTATTTTATAACCTATTTAACAATTATTATATAGAAATATTTATATTGACAGCCCTTTAAGTAAAAACACGTTACCTATAGGGGAAGTAATTCACTAAATTTTGTAAAAGAACGACCCAGGAATATCTCGTAAGCTGGTCAGCACTACTTACTTCGGTTGGTCAGACCATTATCCCTACATTATCTCTCTACAAGTCAATGTCGTGTGATTTAACCCGGGAACTTACCTTTCAAAAGCAGGAAATAAAATATAGTACGAAATAGTTAAATGTCTGTAAGCTCTAGTGGAGTTAGCTTAAAATATTGTCTCCAAAGTCTATAAGAAAACCTCTTTAGGGTAATAACTTAATGTTCAATTCGTTAACACTTTGACTAGAAGGGAGATGGGGAAAAAAATACTGCTTAATGCGTACTGCGAATTCTACAGATATTAAGGATTGTTATGAAAAAGCTATGGGTGTCCTTATAAACATATAAGCAGGCATGCAGCTCTCAAAATTTGATTCGTTGGTCTAGACTGTGAAAATATTATAATATAGTTAGTTCAAAAACACAACCTAAAACGCAATGAAATTGTCAAGTAGGAATAGTAACCACAAGCGAGATTATTAGAAGCTAATATTAATTTCTATAAAATCTTTTATTCTAAAACTAACACTTCTCTCGCGTAGTGCCTAATTATAGCGCCTATAAGAAGTAGCCAAGGTGCCCACCAGTTACACAAACGAACACCCACTAAATCAACTACCACACTAAAACCAACCCTCGCGTGCAAGCTTCAACGCACACCTGAAAAATATCTTGCGGACTCTTTGCAAAAGGTATTAAAACACTAAAATCGGGGCACATACTAAAGTTTCTTACGACGAACGTTTGGGAACTTTTTGTTAAAATACAAACCCAAAAATTTTTTAATTAAAGTAATTACAAAGATGCTCATTGATTAAGACCTCAGTTCCTTGGTCGACAGAAACCAAGTATACATAGAGAGGAGAAAAACCAATTATTTAACAAAAGCCCTATTCGAGTCAATTTAAAAATTTAGTGGTGTCATCTGTTTATTGAAATTTTTGCCACGACAAACGGGGACGCCCTTTTAAGGAGGCAGAAATTTATTTACTGAATGCTCAAGTGAAACGGTATAGATAATTTGACGAGATCAAATGTAAGGCATCGAGAATAGTCGTTTGTAGTTCAGCAATTAAGAGCTTTGGGCGCATACTTAAGGTCGCGGTTCGATTCCCGTTGGTGCCCACTCGCATCTTTCTGGTTGGGTGGTTACGTTTCGATTTTCCTACAAACAAAAATTCTGATAGTTCAGGCAGATATACTACCTCCACTACCCCCAAGTCCTCCTGGGCAATCATGATACTCCTTCGGGGGATGCATTAGAGTGCATTCGTAACCTAACCCCACTTTGAGGAGAAGAAAGCAGATTAAACGGTTGACCATTATAAGCCTGAGTTATAAAAAAAAATTTTTAATAGTTTTACAAAAATTGGGACGCGCGCTCCATATATATATTAGTTAATAACACTATTCACAACAGCACTTTTTCTTCAGCAACACTTTCATGTTGCGGCTATTAACATTCGTACGTTCAATTTTCTTAGCCACCAAATTGTACCAATGGCTCAGGAACGGAGCAATACTGTTATAATTATTTCCCAATATACCTAGCTTACAACCGAGAGCTAATCAGACGCACTTAGTAGCTAAAAGGTGCAGCGTTTAGACATAAGTCTACTTGCCAATGATTGTCCAAGGGCCCAACAGACTCTGCTTCATTTCCTCTCAGAAGAAGTAATTCCACAGGTAATTGTTTGTACCCAGCGTAAGCATGGAAGAACATGAATTATTACTTCATAAGCTGCCAATAGGAGTCGAATTACAGAGGAGAGAAACTTAGCGAGACTATCTTAAGTAAGCCACCACACAGACATGAAAGCCCCTAGGGCACAGATAAGATAAAACCTGCCTCAGAGCTTACGCTTACATTGTGTTTTTACCATTTTTAAGAGCGGAGCTTTCGACGGGGCGTTAAGCACCTTCCAATTCTCCGAAGTAATCCCGAACTCTAAACCCAGAATATTTTTTAGAACATGCGTACATCGAACTTATATTTATTAAGATTAAAATGGCGGTGATAGCAGAACGATGTAGATTTAATATTTTTATTCATAAACTACCCAACAATGTGACTGCCTACTTATGGCCTAAACACATAGCACATACCTTTTGTAGCTTCTACTAAGGTTGTAGGAGTATTTTTTAACGATCTAGGTAACTAACCAGTTGACTGCAAGACCCCGAAAAATGACTTTAATACGAAAATAGTTAGACAAGCAAGGTGTTAATGTGCATCTTCAAACTTCAACATATGTTCGGCCTCGAAAAGCATTTATTAGCAATAAAGGTGTTCTAAACATAACTTTAAGGCTTAAGAAAAATTTATCTATTGTTAGTTAGAACTCATCCTCAAGTTGACTGTAGCGCCCATAACAAAAATGCTATGAGGAAAAATTGCGGAGTTTACGAACTATTTTATAGCTACACACAGTAGATAAAGGTTGAATTGGGTATGCAGCTTGCATAATATTAGGGGTATTTAACACATATACGCAAATCCGTCATACCGAGAGGAGGGTTGTCGTAGCTCAGAGGTGAAAACCATTGACGCGCGCTCAAGGTCATGGGTTTGATGTACACCGACTTGACTCTTTTTTGATTGATTGCATATCTCGAAACCTCGCCCTCATAAATACTAATAATATTTTCAGAATAAACCCCGGGCCATAGTTAGGAAATTTATTGGTTCCTATATCCATACAAAAATTAAGTTCACTATGATTTTATGCGTGCAACAAGATTTCCCATGTGCACTTCTACAGGTCGCTTTGTTATAAAAACTATAAAAACTTAATTTAATGTTTATTCCAGCAGGCACCCACCAAAAGTGATTTTACATAAACAAGCAGATATATTAACCTAGAGGGCTAAGTCTCAAAGGAATATGTTAATTCACCTCGGCTTAGAACGTGAACTGCACGTATAACAATTATTTGAAAATTGCCTACTATGGAAGATATAAATACTAAAGCGGATTATTGATCTCTTTATGCTCTGATGTGGCCTCTCGTCCAGGGTTTTTCTCTGTTCTAACCTTTTCAGAACCCTTTCCATGTTATTAATTACTATATTTCTTTTTAAATTACCAACCTTTCATTAGCGATTTGTTACACGAAACAACTTTAAAAGATCTTGAGATTTTTAACTTTTTGTTTGGCTTTTATAGTATGAGGGACGTGGGCTGCACGTGCTTATATAAATGCATTCCACGCATGAGCTGCTGCTAAATTTTTTTATCTTATTTTTTTCCTGAGGTTGGGTGCTCCTAGAGAGTCGAAAATTATCAAATAAATTCCTAGTGCTTTTAGTTCTTCGACTTCATAATTATATTAAGTTAAAGTCTATGATATATCTAATTATTATATTATATAAATATATTCTTATATTTATATTAGAGGTAGAGGAATTGCGGCCGGTAAAATTAACATTTAGATTTGAAACTTTTTAGGAAACACTTATAACTTATTAATGGAAGGTCAGTTATTGTATGTCAAAAAGTCTTTAGAAGATAAAATAAATATAAAGTTAAATTAGATATAGAAAAGGACTTGTTGAAAACAAAAGATTATAAGCTTAAAAAAAAATAAAGAATTGTAATTTAACGATTATAGCTGGGCTTATAAAAATAACTAGTAACTTAGAATCTAAACTTAAAAAAAAAAAAATTAAGAAAAGAGTAATAATAGAAGATATTGCACAAAAGCCACTAATGCGCTTTTAAAACTCCGAATAAAATTTCGTTTCTGACTTTGTGCTTCAAGAGTCAACACAACCGTTTTAGGTAAGTTAAAGGATCGGAAATTGTATATTTAGGCTTGAATCGCTTTTTAATGAGAGCTCTGTTGGTTATATAACTGCAAAGGAAAATTCTTTAAAGATTGTACCTGAGAAGAAAGCATGCGGTATGTCTGGAGAAAATTGTTATGACACCGTCTGGTATGTAAGTGTTATGCTGTATATAAAAGGTAAAAGGGTTAAAATACGGATTAATGTTGTAAATAATGAGCCACCACCAAATGGTATTGGCGTATTACTTGGAAAAAGCGATAATGAGCCATCTATTTATAGCGTTTCTCTGGAGGAGTTTGAAGCGAAAGCTTCTAGTGATACTAAAAATAGTGTAATGTGTAGTCTTCTTTTAAAAATAGAAAGTTAGGATAATCATTCTAAAGATGAAGTTCCAAAAATGTTTAGAAATCAAGGTAAAGAACATATTTTTACGGAAAAAGAGTTGAACTATACATAAAGAATTTTTTATGGTGACCTTGATAGTCAGCTCAATGATTTAAAGGTGACTGACGTCAAGCGCCAGTTATCTATATTGAGATGCGCAAAAATAAATGAAAAAATGATTAGAGATTGGCGAGCCGTATGTATGCGCTTAAATGGGCTCCCACTCTAAATCTGTATTGACACTGAAGCCCTCAAAAGTAAATTTGAAACAAGATACACTCCGGTTTGGAGCAGGATGATGTAAAGCGTAGGGTTATTCAATGAGAGTGTGAGAAGCGGGATTTTTGGAATTAACCCACAGTTCGATTGGAACCGTGGACATGTGATAGCTAAGCCTGGTTTAGAGTTTGCTACCGAAGAGGTGTTTTTTTTATTCAGAGAGCCCGAAACCTATATGAGGATGTTCGATCTGAGGAGGTTTAATAAACAAAGCAATGTTGAGAAGTATAGTGCCCCTAATGAGAAATTGATGAATATGAAAACTAGAAACAGCAAGTATGTTACCACTTTGGAAAATGCCAGAGGCTATACCAAAAAGAATTAGATAAAGAAAGCAGAAACTACTTTCCATTTACAAAGCCAGATGGTTGCAGAGTGCAGTGGACTGTCCTTCCTTTTGGATATATCAATGCGTTATATGGCTATCAGTAAGGGATAGACATAGTAACCGCTGGGCTGAAAGATGCATCTTTCTAAATTCACTTCGTTAAAGAGCAGAGGACATTATTAGTTCAAAGGATCTAAAGGAATTATTAGTCGAAGTAGATTCCGAAGCTCCTTGCAGGGTTAATTTTTAGTAATAAAGAAAATTATCGAGACGCAACTGATGAGAAATTCATATTTTCGACTTTTGGTTAATAATGTCGAAAAAGTTGGCCTTTAATTTATATCGGTAGTAAATGAGTATACCAAAAAAAAATGTCCTTTAGCTCTATAAGGTTTGGAGTATGGTTCGTGAATGATAATAATAGATGTGTGTATGTTAAAGTACTGTAACTTTTAGTTACCGTAAAGTGTAATGTGGGTTGGATCATCAAATATTAAAATAGGCAAAATTTAATTAACCGAGTAGCCCATTTTTCCATACTTTTAAGGATACCATTGAGAACATAAGTTAGCAGAACTGAGCTAAAAAACTAAAGATGTTATTCGTTTTTTATCATTTAGTTTTTTTTTTAGGATTTGTGGGCTGACACGGTAGATACACACCGTTTTTTGTAGTTTAATGTATACTGCATGTGCCTCCAAGCACCTGAGCTCACTTTATTTGGTTTCTGATAATTGTATAGCAGCACCTATAAGTGGTGTAATTGGTATTACGTATTACGTTATTAGTTCAAGTAAATTAAGTTTTTGGTTTTGCACATCCTTCGCTTCCAAGATAAAATCCTAAACGCCACTTGATATTCCTTTTAAGTCCTAGTTTTTCAAATAAACTGCCTACTGATTTTGAAATTTGATTTCTGGACGACCTCAATAAGTAAACTACCCGAGCTTAATGTATGAATCTTGGAGGTTTGGTATTACAACCCAAAATTTTGGTTAATTTGTTAGCCACCTGCTTTCTTAAATTTAGTATGCCATGGGTATAAGTAAATAGAACACCCCCCCGTAAGAGGGTATTTAATTTTTTGTGCCCTTTGTTTCTGCATGGACGTGTTATAGTATAGTGGAGCAGCCTAATTACCGTGTTGTATTATGTCTAATAAATTTTATAAATTTATTTCTACCTTAGGTATAAATATACCAACGCTTTTGTAACCAATATCCGCGAGAATGCCGTCCTAGGAATAACAAATTTGCAACTCATCAAAACCTAACAAGAACGTTGGTTCGGGTAATAACATTAAATAAAAAAGAATTACTAAAGAGGTCAATTTATTAGTTAGTTACTCCTAAAATTTCGGATATTGCAGATTAATGTACTTTGAGATCTTCGCCAATGAGTTTCCTTGTTTTTGTAACTCTTAATTAAATTATTTTTTTACAAGAATTAATTTTTCTCATTAAATAACCTTGCTTGCTGTGGCCATTCTATATTTGGCAATTTTTAATTTTTACTTTTGTTGTGTTTTGTATCGGCTGAAATTTTTATTTTATCAGTAAGAATCAAAGCCACCAACCTAAGTTTGCGAGTTCATGCTTTTAATCGCTGACCAACGTCGATAACTCTCAATCCGGCGTAATAGACTTATATATTGTACCTGTTAACTGATATTCTGCATTAATAATATAAATTCTATTTAATATTTCCTGTTATTACAGTCTTTTAAGGCGTCCATCTACAGGGGTGGATTACGTCATATTTAATTTGCGGTAACTACCCTTGCAGTTCGCACATCTTGGCGTTCTATCTTTTCCCTTTTCTATATTTATAATACGTGCACGCGTTTGAGCTTGAGAAGGAAATTTTATGTCCGAATAGGTGGCGTCCCTGGCTTTAAGATTTTTACACAGAACTGTTATGAAACTGTACATTGAGTTTATATATACTTTTTTCAGACTAAGTAGTTTAACGAGCAATAGGTGCAGAGGTGTTCTGAAGTTTTTATAGAGTCATATTAACTTAAGACGAATGGACCTCTTGGATATCCAGCTCAATTAAAAACCCCTCGTTCGTCTTCATTAGTCCAAAGGGCGGTAGTAAGTATAAGATTTAAGCCTATTGGCGTAAAATAAGGCAGTCTATGATTCGATTATGTGCTCTGCGTCTTGACGAAATTATTTAATTTTAACTAGCTTTAGATTGTAAATTCTCTTAAATAATTACGCTAGTACTCATGTTACTATTACTAAAGTCCTGTTTTGTAGTAATCATCGTAAGTAATGTTACGATTCTAAGATTTAAAGGTTTTCTGATAATAGCCCGTAATAGAACTCTTCAAGATCAACTGATACTTATATCGAAGAGACAACGAGTAAAACTAAGTGGAGCTGAGGGCAAGTATATAATGGAAGACACGACTAAGATCTTAGAACGAGGAATGGAGCTTATACACAACTAATTTATATCTGTGGTCAATCAAGAATAGAAATTACAACCAAGAGTTTGAAGTAGAAGCTTAGAAGCTAGCCAGAGGCATTTTTTTATATAGAAGTAAAAATAGACCCTTATAATAGTTGGTAAGCCTTAAAAATTTTTTTTAAAGTGCTAAAACTTTATGGACAATTTAAAAAATGCGTTGGTCACAATCAATATCTATCCGACAAGTAAAATAAAGACGGGGAATGCATGCTAGGTCATGGCGAGTAGTTTGGTTTTTATCTGATAAATAGTACTGGTACTGACACTGCTAATACTATATGATATTAATTTATTACTAGTTTTATTATCGTAAGTATTTCCTTGTTTACCAGGTTCACTTTTAAATAGGACGATCGTAACCTTAAAATTCTTTAAACGGTATTGCTAACTATTTAGTTCTGGTCGATAGCTCTAGAACTAGTTATTTCTCTTCCATTTTACAAAGTTTTAATAAAATAAAAGTTCTTTTTACCTTCTATGTCCTTTAATATACTTTTGCAACCCTTGATGGTAGTTTAATTTAGCCACCACTCTCTGGGACGCCCTACCCCCGTAATTAACGATCACAGTTAGTAAAGAAAAAACTGAATTGCACAAACCTACCGAGCAACAACTCATAATTATCTGTTTAAGATTTAATAAAACGCAGATCCTATTAACATATCTTGTTGTTGATCATTGTTTTTCAAAAAAGAATTTTCAAGGTTATTTTCTTGGTTTCAAATTAGTCTATTATAACATTAAAGTTATATCTTAATTTTTATGTCATGTGTTCAGAACCTCGTTTAAGGTCGGGTTCTCATGTTCATTCGTTACTTTAAAATCTTTGCGAGTTACGAATACAAAAGTAACGTATGGCCGACACCAGTAAAAGTAGAAGCAGATTTGCTTACGCCGGATTATATAGCTACGAAAGAGTCGCTTTGATCCTTAAGGGCCTTGAGTTATGGATGAAAGTTGCCATAGCAACCGGAAACTAGTAATAAGTAAAGGGCTAGGGGTAGGCATTATACTTGTATCTGCTTTTGGTATGTATTTTTAACCTAAATATTCGCCTTGTTTTAAATGCTTGCGCGCATGATAGTTAAAGTTCCCCAGATATTGCGAATTTTTAAGTTTAAGTCCACAAAATCAATTTCTTTGCTTTCTTTCTTATTGGAAACTTTTAGTTACTTGATAATAATTTGTAATTGTTATCGGAATTACAACCCTTTTACGTAATCTTATGTTATCCTATTTGTTGTAATGAATGCCCTCCACTCTTTTCTTTATTTTACCTAGATCATGGGCCGAAACTCTCAATTTGCTGATTCAAGATCATATTATTATATATTTGCTTTTTAAATATTCTGAAAGGAAGACTCATTTGCTACAGCTTTCATATTTGGGAACTTTTGTTTTCACTGCTTTTTATTTTTTTAAGTACCTTCCACTGGAAATACTGAAAGTTTTGAGTTGGCTTAACGTCTTCATTTTAACTTCTAGCAAGCTACCTCAGGCAAGTGTACTTAATCTATTTAAATAGTCCTATTTTTTGGAGTACTTTTTTTGTTTTCAAAACTGATTGTAGATTTTGTTGTGCCAATATATGTTGAATAGTTTGACGTTCTTACTATTAAACTATTCTTAAATAAAAATTTAATATTAGATAAGATCTATATACGTTAATAAAAGTACTGGTCAAGTTTCCATTCTTACTGCATTATTAACTTTCGGTGGTAGTGTACTTCGATGTTATACCAGTTTGAAAGGTTGTTTTTATTCATAATTCAAAGGTTGAGTCTCCTACTAAATATAGCAATTCTTTATTTGTTATTGTATAATTTTTTTTTTTAATTTTGTTTTATATTTGCATGTTCAGAAGCCCCAGGCAACAAGTCTTTATATGTGGGCCATCTTTGCGGAAGTTTACTTAATGGAACGCTTTTACTTCAATTCCTTCTTTACAGTAAACGCTATAAAAGTGCAGTATATAAAAATTAATATTATAAACTCAGTAGTTTTTTTAAAATCATATGACATACCTTATTAGAGTGAATTTTAATAAAAATACTGGCTGTTTCCAACTAGCGCGATTGGGGTTTACTTTTTCATATTATTGCTAATTATATTATTCTTCTAAGCAGTTCGTGAATAAGTTATTAATTTTACGTCCTGGTGCTCAGTTAATACTAAAGACGAAATAGGTTTTCTTGAAAGCACGTGCACACACTTGGCGGAGCCTCCTAGGCGTTAGTCTCTACCCGGATAGCAATTCTTTTTTTATCTGCAAAACGTTGACCAAAACGCGGTTAATTTTTATAAAGAGTGAATGAGGGTATATTAAGGATCCCCTTTCACATTTTACTTAAAAAAATTGGTTGAGTGTCAGAGGGGTATTTGACTAGAATTGTCATTTTAGCCTATATATAAGAACAAGTTGCGCCTTTTAAACGTTGTTTCACTCCTCAACCCTATTTAAAAAACTATTGAAAATTAGTTACCAATTGGAAGTTAAGTGTAAAACTACAGGAAAAAAGACGAAGGGAGCTTATCCAAAGCATTTTAAAAAGTTCCTAAACAGTGTTACTACCCAGAAGGTCAAAGATTCAATAAGGTGTTGACTAGAGTTGAGCTATTTTATTCTGGTGCTGTAACTACGGCAAGGTAGTTTTATGCTTGATTTACTTGTGTTTTACTTTTAAATGGATAACAACCCGAGGTTGGCCTAAGCGCTTAGGTAGGTAATTGACCAGGGGAATAAGTCGTAGCCTATACACTATATGTAGCACCAGCACGCCAAGGCTAACGCCATTTTATCGAACCGGATAAAAGCCAAGGTCATTGATCACAGCTTTAGTAAGGATGTCCGCGCACTTGCTCTCCAATGCGAAACATACTACTATGATACTATTTGAGCAAAGCCAAGAGAGTGGACGAAAGCTACCTAATCTGTGCAAGATATAACTAGCTACCGAGTTAAGGCTCAGGACCACTCCTGCCAAAGAAGAGTGATTATGTTAAAAAGGTGGGGGGCATATTATCGCTATCTATTACGCCTTAGACCGCGAAGGCTATCAGGGCCAGCATTAAAGTTCTTAAGGTTCGTACCTTAAGCAAACATGCAAATTATGTTTTAATAAGAAAAATGGCACAACAAAAAATAAATATCCGGGAAAAACCAATCAGGGATAAACATGATTGTTGACACAGGGATCTATCCTCATTATATTACAGATAAAGAGTGGTTAACTGATATCCGGTTTGATAAACACGTTATCGATACAATTATAAACAGCTCTGAGGCCTAGCCAACCGGTCACCTTGAATTTTTAGATAGTAATAAAGCTATTTTAAACAAAAATTTTGAACTTACCTTAATCCCCGTAGGTAAATTATATGAAAAAGGATTTGATTCTGTTTTAAAAATATGAAAGCTTTTATTAAAAAAAAGGACAAGATGGCGCTTAAGGTAGAAAAGAGAAAAGCTTATTTTTAATAAATGGTCATGGTTATGATAATAAAGCAATTATCACGACATATGATACCAAAATGTATGTCCATTATTTCCAAAGAGCACTGTGAATGGGCACATTAGCTATCCTTCCTCAAAAAGAAAGTTTCCTAGTATATCATAAAAATGTAATATGAAGGAGAAAGTTATCTTCAACGTATTTAGAACAATTTTCTTATAGTTACTATTAATGACTTCTTGCGGATGCTTGACAAGTCAGACCCAGACCCGCTTAGACTTTATTCGAACGCAAGCAGACGCCAGTACACCAGGAGGAGTTTTTTAATTCTATTTAGAGCACTGGCTTGCTACAGGCTTGATCTCTAATTAGTTGCTGCTTAAGCTACTTTCCCTCTACTAATTGAGGGTGCAAAAGCCATAACTTCCCCTAACGGTCCATTGCGCCATCGATGAGGAAAACGGATGCACTTCCTCATCACAGCTAAAGTGTATATCTTTAAGAAGACGTAATAACGAAGTAGGAACTATATTACATATAATAAACAGTTATTTTTTATACTTTAAAATTATTAAAAAAATATCTATGTAATTATAAGTTAATAAAATAAACTATTATCTTAGCAATTAAAATAAACTATTATCTTAGCAATTTCTCCCTCTAATAGATCTAAGAAATATTTTGGCCGCAAGTACTAGGTGTACCAACGAGAGCCATAATCAAGAGCCTGCCAAAATAGTATGTTGTGTTGACCCTATCTCTAGTAAGCTAGTTCCGTGAAATTTTAAAAAGATATTTAACGGGCTCGTGGTTATATATTCTATGTAGTGAGCCGTGGCGCGCAAACCAACGGGCATTCACCCCTATTCTCAGAACGCAATTTTGCATATTTGTATTCGATATGTTCACTAAGGAAGAGGCCCAGGCAATAGAGGATAAACTATCAGCGGGCACATAAACGATTTGTATAACAGAAGTTTGTTTTTTTTTAATACAGTTTGCTATTTTTGTATAGTGAAGGATTTAAGACGACTATAGCTTGTCTGGTTATAAAACGACGTAAGGAAGTTGCGGAGTCCAGTTTAGTCTGTCGTCAGGCATAACTCTGAGATAATTAAACCTTCCCTCTTCGAGGGATGCCAGTTTAGTTTAGTGTGAGGCTAGGGGCCTGGGGGGGAAGTAACCTCCTTGTTATAATCATAAAGCTACTTTTCGACGCATTCATTGTTAACCTCCATGTTGGAAACCATGCCTCAAGTATTGCCTAATAAAAATGTATGTTTTCTTTAAACACCAGCCGGGCAGATTTAAATTATCATATAAAGCTGTGATTAGCGTACTGGACTAAGTTTATCTTTGGCGATTGTGGCATATCAGATATGTGGATTGAAAAAAGTAAAGGGGATAATAAGGAGTCTTACGGATCCACATTTTAAGTTGTTTAACAGCGGACTTCAGCTAACATACTTTAGCAGTAAAAATTCTATCTGTTAAATATAAGTGAACTATCGCATGTAAGTAAAAGGGGAAATTGGCGGTAATCATCTTGAAGACTAGGCCATCGGGTCAACTTTTATTAAAACTTTCTCAATATCTAAAAGACCACACCTCTTTCTTTCCTATTGTTAAAAGCTTTTATAGCTTCTTCCGTAGGCCTGTGTACCTAGTGAATCGTGGAGTAATTTTTTCGAAAACAATATTGAAAATTAGGCAAGACGCACGTACTATCCACAAATTCTTGTAACCTAGTAAGGATAACCCCTTCTGCCACCTTTCCTAGGGAGGACACCTAGTTTATTGGGTGATAACCTTTGCTAAAACGGCCTAGTTTTCGCTATAAAAATTACTTCTGCTAGTTTTCACCACTTGGGGAGGCAGGCAATGGTAAATACTTGATTAATTATTTTCGAAATCAGAGAAATAACTCGTGGAGTAAGTTTTTAAGCTTTAAATTAGAAATACCGTCGTACGCGAGACTTTCTTGTATTAAGATGCTGGATAAGTTTTAAGTCCCGCACTGGTGGTAAGCTTAACCTTGTTTACCTAAGGTCTTAAAAGGTAAGCAGAAATCATGTGGGCACTTGCTTGGGATAGTTTTCATCTTCGTCGGAATCTATCATAGATGAATGGGCCTTCAGTGAAGTCGACCTCTACTATTCGATGAGCGTCCAGGGTAATGGATGGGTAGTGTAATTTTTTTTTATTGCCCCTGGTCAAAGTAGATCGAGGAGCTTGTGGGCGCTTTGATAGCTATGCTTTTGTTTATATGATCCAGAAAAAAAAAATGTTGGCCAACTAGTTACCTTTTTACTTCAGTACTCGAGGCCGACTTATCTCTTATTTTTTTGGGAATGGGGTTATGATCTGAAGAGAGTTTAACTAGCGTATTGGCAATTGCAAGTACCTAGATATTTCGCGTTATCGTGAAATCTAAAACGTTACAAGCCCCTTTGACTGGGCGATGCGTTGGGTCCTTTGTAACAATTACAAATAAACCCTAATTGTCGGCTATTTCGGCAAACCTCTTTCCACTGGTATTCCTCCGCCTACTATTCCACCGAGGGCTTTTACAGTATAAATCTCCAGCTGTTAAGATGCTGGAGGAACCGCAAAAACCTTATATTCATCAAATATATGCAAAACCTTAATGGGTGATTTATTAGCAGCAATTATATTGACTTTTCCATTGCGATGGAGCCCCCTTTCTAAACTTACCAAGTGGAAAAAGAGCGCTCGGTAGGTAATGTTTTCTTTAATTAGGACAGCTACGACTTCTCCCACAGTATCTTCCCTGTAGCTCCTGTAAACAGTATAATTAGGTACTATAAATCGGTTACCTCCTTCAGATATGTTTCAAAAATGAGGATTATGTCCAGGTCTCCTCGGGCAATAAATTCCTGTAGTTTTTGCTTCTTGCGACGGACGTCGTCGGCATTCCAAGCCGGACTTCTGAAGGAACTAGGAGCTGTTCTCGGTATATCCAACTTTATAATTATCCAAATTTTTGAATATCTCCGTTATGGCCTTTGTTAGGTGAGAGCTGATCGTATTAATAAGTGTCGCTACAAAGTTTTTCATCATCCCGTTTAATAGAACTGTATTTGTAGTTTCAGTTGATAAGTTCAGTTTAGTACTCTGTGCATAGCTTATATTTTCTTTAACGAAACTCTCAGGATTCTTGGGAGTTTAAGCTGAAATATTTTTAATAAATTTTTCTCATAGGTGCATTTTACTGGTAGTCTATGCATTCTCTATAATTTGAAGGATGCTCCTCTTGGCATTAGCGCCGGTAGACTTTTCATTCTCGCCATTAGTGTAGGGCTTCGACTCGTGAGGGCCACCGCATCGACGCAATTGTACATGACTTGCAATATTTTTCTCTATGTCCAAGTAGTTAACACTCATGGCACTGGCAGATCCTCCCGCCTCTTTTTAAGAGCTCAGCCGACACGGCGGTATACCCTGTACTTTAAGTAATAAATCCTTGCTTCGCTAGTCAACTTGACGAGTAAAAGAGTCAGAGCTTGTCTTTCCTTTCTAAATAAGCGCATTCCACGGGTTGAACCATAGAGATATCAGATCTGTCTTTTCAGTTTTCGATCCATTTCCGCGAAAATACCTCGAAATACCACTTTAAGCTCTTTTTAGCAAGGCAACTGGTGTGTAAATAATATTCAGTAGTTTCCGTCTAGAGTTTATGCCAGTTTTCTGTAGTTGTCGGCAGAGACTAAGTTCACACGAATTCCGTGTCTTAGGTCTTTGACACGTTTAATATCTATTTAGTTGTCGATATTTTGTTGTTTAATAAATTCCCAAGCTAGTTTGTTAGAATGTATAATCGGAGGTATTCTATTAAATTTAGGCTGGTTGCTCATAGGAAATTATTATTATAAACTTTATTTTTATCAATACTATTATTATCATTAGTTTTTGTATTATTAATACTATTAGTAATATCTCTATTATAATTAGTATTGTTACCACGGCCAGTATATTATAATTAATGGTTTTGTATTTATTAAAATCTTTACTATTAGTAAAGTTACTATTGTTAGCACTACTGTTATTGTTGTTTTTAATCCCGTTTTTTTTTTACTGTGGTTAAAAGTATTATTATTTTTATAGTGTTGTTGTCATAGTGTTTAACCCAAAAGGTCCCTTACGTCTTTTTACATTACTTTGTCGCAACTTACTCTCTCGAAGTGAGCTAATTTTGTCTAAAGCCTCTATTCCTTTTCTAAGCCCAGTATTCTCAACCAATACGTTAGTAATATGATCTCGCTGACTAGCAGTATTCTGCAGAGTGGAGCTCCAGTGTATCAGAGTAAAAACCATGTTATATATAGTCTGTAATTATGGATTTAGAAGTTTAATTTTTCGAATATATTTAAGTATATATTAAATAAAACGCTATATAAATTGGTTAAGAATTTAACGTAAATCTGAGGTAAGAAGTCGAGGTGCGCAGGCCACATCCATGAACAAAAAATATCACCCTTATTAAATGGAAACTATTAAAACTAAAAAACAAAGATTAGCTTGCAAACAAAGAAGCCCTTAAAAAAATCGTACTGACAACAACGAATTTTGCAATCATGTGAAGATCAGCTCTACTCTAAAGAAGAAATAGAGGTCAAATCAAATTAAAAAGCTTCTGAGATTATCGAACTCAAACTGAAAAACAACCTTTGGAGATCGATTTGATATTTAACAAACGATAAAACCATGCAATCCGAAAACAGAGATACTTACCAGGAAGCACCTGATAAAGAACTCGAGTCCTTGCTAGCCCTTGGTGGATTTGATATTGTGATATAAACAGCTTAAACAAGATAATATTATTACAACTTAACGGTTGTTTCAGGTTAAGTCGAGTAGATGAAGGAAAAACTTTGATAGATGATAATATATGTAATTGTTACGTCGTATAAATAGATAAAAAATTGTAATAGAAAGATTAATTCTAAACTTAATAACTTGATCGCAATGATACATTCATACCTTACACATAGAACCTTTACTGTTAAAGTGAACTAGATGAAGTTCGTTATTAAAATGCTCAAGGCGGGTGTTCCCCAAGGCTTTCTATTACAGTCTTCACTTTTTTGTACCTACATGTCCTATATGCCGCAACCATTCGAAAAATATACCTGTCCTAACTCCAATGATACCTCTATATTTAAAGCTCTAGCTCCGCCTGTCTGGTGTTCAGGAATATTACAATCCTATTTGACAGTGCTTGAGGCTTGTTTTTCAACAAGACCTTAGTACAGTACGTTTAAGAGTAGCTATAAAGTGTCATACGAAAAAAGGGTGTTTCCTCAAATATTAAGTCCCTTACTAAATCAACTGTCATTGCTCGCAATAAAGAGTACCTTGGCGTGATAACTAACTGGACTCCACATCTTATGTACGGCGTCACAAAAAACAAGCAAACATAGCCGTTCAATACCCTATAATGTTATGCAGGAGAAGCAAGCTGTTTTTAAAAAAAAATTAAGCTTTCGGTTTATAAAAACGGCTATACACCGCTGATGGTCTACACTTCCATGTGTTTTTGCTTGGACCTATTTACGAGCCGCACATAACGACTTCACATACTACCAAATCGCTTTCCCTAAATGTTGGTGGATGTCCCTTTGTTTGTGGGCAACAACAAATTACATAGAGAGTATAATTTAGAGTCTATCGATTAAAACCTTTGTATTATTTAACAAAACTGATTTACCAGGGCCTGAGAAGTGACTCTACTAAACCTAGACTGGTTTTAATGAGACTCTGGCTAACATTATTGTTCATTTTATTATTAATTTTTAACGGTACTAAAATTTTACAAGGCTAGTATTATTGATGTTATTCTTATTCTTTGGCTGCTTCCTTTCGAGCACTGGCTTACTTTATAAAATTATAAATATTTTTAAGCGCACTTTTATTGTTTGCATACCTCTACATCAAGTTATTAAGCATAACTAAGCGGACTGTGCCGATTTACTGAGCATCTGAAAAAATCATTAGTAACATTAAAAAATGATATTTTAGGGTTCCATAAATAAGATCTTTGTTTCACTCATCGCTGATATGTAAACAGTTATAAAATGGATGGTTTCTTTACTTATACCAATAAATAAATCATTTTTTCGTGAGTGGCCTACGAACTAAAAACAACCCTTTGGTCTTTTGCTCATTTTTATTAAAAATTAAGTTGAGACCGTGCTACAAACACGCGTTTTTGTTTAATATTCGTTTTAAAACTATATTAATAGCCCTATTCTATTATTGCATTAGTGCAAATATGTAATTTTCCTTTATTAAGATAACAAAAAATACTAATAGTTCCATTGGATAGTTTAGTTAAACATTTAAAATAAAATATTGAATCAAGTAAATCTGTTTTTTAGATATTATTATCTTTAACCTTTTTTACTTTTTAGAATTTTTGTAAAATTAAACCTTTAATTGTAAAGGTGAATACCTATATTTAACTATTATAAATTTTTTTATATATTTAGTATGTAGAAAAGACCAGAGTAAAAAATTCATATTAGATTTCTAACTATTTACTGTCCCTAGACATATTTACATTTTTTCCTAATTAAAATTTTTTGATGTTACGTAGTAAAAGGTTAACTTTTTTTTTTTAGGTATTCATACTCACTTAAGTTCGTTCAAAATTATTATTAATGGCGGTACCTTAAGGGAATAATTACTATTTTCAAGTGTTAAAAAACTGTTTATTTATAAAATGCAATTATTAAAATTGCTCTATAATAACTTTTAACAGTTATAAGCCTGTTCAAGGTATTTTAAACCCGCTAAAATTACTCAAAGAATCTAATTAATAAAACTTGAAAGGATTGCAGCTCGAAAAATATATAATAAAAATTGAACCACAAATTTTAAATTTATATGTAGTTAGTAAGTAATATAACTTAGTGAGGTCTTAGTCGTAAATCATACATATATATAGCCCAGCGGCGCGATGTTTAAGAGATCTCTTAAGTCTAGAGCCAGATTGTGGGGTGACCTGCATCTTGCATTCAGTAGGGGCCGTTAGACTTGTGAAATTAATAAATTATATAATATATATAGTATTTGTACTAAATAATCTTTTTATATTGGGGCCTCTAGAATAGATAATATCATACTTTATGAAAAGTTGATATAAGTAGTTTGGAAAGTAGAGAAGAGTGCGTCTAAAGCAAATACATACTATATATACATATATATATATATAAATTACCTCCCAAGTTGTTAACTATTTACCGAAAATAAAATAAAAAAACGGAATAAATACCTATTACTGAGGAGAACAAATTTAAATTAATTTTTTCATGCGGCCACAAATTTTTTTTTAAAGCTATTAATCTAAGCAAAGAAGCTTGTCTTGAAACAAGAAGTGGAAAATTTTAAGATTTGCTTTCATTCTTAAATTAAGATCTTTACTGAGGGCTCGCCGCGGACATTCCTACTATATACTAGCTAATAACACTATTCTGTATAGAGCCTATACTATATACTAGCCTATAGTCTATAGCAACAAGTACTATTCAACTAAGTCTTAACCCGGTCAATTTCTTTGAGCTAAGTACTAGCTAGTACATAATATAGGCGCTATCTTTCAGCAGTGAGTCATATGAAATAGGTACTACGCTACGAACATAGATCAAACTTTCAATGGACTAACCACCGGCTACGGATAATAGCTAGTGTCCGACTTGTGGTTTTTAAAAATATCTAAGTTTCCTCAGTTACTAGCTATCGCCTTCATTTTAATGGGTGTTTAAACTCTTAAAATTACTATTTAAATATAAATTTTTATGGCCGGGAGATACTAAGACTTCCTTTAAACTCAATAGCTTGTTTTAGGCCCTACAGCCAACCCCAGTAGTATAAAACAAAAATTAAGAATAGAGATTAACTTAATTCAGGTTTGTATCGCTTTTATATATCTAATTAATCAATTTTTCGGGGACTAAAAATTTTCGGGAGTATTCTCGATTAGTCATTATCTAGAGATTTTGGTATTCTGAAAGGAGAATGGCTTTATAAATATGTCTGCCAGATTTAGCCTTGAGGATTATTTTTATTGCAAGTAATTTTCTTTTTTTTGAAGTTAATCCTTAATCTAGCGATAAACTAATATCAGTATGTTTTACCCTATTATTCGGTACATCACCTTTTACTATAATTTTTACTGCTTCGTTGGCAGTATATAATTTTAATTGACAATATGAAAATTTTTCTAAGGGTATGGATTTAGGGTCGATGTATTTAATATAGCCTTGATTAAAGGAAATGTACTCGGCCTCAAAAGAAAATATATCAATTTTTGTTTTATCTGTATTAGGAGGTCATTGCATTCAATATTCGTTAAGTAAAATTATACCCCTGGTAGTCTTATAATCGTAGGAGTCAGCCCCCAAGAGGCATCACAGTAGCATTTAATTAAAAATCTGCTGTCGGAATAATTTTTACACTTCATTTAAAATCAAAAGGTTTCTTGTCTGATATAAGTAATTAAAAATTCTAAGTGGCTAAGTCTTATGTTCTTCAATCTTGCAATGGATGAATCGGGTCAGCATAGATCTCGCGTTTGAGATGTCAGGTCTAGTGCTACCAGCAATATTACTTAAAGATCCAATTAGATGTACTCTTTAGTGTTATCGCTTCCATTTGGGTACAGGTTAATAATAATAGTCTACTTTCGGATTTTGTGTCAATAGGGAATTTTAATATAACCCTCCAGCTATTAAAATGCTGGAAGGGCCGCAAAAATCATAATATATTTATTCATTATTTTGTGGAGTAGCGTCTACTTGTGCCACAGGGAGGCTTATATTTCTTTTTGTAAGCGCAACAGACCAAAATAAATATAGCCAACTAAAGTAAAGTTTTATTGGTCCAAAACACTCTTTTCAAAGGAAGTTTCTTCCTCGGGAGGGGGTGTTGCCGGGACTGAAAGCAATTCGTCTAAGCAACGTTTAAGTTCTTCCTCCTCGAGTTTGTCTGGCTTTTCTTGTTTCCCAGTTTCAAGTTCAGATACAATAGCCATAAATTCTTCTTCTAGGCCAGCGTAATCGTCGTCTGTAGAAATATAATAAGAGTCAAGTCTTCTTAAATCCAATGTTGGTATTGTTCCATAAGTAGAATAAAACCCGATTGAACAATTTGGCTTAAGTTTTCAACTTCTTTAAGAACATCTTTTAAAGAATCCATGGTTCCCAAAACCTTATATTAAATGGGCATGAACAGATAGTATGGTAAAAGGTTGCTACAAGAGCAAGTTTGAAAGCAAAAAAGTTACTAATAAATTGAACTAGTTTTACATTAAGACTCTACGACCAATACTACGTAATAACTACCTCTACTTTAAAAGGAAGCAGACTCTTTAGGGTTTCTACGCCTGACTGGATAGCTTCAGTAACCTTATTTGAAAGGGTTTGAGCTAAGAAGACATATATAAAACAATATGCCGTAACTGATTTTGAAGCATCAAGAGTCCTGATTTCTTCAAGTATTCTTTCCAAAATCAACATTTGTTTAGATAGCTGGTCAACTTTTTTCTCATAGCTTCGTAATAAAATGTTTTCTAAATAAATATATAACCAAGATAATAAATCGTTAACTCTTTCTTTCTTTTCAAATAAAGTAAAGTTCTGCTTTTATTAGATTTTCCAGAATCTTTAGCGGCTTCTCTGGCCCTGTCAATAAAAGTTTTGCATAAACGACGGTATGACAGGGAATAGGGATTCGCACAAAGGTTAGCTACATTAAGATTATTATTGCTTAATAACTTAATAATGAGAAGAATCCTCTTAGACCCTAAAATGTAGGTAAAAACTAGCCCAGTCTTTAGTCATAAGGCAGATCAAATAAGTTTCTGCACTATGTTTCATGTTTATGATAAATGAGAGGGAAGAGGGGGGAAGGAACAAAAGGTCCCCCCCCCCAAATTTAAAAAATTATTAGTTATATTAATTATTGTATATAAAAAACAAAAACAGACATACAAGGATAAAGATATTCAACTAATTTAATAAAATTAAATCTTATTAAATACAATAAATTTATAAAAATCATATAAATATAGATAAATATAGATAGTTAGTACAACTTATACCCCCTCCCCCATACACCAAAAAATTACCTCTCTCCCAAGACAAAATAAAAGAAAATAAAATTTATATATTTTTCAAATTACTCATCGATTTGTGCGCTGAACTTGTGATAGAGGCTGCGTACTTTCTCAAGGGTATTCTTAACTTGTAAAATTTGGTAATCATTGCTGCTTATAGAGGACTTTTTCTTGACAAACTTAATCACCTAAAAAATATAACATAGCGCGGATGAATACAGCGTGCAAAGTGCAGATTAGGTATAAGAAATAGAAGCTAATTATCACAGTTCTTTATTAAGTGGTGTTATTCGTAACAAACAATAATTTCATCTTAGGGAGGGGAAAGTGCATAACTTACTAACATCATTCTTGGAATCCACTAGAACTCTTCCTCGCCTTTGTAAAAATCGTAAAACAATTTTTAAGTCGCCATCGGTGAATATGCAAGAACTCAGTTCATGACGTTTTTTGAGCAAGTCATCCATACTGAACAAGCAGTCGACAAAATCATGAGACTTTTTTAAAACCTCATCGTAAAAAGTTTCAGACTCTATCTTATTTGATAGTGACATAAAAATATTTAAATAGATGTAATTAGACACCTCTACCGCAGGTAGCACAACTAGCTTCTCTAAATTTTTGTCATAGCTCCAAAACAAGCCTTTTAAAGACTTAAAAAACCAATTCAAAAAACCATTAAAAGCATCTTCCGTGTATATATATATAGTAAACTGTTAAAAAAAAATAGCAGGTTTCATAATAAATTTTAAAAAATATGCTAAACTTAGGTAAAAAAAATGGATGTGCTGAACTTACCCGAATTATACATATCAAGACTTTCCAAACTCCCCTCTTGCTTCATAATATCCTATATAGTTAAAATATAGGTGTTACACGACAATTAATAGTTTTAACACCAACTAATAATAACTTTTTTAAATGTAGTTTATAAAACTAAAACCAACTTAACTTAATTAGTTTACAGATTACATACCAAAACTTGCTCAAGACAAGACGGTCTGTAGCCGTGAAAAGTAAAAGTTTCGAAGAGATGTTGAACAGAAATTGTAAACCGTGAACTGGTTTCTACATCTGTTAGATTGCCTTCCAACGTTTTTAGTATTCTGCAGCTTTTAATTATTATAGCCTTCCAAAAACTGACACTGTAACAGAACAAGTAAGGAAAAAAAAAAGAATGCTAATAAACGTGTACAGGTTCTTAACTGTTAACTTATTATCTTCGTTTAGTTGAGGTAATTTTTTATATAATTCTTTAACATATCCTTCTTTAGAAAAACTTTCTTCCTGCTTTAAAAAAATCAAGTCTACTTTCGTAATAAATGAACTTTAGTTTAGATTTCTTTTCCATTTATTTTTATACTAAAATTTTTAGACTACTGTAAAAAGTAATAAACCGGCAACTTAGTGCTGCGTAACTGGTGGGGAGGGCTTGCCTGGGCTTTCAACCCCTTATAGGTTCCTGGTTACAATGTTTACCACTTGGCGCTTAGGTTCAATTTGCAAGAGTAGCTCTATGGAAATTTGACTCTAAGGGACAGGCTCGGTCTCGGAAACAATCTCTACTAAGTTTGAGTACCATGTTCTAACGGATTAGGCAGCAACCAAGAAAGCATAAAAATGTGGTAAAATTGGTTACCATTGAACGTTAAGTTAAGCATTTTTTGCGCGATCTTTTTATTGGACAAAAAAGTGTTCATTGTGGATGTAATAAGTTGATTTTTGGTTAGATTACTGTTTCTTTTTAGAATATTAATTTGGATATATAGAACTAAATTTTGAAAAAAAAATATTGGTAAAGTATATTTTTTTTAACATAGGAAGTGATTTCGCAGAAAAAAACAAATCCTATATAAGACGCAGAGTTTTGCCCGTAAGGGGTTGAAATATAAAAGTCCTAAGCACAACTAAAAGACGCTTCCTTTATACCTCGATTTACCACCATATGTTTGTTTATTTGTTTATTCACATTTAATATATTTTGATTTACACATTTTAAAAATTAAAAATATTTCAGTTATAATAGTGATAGGATATATAAACAGTTATTTTAATATGTTTTAGTCAACTAAGTATTTTTATAAATTAATTAATAAGATAGCATATATTAGTATATTTATACAATTTATTATTACTTTATTATTTTTTTACTTAGCTTATTTACCCAGTTTTAAAGGGCGCTGTGGTTTGTTCACGTCGATCCCTACTTCAAGGTCTCCGGATAGAACCCTGGTACCGTTTTTCTACGCAATACACTTAAGAACGGCTTAATGAGCACACCAATCGATGTGCTGGCAGTTGAGCTCACCCTATTGGCGCTCGCGCAATGGGCTTCGAATTTATAATAGGGGTTAGCCTGGATTTAGAAGGAAAAATATATATATTTTTTTAAGACTGCTTTAACATATGAACAACACAATAAAAGCACAAAGAAAAAGAGTAGATGTATTATTGTGGTTAACTTGATAGAAAAACAAATCATTTTCTTACTTTAATCAAAATTATTTCACCCTTTTGTTAATGGTAGTCAATAATTTAATATTCAAAAATTATTGTATAACAATTCAATCGGTGTAAAGGACAAAAGCTCGCAACGTAGAAATCTAGTTTTTAAAAATTTTTTTGGGACTGTTTTGGTATTAAGAGCGCGCATTAGGCCTTGGTACTATCGCTGCTTGGATACGATTGTTATAAATTTTGTAATTAATAAGCCTGTTCTAGATACCTAAAGGGTTGCGAATATTTTTTATATAGTTGCTTTAATGTTCTTTCTAATAATTATTTACTCAAGTCTAGGAGTGCAGATAATTAAAAATTATAAATTATTAAAGACTGTTTTCCCGTATAAACCTTCGACATAAAAGTCTCTTAAACGTTCTTATGTTGTGATTAGGCTTAAAAATAAAAGATAAGTCAGCTCAAAAAACTTGAGGAAGGAAACATATGTGTTGAGGAAAAGATCCCAGTTCACAATTTTTAACGTAAATTGCCGTCTTTAGGCGAAACTATGATTTTTTTAATAATTCTGTTATCGCTTAATTATCAGTACATAAGGAATATATATGAGATTGCTTTACTCAAGCTTAAAGCCTATATGTACGCTGTTAACCTGTTTAGAGCTCGAAAATTCGGTTTTATCTTTTACTACCCGATTGAGCACCAGGCAATTTCAATAATAATAATAAATTAGCAAATAAGGAACATCCGCTAAGAAATTAAGAAATAAACAAGCAGTCGCACTGATTTTTTCCTGCGCTTTCGTCTTAGTTACGCCCGTATATCTGTACTTTGTATATATTATATATATCTGTGTACAGTTAATTTTTAAAGGCTTAAAGGTTTAAATACCCTAAGTGATAAATTTAAACATATAAACTAATACTACCACTATAGGCTCATGCTAAAAAATACTATTATACTCATCTATTTTAACTTACAGTGTTGTTAAAACTTAAGTAAATACTTTTAAATTTAATAAATTTAAAATACATATGGGTAATTTGCTTTAAAAACCCTTAGTATTCAAAAGAGCGCACTTATAAAATGATCAAAAGGAAGTAAAAATAATTAGCCTAGTCAAGGTCTCGACCTGGCCTAAGAAAGTTATAAAAAGAAAGTTGTTGAATTTAACTTGCTGGTTACCACTTGCCCTCATAGCAGTTGAATGTGATAATTATTAACCCTTTAGCGGGCAAAACTCTGGGTCTTATATAAGATTTGTTTTTTCTGCGAAATCACTTCCTATGTTAAAAAAAATATACTTTACCAATATTTTTTTTTCAAAATTTAGTTCTATATATCCAAATTAATATTCTAAAAAGAAACAGTAATCTAACCAAAAATCAACTTATTACATCCACAATGAACACTTTTTTGTCCAATAAAAAGATCGCGCAAAAAATGCTTAACTTAACGTTCAATGGTAACCAATTTTACCACATTTTTATGCTTTCTTGGTTGCTGCCTAATCCGTTAGAACATGGTACTCAAACTTAGTAGAGATTGTTTCCGAGACCGAGCCTGTCCCTTAGAGTCAAATTTCCATAGAGCTACTCTTGCAAATTGAACCTAAGCGCCAAGTGGTAAACATTGTAACCAGGAACCTATAAGGGGTTAAAACAGTCTAAGTTATAACTAACAGCAGAGACTAATAAACTATTGGTGGATTGTTTTCATTTAACTAAGCAACCATGAAGCATTTGTGATTATCCTGAGGAGTTTGTTTTAAAAAATCTGCAGCCCACTTATATGGCGCACAGAGTAGGTCCAACATACGAAAGCATACACATCCAAAAGTGAGGTAGTCATTTAAAGGAAAAGTTCTTGCACGCCTGCTTGAACTTAAAGAATAAGTAAATTAATTTTTGAGATGAATGAAAATCTGACTTGCTAATAAGAAGTAGATGCTGAGCTTGCGTATATGACCGACGTATTTCTTTTAGGAGATATATAGATGTTTTTGTAAAGAAGCTGACTCTTTGAGATAGTTACGTATAATAGGAGGAGAAAGAAAATTTTCAAGTTAATCACAAATTATCTCTAAAATAATAACCCAATATTTACTAGTTTTAACCGAAAACTTGAATAATTATTTCTGAAGATGAAGATTCACTAAGAGGAAATCTATGGATAAATAATTTCCTTTGGAGATGTGAAAAATTTGCGCATTTGATCACCCAGAGCTGATCAAGTTGTCCTATGATCTTACTCTGATGTCCAAAAGTAAAATGTAATCGTCCAGATTTTTTGGACAAATTTCCTAAGTATATTCACCTCTGAGTTATAAAGCTATCATATTGTTGGTTGTGTTTTCCACTTTCTATTTGTGCGAGAAGGCTATAGTAGTAATAACCAAACGGGGGGTCGAATGGATTTTAAAGCAGCTCTTAGTCTTTCAGAAACAAAGCTGCAACCGCGTATATCACAATTTTTAACAGGGGCAATAGCAGATGTCGCATTAACACAAATTAACATTTTCTGCAAAATAAGTTTTATGTTTTCGCAGGACCGAGGGTATGAAAAGGTAAATTAATATTGCATTAAATGACGTTAGTAGCTTCTTTTGCCTCACTGGAAGTGAAATGGTTCTTGCCGGTTAATCGTAGGTCTAGAAAGTGGACGCGTATATCATTATTAGCTGGATATAACACATACAAGGATTAATTTTTGTGCAACGAGAGCTTGCTTTGGCACAAAGCAAAGGGGAAAGAGTTATAAACGCTGTCTTGACCTCCATCTCCACGAAAGCCATTTACGGCCACCAAGTATATCTCTTTGGACCGCAAAGTAAATTCATTTTTTTTGAAGGTTACCCGGAGTGGTGGTGTAGTACGCCTTTTATCGGGCTAAAAAAGGTCTTGTTCTTAATTTTTATTAACTCAAGAGTCACTAGGTAGAACTGCAGGTGCCGGTGCAATAAGGCCGGTCATTTGACAAGAAATAAATCGCCAGTCATATGCCCCGCGTGTGGGTGTTGCCAGGTTGTGGCACGTTGCCCACTTAACGGGCGAAGACTAGGGTTTAAAGATGAAAACCTTACTGGACATCAGCTGTTAGTAGTTGTAGGGGTGAGCGCGCATCGTTTACATAAGAATTAAAAATGCGTTTCTTAAAAAAGGATTGATCACGTTAATTAGAACAATAGGAAGGGCTACGATGCGCGATTTGCAAAGTAAACCCGTGTTGCCATACTCGATCCAAAGTTTTTTCCACGTGACCTCTTTTTAAATTATAGGCACAGGTCGTTCCATTAAGCGGGGTCCTGTTGCCTCGTGAAATGACCTGGACGAAATACACACTGGAAGTTTAACAAAGCATGGCTAGCGTCAACCAAGCGGCGCAGTATGACGCCTATAACTACTTTGCCAGTGGATGGCGAGAGAAAAAAATACTGTAAAAGCTTGTCATGGTGCCTTCGTTAACACAACAACAGCTCTTGTCTCAGCGTAACAGAGAGGTGTCAAGGACCACCATCTAGTTGACGAGGCAGCATAGGCGTTCTACCACCCTCAGTGGTATTTGCTTGCGTTAGTGATACCCTCGCAGCCAAGTGCTTTGCGTCTCGGTAGAGCTTTAATAATCATGTTTTGATATGGTAATTGTCTCAAGCTGCTCTTCAGCATTAGCGAAGAAGTTCGACTAAAGAAGCACTTCATCCGCAACTAAAGAAGCAGGTTGGCATACTTTGAGTAGTAGGGCGATCAGCAAAAAGTGTCGCTTTGTCAGCGTCTTATCCCCGACATTACAATTAATTTAACTAAACGTTTGAATAGTTGGCATTATATATTTTGGGCCTAGTGATAAACACGTGCGTTTATTAAGTTAGCAAGTTCGTGGATTAAATATACCATACCTGCAAGGGGCTAATCTTTGCTTCCTGCATGGAACCGGTAGGTATAAAGGGAAAGCCTAATTACTGTGTTGTATATATATTGTCTAATAAAATATGTATATATATGTTCCTACCTTGGGTATACATATATTTACGCTTTTATAGTCACTACTTGTGATAGTGCCATTTTAAGAACAGTATTAAGATTCAAATCATATTAAAATAGAAAAGGCTAAATCTACACAACACTAAAGAACTTATACTTATATTTTAAAGAATTTTTAAACTCACATAATATCCCACAGAGAAAGAAAAAGGAAGCAATTAGCGTGGTACCCATTATTGGAAGGGAACACATACCTTCAAGGGGAGTAGAGGAGATATATTAATATGTATAAGAATAAACTAACATAAGTGGTGACGCGTACTAAAGTCAAAGTATTATTTACAATATTCTAGTATTCAGCGTATTACAAGCTGACAAATATTATATATTTTTATAGAAAAAGTATTTGTTGGAGCTGTTTTAAATACATTTGGTATTGTACAATTTTTCTTTAGTGAGCATTATCAATGGTTTACACCAGGCGACCTTTTAAACAAAAATTCAATAAGCCACTGAGCTCTTCGCGTGTTTTGTTGATAAACTTAAACAATTTTTTTTTCCAATGTTATTACCTTTCCAATTAGAAATTTAATCTTCAATAACTTACCGTTAAGCTTTTTTAAATATATATAATCCATTTAAAACACGTAAACTTTGTTCCTTTAAACTGATATCGTGTTTAAATTACACTTGTTGTTATACATAAATTTGAATAAGCCATTATTTCATTACTTCCACTCTTTTCGCCGACCCAACTAAATACTTTTATCAAATCGTTTCACATATACAATTTACCTATCTTTAAGGTCTTACTTTATCCTCTTATCATACGCCAGCTCAACCCTTTACTAAGTCATTTTGTTTTCCTCTTAAAAATGTTCCCCTTTACTCTAGTTCGCATCAATTTCTTGATAGCATTCAGGATTTTAATATCAGTCAAGTGTGTATAGCCATGTACGTTGAACTAAGTTTTAAAACGTTAAAAACCCTGTTATATGCAAGAAGCAACGATTAAAAAAAATTGTTAAAATAGCCCAATCAGTCACCTACTACTTGAGGTGGTGATTATCTGTTTTTAGGTCTTTTTAATTGAATTTTTTTAAGTCCGTTGTCTCCTTCCTTTAAATATTGATACTTCGTCCGCAGTTAGAGTCACTGGTATCTGTAACATAAATATATCAGCATATTTATAATTTTTTGCACTAGTCACTTTTCCTACAAATACAAACCACACAGGCCTAGAGTGTCGAACAATTACAAATAAAACACTAAAAAACTCCAGTGGTTCTTGGCATTCCTATTCATTTTTTTGGTATTTGTCGTCTTTGTAATTGCGGTGTCTACGATTTTAAAATTCTCTTCAGCGCGATGTTTAATTATACTCTACAGGTCCTACTGCCTGTATTGCCTATTACTACATTCTCTATATTCTGGTTAGAACTCTGATTACTATGTATACTCACAGTGCGCACTAAGGTATTACAAAGAATTAGGGGTTTACAAGTTTAGTACTTCCACCTATTAGCTAAAAGGCCAACCTTACGGAATTTAAAACATGCCACTTTCCTTTAACTGTCCTCCGCGTCCTGTAAAAGCCCCTTTTAAAAACCTTCGAAAAATTTATTGAGGATTACTGGCACTTTTAAAAGTCAAGCGCCCAAACCGAACTTCACCTTCAGACGCGTGTTGCTCCTCAGAAAAAATTTTCTTTAAGTAATAATTACCTGTTAGTCTTTATTTGTTGCTTTTAAATTATTTTTACACATTCTCTTACTATATCTGTTTTTCTACTTAACTTTTACCTAAGTCTTTTCATGTACAATGGCTGACTATTGGGTTTCCACTCCTAAGCATTACTGTAAATTTTGTAAATGTTGGATGAATGACCACAAGACAGTTATTATGCTACATGAGAGGTGCAATTGTAGTTTTTTTTAAAAGTAGATAATCTATTTTATTTTTTTATTAAAACTTTAAGAGGTCCTAAGCATCAAGCAGCAGTGGCAAGACGGTAGAATTTACCTAATAAATTTTATGGAAACTATTTTAAACACACTGTTTTATAGGATTAGAGAAGCCCGTGAAAAATCTTCTGAGGCCAGTGCAGAGAGCGCTGAGCTACTAAAAAAAATTGACCAGTTAAGCAGAGTATTTATGTGTGTTTGCTGTTATAAAAAATTAAGACCACAAACTTTGTTTAAAATTTTGTTATGTAAGGATGCTATGACTGCATACGAGAAAGATTTGTCTGAAAATAGCTACCTGCTTAATGACTCGAGCTTTCTAAGGGAATTAGAAAGAAATAAAAGTAAATAATTTCTTAAATAGATACCCTTCTAATATTATTTTGAAGTTCGAAATTTCTAAATTTTATATGGTAGTAGTAACTGTAGTCTAAAGGGTATTCTCTTTAGTATGTTTTTTAAAGTTAATTATTAGAATAGGTCTTTTGAATATTTCTTTACCGTTATTTGAGTAATATATGAAAGTAGCTTTATTTCATAGGAACAAACCAAATAATGAGCAAATCTCAAGAATTTCAGGGGGCCGCTGCAGCTGAAGCCGCCCTGATCGAGGTTCAGAAGAAGGCTCAAGACAGGCAGAAAAAAGGTTCATGTTTTTACTTTAAGAAAATATTAATTTTTAAAGTGTTCTGGCTTTCTTTGTTAGCCGCATAGACGTTTATTTTTTATTTACAAGAATTTTTGGACTTTGGACCTGCAGTTAATAAAGGAACTATTTGTAATACTGCAATTGACGAGGCAACTGGTATTTATATGCCTTTACTTCTTGTATATACTTGCGCATTTTTGAAGATCTGCAGTTTTAAGCAATTTTTATACATATAGTTTTAAATATTTTTCTTTCTTTTACCACTAATAAAATTCTTTAGGGCTAGGATTATGGCACTCCGTAGGCTCTTCCTCTGGTATATATCTTTTTGTACTGAAATTTATATATGTAAGTTTAATTGTTTTAAGAAGTGTGATTTATTTTTAATAAAAATAGAGGAAGAGAAAAACTCTTCAAATAATAGGGTGGTCTCTTCGGTTCCTTTCAAGGAATTACCTAAGCTTGCCACTGAAGCCCAAGGAGATAGTACTCAAGCTTTAGAGACCACTTATTGCGTTGAAGAGAAAGAGTGTGAAATCAATAAAAAAGTTTTCTTTAAATCCAACTATTTGTTTCATACGTTTAGGCCTTATATAATACTTATCTACAGCTTAGTAAAAGAATGAAAAAATTAAAAGAAGAAGAGGAAGAAGCAAAGGCTATCTTTGTTAGCAAAGTGACGCCAGTTTTCTGTTCAGCTTCGCGCTTATCTTCATCTACTGAAATCTCCTTCAGAAAAAGGCCAAAAAGAAACGCACGCGCAAGAGACGCCTAACTTCATACAGATCTTTCTTTCAGTAGTACTGTGAAAAAGCCAAAGTCTTGTTGGCTGGAGAGTAGCTCTTGCTGTCGCCTGTTTTGAATAAAAGGCCAATGTCGCGAGCTCATAAGCCTTTGGATAGTTCAAAATAACGCAAGACACCAACGTGGTTAAAAAAGTTTAGAGATTCCTTTATTGGTAAAGGATGACGGACAAGTTCAAAATGTTTTCTACTTATTTAGAAAAGCAAATCTTTCTTCCACCTCTCTATCTCCGCAGAGCTGGTAGAGTTTCTGGAAGACGGCGGGATCTTGCTCTGAGAACAATTTGTCCAGTGAGTCATTCCACACTATCCCTTGTGAATGTTAGAAAGCGAAGTATAAAGTTGCACTTTTCTTGTCACATACGATCGGGTCTCTTATCCTGAAGCAAACACTCGGCTGAGTGGTAGTCCCAGTTAGTGTAGTACTAGACGCCATTGTTGACGGTTCAGTGAACAGACGCTTGGCTAGGGCAGCAGGAAGATACACGTACGAGGCAGTAGAAGACAAGGCAAAGGGCTTGCTGGTATTTCTGAGCGAGAAATCTCACTTGAGCTTCCATGAAATTTAATTTTTCTTGTTCGGAATGCGCACTGGTCAAAAGATCAAAAGCCGTGCTAGAATGGAGGGGCGATGAAACAATAACCTAATGTCGCTTAAGGTGTTTGGGCGTTCTATTTGGTCTTCTTTCTGCGCTTGTCGTTTCCTAAACTCCCGCTTTCGTGCGGGTGTTTCCTCTTTATTGTCCCGTTCCGCGATGCCCCATTCCTGAATGGGGCTTTCAGCGGGAGTGCCCTCTTCCAGAGTTACTACGCGTCCCGTTAATTTTCTAAAATTATCGCTTATCAATAAAAAGAGCATATAAAGTCTTCAACAGGCCATACAAAGGACTTGAAACTGCAAAGTCTTTATTTCTCTGCAATTTTTCTTGAGCTCTTTTTAGCATCTTCTCTATAGCCTAATTAAATTCTTTAACTTTTTTTTATTTAAACAAAGTTAAATTACCGATGCCGCAATCATTTTTAGTTCGCCGTCCTTTGACATAATAAACTTGCAAAAACTTTCGTCTTTAAACGACAAACTATAAAATTACAAACGAATCCTTTATAATAATAGTACCATTGTACTTAATGGAGACTTCTTTTTTGCTTAAAAGAATAAGAAAATTCGGTCGCAAGGTATGAGTAAAGTGTGATCTGTAGGAACCCAATTATCCCTTAGAATTGCAAATAAATGGTTCATAAGGCAAACATTTTGTTTTCTTAACAATATAAGCCTCGTGGATTATATAAATTTAGCTTAGTAACTCCCTTCATATTCCCGCGGTTATAAATCTTATACGAGCTTTACAACTTTCTTTAAATAATAAGTAAAATTTACTTTAAAAAGCTTATACATCTGCGTGACTTATAAGTTCGGGTAACAATGAAAATTAAGAGTTTACCTCACAGTATCTCCTCTTCTCGATGGTGAAAGCTGAAGGGATTGGGATTAAAGGCAATAGTTATAGCAATTTTATTAGTGGCATTAGAAGTTTTCTTATTTTGTATTAACTTTTAAATTACTTACTTACCTTACTCCCCAGAGTGCTCCATTCTTTGGCAGTTAAGGTGAATGCTTTGTCTTCATTTACTTTTGAAAACAGTTCTGACTATAAATAAGTTATAAGATAGGATAGGTAACTTACTATAAGCATTTATTTAAATACAAAAATTATATAATGATCTTCGGGTTTAAAAGGTGAACGCTTAAGTTTTTTGTCCTTCGGCAGACTGTAAAATATAACTTACAAATTACTGAATATTAAAACAAAAAAAAAACCGGTAATCGCTTGGTGATAATAACTGAGAATGTTTTAGGCAGTCATCTATAAAATTCACTGAAACGCCCTGAAGAAATAGTTTATGTACTAACAAACATCCTTTATTAAATCTCTAACAGATGGTATGTGTGGTTTATTAGTAGCTCAACAAATTAAAAATAAATTATTTCAAGGCAAAATTGTTTATAACTTTCTCTTTGCTATCAGATCTGACAAGCCGCAAGGCTTTAGCATAATGACAATGTTTCACTACAGATCCTCCATGTTCCTAATAAGATTTTATAATCAGTTAACTAGACCCTTACAGTTGAGAACTAAAATAAATATGCAGTAAAATTTCTCCTCCGGCTTTAAATTCTACTTGCTCATAAATATAGAGCAGAGTAGTTAAACTAAATGCGGTATAATGATATAATACGCCTAAATGTTAATTTTTAATAATAAGTAACGCTACAAATAACAACTGCCTAGAATAGAGTGGAGTTTAGTATATTTCCTTATGAAAAATTAGTGTAGTAAAAGTAGATACCTCAATAACTTTTTTATAAGTTTTTCTTAGAGTGCCTGGGGGGATCCAAAATTGCATAGGGCTACCATCTTTAATAAAAATTTTGTGTGCCGTTGAAGACATGTCAACTTTATTTAAAACCACGGCAGAACAGGTTAGCCACAGTATAATTAGCAGAGGCGCCCAGAGACTCCCATTCTTTCAACCTTCTAATGAGGTTAACCAATAATATGGTACCTTAAGATAGTAGCTAATTGTTAATATTACCGAATGCTCTGAATTCAAACGTGCAACCACGATATTTAAAAAGCTAATTATATTAAAATATTTAAAAAAAGATTTTTGGAAAGTTCAGGAGGTTTTATTTTGCAATGTCGACTTTAGTTTCGGTATCCACCTTTCTAATAACATTTCTGGCCAAACTCGAACAAAAAACATGTGTCCTCCCTCTCCCAATCTCTCTCAAAAAGGTTAAGCGTTAAAGCCATCATAGGTTGAACTTAACATGCCAGTACCTAAAAAATATCAAAATAAGTTTGTTGGCAGACCTACCTTTTCATATTAAATGATATGTGTCAGTTTTACTATAACATTAACTAATAAAATGCTTTCCAGATTTCGCCCTTATAATTATATTTTTAATTTTTTAGAAACTTTACTATGAAAAGTTTATATATATATATATATATGCTAATGAAATACACTTATAAGCGAAATTATAAATACCCTGTCCACAATTCCTTATCTAAGATTTCCTTTATTTTTATAATTATTTTCCTTATTACAATGTAACCTCACTCAACGATATTAGTTGCAGAAACTGGAATGAAATTTTAAAGCTCAAAGTATAAACGTAATTACTATTGCTATATACATTTAAAATTTCTCAAGCTTTTTAAACTCCGAAGTCGATGTAAACCAATTATTACTGGAATAGGTTTAAAAATAATTACAAGCGCATAGTGTTTATGAATTATTTTAAGTCACACAGATTGTGTATTTTCGCAAAATCAGTTACTAGGGAAAATTAATTCTTTCAACTCGCTATATATTTTTAATTTCTAAATTCAACTTGATCCTTAAAATATAACTCGTAAATAGAACTTCTAACCATCACGTATTTGGAAATCGTTATAAGGTGTAGCTAGCTGGAAAATTAGATGTGGAGCATCGTTTTTGCGAATAGCACGGCGCACTCCTATTAGGCAGCAACTGGTTAAGGCGAGTACCGGTTTACATAACATATAGTAGTCCTTATTTCTGTTTGCTAATGTGGAAGTCTTAACTATTTGCCCAAGATACGTGTGAAAAAACTCCAATTAGTACATTATATTCTCTAATTTCTTTATATAATAAATTTAAATTTATGTTTCCCGTTTTGTATAGATATTCTAAAACTTCTTTTTGCCTTGAATAGGTGTATTTCCTTTAGAATTTAATAAGGCGAGGTTAGCAGGTAATAAAACTGCTGGGCTACGATGACAACTCTCAATCCCGATATAAATTTACGTATTATACTTGTTAATATTGTTGTGCACAATTTTCTTAGTAATGAGGTAGCGTATATCAGGTACACTTTGTATCTCTAAGAGATATTATAGTATTTAGCAATAATAATAGCGGTGTGTATTTCATATTAGTATTAATATTCAATACTGAACCTAATCGTTCAATTTCGCTCAATAGTCGTTTATAAAAGCTCAATTTGTTACAAACTTCTTTTTAGATTATATTCATTCTCAAGGTTGGTTAAGAATGTTTGGTGGTTTCCCTGTATTATGCAATAGAAACACCAATACTTGTATCATAATTTTTATGAGATAGGCATTCATCTATCTCACTCTGTAAATATCCATATTTTTCTAGTTTTCGGCTAAGAATTATAGGAAAAGACGAGCGTTGTCTTTCAAGTCATACAAGGCCACATTCTTTTTAAGCACGCATTTTGTATGTTTTGAGTGGTACTTAGTTAATAGCTGCTGCTGAGGTATATTTAAGTAGTTTTGATTAAACGGTTTAAGAAGTTTCGTATGTAAAATTGCATTAGTAACGGCGGCTGTCATCTGCAAATAACTGCCGTCTTTTGCGTGCCCTTCCCATTACTTATTTTACTAAAGGGTACCTAGAAATTTCTATAGGCAGAGTGGAAATAAGTTGGTAGTCACTGAGAAGTGCAAATCAGCAAATTTATCTACTTATTGCAAGCTATATTATACGGCTTATGATAAACAAGATGTAACGTTTTAGACCAATAATACTTAAACATTACTAAGTGGTCACATTTAGTAAAGTAATATATAAGCTCCAGTGCCAAGTATAATAAAGTATGCAAAGTGCTCTTGTAATAGTTGTCTGTACTATAATAAGAACGAGTTTTAATATGTGAAATAGTGTTTTAAATTTTCCGTACGCTTGAAAAAGCTTAAAAACGCCACGTTCGGTTATTTCCCTGTTTTGCAAGAGAAGAGGTAAGGCAGCTTACAGGTCGAAAGCACATCTAATCGTTCTTCCTTATTATACGCTAGACACTGTTTAATAAAGTCCTAAAGCAGAACACTTAGGATTAACTAATAGAGATGTTAGCGAGGATGACAGTGTTGTACTTTTGTTTCCTGTGTGACGAAGGGCTTCGGAGGAAACGTTACCTCCTTGGCGTTCAGTATTGTCTGTTGCTGCAATATGGACTGCTGGGAAAGGCCATCCCCAAAGGGCCGTTTTCCGTACAAACATTGGTAAAATATGATGCCGACCGACCAAACGTCGACCTACCAAGTAAGCGCTTGCTGAAAGGATAAGAAACTAATAAAAATGTACTTTTGAAGAAATTGTGGGGGGCGAAGGGCCACTTTGAAAGGTTTCCGGCGGTAAATACCTACAAGGAATAATAGTTATTATTCCTGAATTCAAGTGGGCTGCCGGAGGTCACCAGTAAGTCCCTGTCCCCTGAGACGTGAGCTCCATTTCCGTAACGGAGGTGGATGTCGTCTCCATTACTTTTGACAGCCCAAAGTCTGTTATTTTAACCAGTTTCTTGTGGTACATAATGTTTGCTATCGAGAGGGATATAGAAACAATAAAGTGTAGATGCGGGTAAAAGTTAAACCAGGTTTTAGGTCATAATGAATCACTGGGGGAACGAGCTCATTCAAATAACGAAGTGCATCAAAAAGCTGAACAACTATAGACTTGGCTTCCTTTTTGATAGTGACCATTAGCCGAGCTGAACAACCGCTATGAATAAAAAGCCAAACCCTCTCAGAAAGAATTTTCTTTTGCTTTAGGTAAAAGTCTAAGTCGTGGCCCTCGCAATATTCAAGCACGGTACAAAAAGAATCGTGATGGATTTCTGTAGAAATTTCGTGGAAAGCAAAAGGAAAAGGGTTATAGTAATGAAAACAACGCACCGAAGACGTCTATGAGACGGACCACCTTTGTGTGATCTAAAGCCTTGTGGATATTATATTCCCTACAGGCATGCTTAATATAGTTCTCCTTCCTTTCTTCCGACCACTGATTGTTAAGCGAGTGAATTTTACAAGCGACGTACCGGGATTCTTCGAGGTCAAAGCCCTAATGCGAGGGTTCGCCGTTCAGCACAAAGCCCATCTTAGGAGGAGTGTGGCATACCTTCATTACCTCGCTGAAGCCACCTCTTCCGAGCAGTTCGAGAAGAACGTAGCGGCCGTTCAATATCGGAAAGTTGTTGTAAAAGGACCGCTCTTCGTCTTGTATTCGTTTGTATTCGCGTATGTGCTGGTTTATAGAAACGTCTTAGCCTGTTGTACACGTGTTGCTATTGAACCTACCAGGTTTCTAAGTTTCTCGAGTTTCTCAAATTCAGAGTATAAATCCGCCTCTTTTTTTTTATGCTGCAACACCCGCAACTTTAGTACTTCATCGAGTTGATTGTATCTACCACTAATCGTTCAAGGTCTGATTACTATAATATGTAGAACTTACTCTTCCAAAGATAATGGCGAGAGAGACTGCGGTTTAGAGAAAACTCCTTCGCTCGACGTATCTTCTTCAAGAGATAAGGAGACTCCTTTTTTCACTGGTCTTCTTTTGTTCAGGTTTTTACGTAGTTTCTCTATTTCTTCTTTTCGCGTTTTCAAGCGCTCTTCCTTTACATACAGCTCTCTAAAGGAGGACCCGTTTTGCCAATGTTCCTAATTGCAAGTAAATGAGCATTAAGCGAATATAAAAATGGGAGATCACATACGACGAGGGCGTGCCCTTCGCGCCGGTAGATTAAGGAAACGAGCTTTACGCAGTTTTCGTCGCATTTATAGCGGGCTACTCTCCGCCTCTTTTTAGCATCCTCCACAATGAAATTGTAGACGAACTTTTCTATAAGCGGAGTATTAGGAAGTCTTTCCGGGCCCAGAAAAATGGAGGAGGATAAAATTCAAAAAAGTACTCAATAAAGCCAGAGAGCGTTTTAGACTTTCCTGGCTTTTTATAGAAGTGTCATTCTGCTGTTTCAAAAGCTGTGCGTGTTCATTAGAAATTTAAGACTCGTGTATAAGAGAAAGGAAAGGAAGAATAACACTTCGTTTTCTTGACTTATCAGCTTAATACGTCCGTCCAACGCCTTGATCTGTTGGTCTTTTAAACTTTCCTGGTTATCCAGCATCCGAAAAGAGGTGTCGGTCTGGCAGCTGGCCTTAACTGTGCTCTTTTCAAAATAATATATAGATGTCTACCGCGCCATCTCCCCCAAAAGCACCACCTTACGCCTCCTGGTAGATGTCGAAGAGTGCAGATTATCTTTGCTGTTGCTTAGTAGATGGCAGTCCCCTTTGGAGCTCGAAGCAGATGCCGTTGTCGTTGGAAACTCAAACCGATAAGTGGGCGCTGGGGTTGCTGGCAGCTCTTGATTTGGAAGAATGTTATTCAGGATGGGCTGAAAATTCTCCTGTTCAGAACTTGTAGGGGGAGGGGGAATATAATACGTTATAGCAATTAGTAATAAGCACAACTTAAAAGATGGCTGATGGTCTCTATAATAATCTTTGATCTTCTTGGAAGAATCGTGCCTGGAACATGGAGAGGAGCGTTTATATGTTGAAGAGCGTTTAAGGGTATAGCTGGCTATGTAATATATATATATATATTAAAAATTCAGTATAAAACTTGGTTGCAGCTATATACTTCAAAAGTGCACGTTTAAGATGTTAGTTAAAGTAGGAACCCAACTTAAAAATTAAGTGTAAAAGGAACAAATTATTAAATAATTTGAAATAGCTAAGCTAACAATATATTATTATAAGGACTAACTATATCTGGTCGGCTACCAGGCAAGCTTAATGTCTTTATAAAGAATAGTTAAAGTTCTTCACATAATAATCACCAAAAAAAGATTTGTCAGTACTATCTATATAGTGTACTTATACAGGATGCATATTCAAAGTGCAAGAAAATGCTGTGGTAGAGTGTGGGAAGTGAGATATGAAGTTTTCTTGTGCAAATTACAGTAAGTAGGAGTGGTAGCATTGTTACAAACGGGTCGCCGAAGAGTACTCCTATGGCGTTCAGGTGTGCTTTTTCTTCTTCTCCTCTCTTTATCTAAGCCCTTATACAGTAACACAAGTTTTTTAAAGCTACTAACTGAGTTATAGAGAGCACAAGAGAGAAACATACGGGCGTAGAAAGATGGGTTCCTTCACATAGAGGCAAAGAGGTCTAGTATATGTTTATAAGAGCTATTAGAATTTTTCTAGGAAGATATAATAATAACTAATTTCAAAATAAAAAGAAATGAACATACCCCTAAAGAATCCTCTTCGCTGACATAACTGCTAGCACTGCACCCGCTAGTGTTGCTATGACCATTCGAGTACTATAAATTTCTAATTAGTTTATTTGTCTTCTCTGTATACGGGAAGGTACCTCTAAAGGACAATTGACAGGTTGAAGTGCACTACTAAACGCTTCATCACTCACATAAACCAAAACTTTTTGGTTAACCACATTCTCTCCCTTTAAAGATTCGCCTAGCATCTACAATTGTAATATTGAAGAATTTAAAATAGTATTTTAAATAAATAATAACCTTTTAACATTATGTTGAACCGCAAAATACTAGCTAACTTTAGTCACATTGAGACTAGAGAACCTTAACGTTTAGCTCGGCTAGTAAGCGCGGTTAAAAAAACAATATTGACTTTTTCGTTCGAGCCACACTATTGGTTGTAAAAGAGTGTAATGTTGTACTAAAAATTTTGACTGTTTTTGAAAAGTACGGGTTGAACAATATAATCGCCGTTTCTTTAAAATATACAAAATTGTAATAATCACAATAGCATTGACTAATTTTCATGAGGTTAACTGTCGACCCCTCCCCCGAATATAACTCTACTTTATCTAAAAATTACTTTTAACATTTTCTTTAAAGGTCCGTAAGGATTATGACTGAGCTATAAAGTAAACCGTACTTCTTGGTTAGCACATTTGGAACAGTACGTTCATTGAAAATACTACCTTTTTTTGGAATATTTATTTTTTAACGCTAAAGAAATATAAAGATTTAATTCACTATATTGTTATGTATATTTATTGTTATCGCTATTTCACACATTTTAAGTTTCAAGTGTTAAATTTTTTTTTACAATCAAGCCCTCTTCTTAAGTTACCTACTTTATTTTTTACTTGTTTTTCTAACCATGCAGAATATACAATTCTTTGCGTAGCATTTTTGCTTAACAACGTGAGAACCTTAAGGGTCTCTTTAACTGCGACAAGGGCTTATACAATAAATAGCCACTACTCATCAGGGAATTATGACATCTTGCGTAAAGAAACATAGGAAGCCCAGGTCAAGATGAATAAGAAATTTAAAATTTTGCTATTAGGGCTTAAATTATCACGGGCAGAAACCCTTTGAATTGAATTTTATTATTAAGGTCACGCAACCTGAACACGCTTCCATGAAACTTATCTACTACAGGAAACCTAGTGACTGTTATAAGCTTAATTTTAACATGTTAAATACGTAAAACTATCAAGCCGGGATGGAGGGTTGTCTTCGTAGCTTAGCGGTTAAGAGCATTGAGGCACACTCCCAAGCTCGTGGGTTCGGTTCACGCCGACTCGACACTCTTTTTCGATCTTTGATGGCCACGTTTTTAATCTCGCCCTTTTAAATTTTAAATCACGAACTTTGTAACACAGTCTGATCTATTTTGCTACTTAAGTTAAAGAAAATGTACACATAAAATCGTTTTTTTTACATAAAAGAATGTATAAGAGTAGATTAATAAATACAATATGATATCACTATAGCAATATTACGGCGTCATATTTAAAATTTTTTTTTGCACATATTCGTGGGCCTTGTAAACTTTTGTATAAAGGTCAGTCACGCAGAAGAAGCTTTTTGAAATAAGGGGAAAAACGCAACTAAATTAAAAGAATTTATAATCACAACTAAAAAAAGAGGCTATGAAATATATTTATAATATATATGTTTACAAAGTACCAATCACAATTACGACTAAACTCAAACCCACCATAGGAGAGGCCGCTAATCAACTTTACTGCCACTTAAAAACCACACTGCGTTACATTATCGATAGCATAAGACCAGTTATTTCCTATTCTGTTGTGTGCTATAGGTTTTTACACTGTAACTATGATAAGTTTAAATTTAAACTAAGGCACTTAGTTTCCTGCGTCTTTCAAAAAATTTTTACTTTGTTAATAAAACACATGAAATTATACTGATAATATTTTGTAAACTGTGAGGATTTAAGGGGACATTTATTTTGCTGAGTAAATGCCTTACAGAGTGTTTCTTTTTATATAGTGTATGAAAAGTGAAAATTACTCGCTCGAGGTCGTACCACTTCAATTTATAAGCGAGTTGGCATGCTGAACCAGGATTTATTTTATTAACTAGGCAACGGAAGATATTAACACAAGTGAATACCTCGCAGATACTAAACGGCTGTTTTAGGATCCATCCACCAACATAGGGTAGTCCATAATATTTTGTTAACTCAAGAAAATTATACCTTAAACGTAAGATTGAATGGGCGCCCACTAACTAGGTGTATGCCAGTGGAAATGATAGGCTACAAAGATACGTACTGTCTCGTATCTAAAAAGACACACTAAGAACACAAAATAAACTTGAGACACAGCTGCTTATATTAAAACAGCAATTCTCTACTGTTATTAATAATTTTATAAACTATCGCTTCTTGTAGTCCTCAAGATTAGAATAGAGCTGCTAAATTATAAATTTTTTTAAAAGGAAGGGTAGAATCAGAACTCATTTACTAAATTTCTTTGCACTACAATGCCATGTTCCAAATTCTCGAGCGATACGTATTTCCAGTCTATTGTATACACATTTCCACGCTCGCATAAAATCATTTTAAGTTAATTGGTTACTCGCTTATTTATTTGAAATGTACATAACTTACATCACACAATTTGCAGGCAGTGTGTACACATATCGAGAGGTGTGCAATTATTTGTCGCTTACTTAACCCATACTTGTGACCACACCTCTTGATGACCGGTAATACAAATAAAGCGCTAAGTTTCCAGTAAAGTTAAGCGTTATATGCCGTGTAAAAGAAAATGATAATTAGTTCTCGCAGCTATCTTTTTATTTCGAGTTTACAATTGAACTTAAGTGAAAATTCATCAAATGTTAAGGACTTCGATTTTATTATTGCTAAGCTTTCTAAATTCGTCACCAAATGATATTAAAAGGAAGAAAGAACCTATTGGTGTTACTGTAAGTACAATGAATTAATACTTTATTATTTAAATTCTATACTAAAACTTTGGATCATTGGGATAATGAACTACTGAAAAGTATTGATTCCAAAATTACATGAATTGTATGGTAAGCGATAATATGATAACCCTACTTATACCCGTAAAAATTAATATATAGAAATAAAACTAAGAGTTGCGAAGCCACTGTCTGTAAAAATATTAATAACCACAATAATTTTTTATAGTAATAGTGTTCGTAATATTATTTAAACTCAAGATAATGATAATAGTGCTTCCGAAACTGAATTTCTTTCCCCTCTAAGTAAATCTTCCGGCGAAAAACTTTTTATAAGTTCGGTAACTCATAAAACAGTGTTGATGAAAAAAAAAGTGCCGTTATTATTATTAGTTGAAAAAAAAAAACTTTACTAAATACAAACTAAATATTTTAGATGCTGTCAGTTTCACGCGGTGTTAAAATATATTTAAAGAGCTTACTGACTATCGCAAATAAGAAAAATATATAAATTTTAAAAATGCTATAAACTCTCAGAAGATAAATACCTCAGGGAGTTATTATAAGGCTACTGACCGAAATATCGAGGTTAGGATTTTAGGGATTCAAAAGAGCAGAGTTTTAATCTTATAGAGATACTGCAGATGATAAAGACCCTATCCGCACTAGTTCGCAATTTGTTTTCATGAAACTTCGAAAATTAGATTAGAAAATTTGATATCTGTTTCCCGAATAAAGTCACAGTTGAGTTACTGCCTCAAAAAAGTTTCGTAAGTTTGAAGCTATCAATTTCTTATATTCACTGAATAAAAATTATTCGAGTCATTTAGTATATAATTATAGGCCTCCTGAGCCTCTTAGAGATTTTTGTTTCATTTAGAAGGCTCAATATCTTACATACTAGTTGTAGGTAGCACACACAAAACCTACCTTGCCTGTAGTTCTATGACAGTCTAGCCAAGGATGACCAAGAAAGACAAGCAATGAAGTAACGGGAAAGACATGCTGGTGCAAGCACGAGCATCGAGCGGACTGTTGAAGAACAATTATTTCTACAGGTGTTTTGAACTAGTTAATTCGCCACTAGTTTGTTTATCGAACTATAAGAGCGATAAAACTATGTTTGAAAGTAGTGTGCAATCATGCTAGTGTGGAATGGTTTAAGTTTTCTGTGACTTAGCTGCCCATAGGCTACGTACACTATTTAGAAGTGCTAAATAATTGGCGTGCAAAATGTTGGCTTACCTTCGCTCAGGTCATCACCCTCTATGATATGGAGGCGCCTTTGGGTGCTGTACTCGTTAACATCAAAGGCAAGCCCCAGATTGGTGCAAACTTTTAAAGTTGATTTCGATTTTCTCAAGGGAATATTTTTTTCCTGTTCCGATTTAGTATCATATACCGCCGGGGACGCCAGCGAATATATCCTGTTTCAGGGAGAATCTCACGGTCGTTGGCAACCACTAAAACAGAGCTGCATAGTGCGCCCGCTTCTCCAACCTAAGAGTAGGTAAGTTGTTGGTAAACAGTCCTGTGGAATAAGTGGCAAAAATTCTAGTATGTCTTTGAGTTGTTACTTTCAAAACAAGAGTACCATCCACTAGTAATTCGAAAAGTAATCTTTATTATACATTTATCAACGAATAAACCTATGGACGCTAACAGTGCTGTCTTTGCATCAGAGACTATAAAAAATTTCAAAATAAAAAGAAATACTGCCTTAGATATACGATATGTTATTATGTTACAACACAATCTTAAATAATTAAGACTTTTAAAAAAGATATACAGGAATTATTACATTATAAATGTTTAAACACATATAATCGTATTGTTATTTATTGTTTTATAATGGTTTCTTATATGTATAAATATACTTTTAAATTATTAAATTAGAAAGAATTAAGTGACTAGTATCGTTCTTAAGCAAAAGAAGAAATGAGTACAAAAATGTAACTAACTTTGCACTCTAGCACCTTCATGGTGTAACATTACATTGATTAATATTAAAACTTTATATAGGTAAACAGCATTTACTGTACCCTTAAAATGGTTGTTAGGGGTCTGATTAACTTTTTAACTCAAAGCTGCAACTTTTGCAATTTAAAAACAAATATATTATAATGGTTTGCGGACTTGGGATCTGTAGCCGGCGTTTATGTTATCGACAAAGTTTAGAAGCCCGAAAAAGTTTAACTGACGAACAGTTCGAAAAAAAACTTTTCGGCCAATAAAAGAAGAAACAACTAATTAAGCGTATTTTTTGTAGTATTGAAACCACTAAAATCCCAAAAAGGCTTGCATTCTTACCTATCAGAATTATAAAATTTCCAATTTTCATATAATAAATTTGGTAATAAGTACCTTTCGCGGTCAAATAAAACCGGCTATAATTTTAAGGTTTCCAAACACGTTAGGCCCTTATGTTACTTAACTTCAGAAGTAGAAAACTGGTGTGCTAGAATAACTTAGGCCGTATCATTCTAATTTAAAATTTTAAAAAATTTATAATTGTTTACACATAGATCTACTTTGCTATTTTTTATACCCAGTAAAAAAATATCTTACCTTTGCATGTCGTTATCTATAGTTTGGCGTAATAATACAATAAAATATGACCAACTTTACTCAACGTACCCGCATCTAGCTCAGTTCTATCCTTTTCAAACAGGTTTTAGGTGTACCAAAAAATTAAGTTTTTAAGCACGCTGATATACCTTATGTAAATAGAAAATAACTGGGTTGGATTTTTTTACGCAGATTTCTGTAAAGAGACGATGTTGTCGGTGGTGTACCTTTCGACATTCTATTTGTTAGCAGTTTATTTAGGCCGCTCGTTTATGGAGAAAAACAAACCTTTTGATCTAAAGTAGTATAACGTTAATACATTTTATACACACTACAAAATTTGTGATGATCACAGATACTCTCTGGCCTTTTGGAACCTTTCTTTATCACTTTTTTCTTTTTGCGGAGCTTTGAGGACCTTGCCACACCTTATAAATAACATATACCTTCATGGATATCAATGGTCAGTCTGTACCAAAGCCGAAGAGGCATTTGGCTGCGGTATTTCTTTTATTGTATGCAACCAATAAAGCAATTTAAAGTGTTTTTCTTTGGTTGATATTTCAAGGGCCTTCCGGAATGTGGACGACTTTATTTGTATTTTCAAAAATTCCAGAGCTTTTTGACACTCTATTCATCGTTTTACGAAAAAAGCCTTTAATTTTTCTGCATTGGTACCACCACGTAACAGTCCTATTGTACTGCTGGCATGCCTATGTAACGTTCTATATCTTTATAATATATACTAAGATGTAAACTATTCTTTACGAAGGCCACTCGAGCGTCGACAGGACTTTATTTCGTTGCAGTAAATTATTCTGTGCACGCTGTTATGTACTTCTACTATTTCTTAGCAGGGCTAAGGAAGGTATTTCCGTCTAAGAAATTAAACATATCCGCCTGCATTTATATCACTCGTACCTCACTCGCTATATTTGCCTTAACACACTTTTTAATAACTACATTAAACAATAACACTTTACCAACTGTAGGTCCCTAGATGGTTAAATCCCCTGTGGATAACATCGTTTCAAGTGTCACAGATGGTTCTCGGGATTGTAATCTGCGCAAGCGTCTTTATTTACAAAGTAAATGGCACCAAGTGTGAAGTTCATAAATATAACCTACTAGCCGCAGGTATATATCAAAAAAAAAATTTCCTACTCCTGTTCCAAAACGCTAAACTTTCCAGGCGCAATGTATGCGAGCTACTTCTATTTGTTCTTGCAATATCTAATTAAACGATATCACCCGATAAAAGTAAAAAAAGCGTGAGAACGATGCAGAAAGTTTCAGTAAAAGCAAAAGCGATTAACTTGTGAAATTTAATATGTAATTATACGTACTCTTCGGGTGTAATAAAAGATAAAAAATTAAGTATTCCCGAGGGGAGGGGGGGGGCTACCCAAAACATTAACCTCCTTTTTTTCCCTGCTGTGTGTCGCCGAGATTTTTTTGTGATAAAAGACTAAAAATGGCAATTCGAGCAGAGCCACTCCAAGGAGGCAGCCTCCTGCTCCTGAATACCCACACAAGAGCCGTGGTACCAAGTGTCGCAGCCGTCACAAGCTGCAAATGAAAGTTGCCAAAGGAAGTATGTGAACGACGAGTTAAGAAATAGTCTCTATACCTAGCCAGTAGTCGTTGGGTTTGATTGCCTCGTGGCAGACGCACGGGTATTTGCTCACGTCGTCTGCATCGTATGCGTTGTCGTCATTAAAGATACCCTTTCCTATAAGAGAAGCAAGGGCTTTCGGCGGCTGAAAAGCGGCAAAGGGTGACGGGTACCTTTGCTTTCTTTGCAAAACCTTTCCTTTGTTTTCTTTTTTAAAGCTCTTTCGCCAACTTGCAAGCTATTATGTTCTGGCAAGTAGGATAGCTGAATTGTTTCTTTGACAGTGCACTTAGAGTTTCCTTTTTGTGATAAGCGCGCTACTGCTGCTTCCTCTTTGCTATTGTTTTTAAATTGTTTAAGTTTTTCCTCCATATCCCCGATTGCTTGTAGTAACTCTCTCCTCTTGCTTCGTAGTACGGAAAGTTCTTCGGTTTGCTGTTCTATTTTTCGTGTCAGCTCCCTTTCACTAACGTCCAGTTGATCTTTACTGCATCCGTTACATTTTGCAGCAAGCAACTCCTGCAAATTTTTCTCTTCTCTCTAAAGTAAAAGGAGTTAACTTGTAATTCTAAGTAAAGAGAAGAGGAGCGAACCTCAGAGTCATCATCGGAAGTAAAAGGAGTACAGCTAGAATGATCGTCACCCGCACTTGTCACGCCGTCTACCTCGCCATCTTTACTTTCTAGTAGTTCCAGAAGAACAAGTCATTACTGTCAAAAGCGCTATGTTTAATTTACTATGCTTTTTTTATTAGCTACGATAGCAAGTGTACCCCCTAGTGAAATTATTAAGTTTATCCACTTGACACGAGTATAAAGAAAACGACACAAAATTAATCAATATTTAAATATTTTAGGCGATGAAAAACAAAAATAAGTACAAAAAAGAAACTATTAACTTAAGCAAAAAAAATTAAAACCGGTTCGGTAAAGGGGCAAGGAAATGTTAGAATAAACCTCCACAGGAATTCCGTAAACTTCCTTGTTTTTCTATAATGTAGATTTGTACTCTTAGGTTAGGTGTACTATTGCAAATAAACAATAATAATATTTATATTAAGGACTTTTTTCAACGCTTTAACTTCATCTGGTCTTAATTTATTCCCCGAATTAATTATGCAGCCATTCTTTCGAAGTACACCAATCCTTAAAGGCAAAAAAAAAACGAGGATTAGAACAGTAAATTAAAAATATTATTAAAAGAAAACTTGGAGTTATTTTCCTTTCGAATAACGTCCGGATCAAGATGCAAGCCTAACAAAATTACGACAGAGTGTAAAAAATTTAATTTTTTTTTAACCGCAAAAGATATAAAGAACCCATAAATTCGGCTATAGACTGTTGACCCAGAAGACGTTGTGTTTGCATGGAACACTGTGAAGGTGTCTTACCTTTAGTTTAGTAGAAACGGTGGTTAAACGCACAAACTTAAAAAAAGAAATTAACTTTTAAGCCAGTACACCAACAGTTAAGATTTAAAAAATTTTTAATTGAGGCTTTGTTAAGAAAATAACCTGGTAAACAGCCGCTTTCACAGATTTCTGTCCATTTTCCCACGCCATATTTCATAAGAGCAAAACTACAAACAAAAGTTGGCTTATTAAAGGTGATTTTTATGTTAATACAAAAAATAAATTAAAACATATAAACCGTAAAATTTCTACTTCCTCTCTTGTCCATCCCGGGGAGAGCGTGTAATTGTACAGGGAAGCACTATCCCCAGTATGAACAAATTCCGAATTTATCTCCATATACCTTAAGTGTGTACCTCAGCACTTAATAAAGTCTTTAAAGATATACGATGGTAGCACAAGTAAATCGCACTAAATATCAGATTAAATTTCACTAGCCCAAGGCGCAACCAAGCAAACTTAAACTTGCACTAACATGAGGGCCTCGTTACCTTCAGTAAATAAACTCCCGCTTTTTTGGGGCGGGGTCTCACTATCTAACATATTAAGGGATCTAGTATTGCCGAATTTTATATTCCAGTTATTAAACGGGGCCGTCTTCTTTAGATAAGCTATATAATTAGTGTCATTCATATGATATATTACACGGTATATGATCTGTTTGCCCAAGTAGGAGACACTCTCCACATGCACGAAACAATGTAAGAATAAATAAACTTTTGTCTTATTAAGATAAACAAGAAGGCAATTCTACAAAAATTCTTTCTTTCTATAAGACTGTTCAACATGCACAAGTTTGCGAATTTCACCTTTAAAGCAAGTTATTTCAAATTTAACCCCCTCTACCAGGGCCATGGAGGGATTAAACACTACGCAAAAAAAAAATTTTTAATAGGAAAATCAAAACAGAGTAGTGTATGTCATTAAAAAGAAAAGCTAAACGCTTTTATTCTTTGTTCTTTTTTTCTTCACTGCTTGCTTGTTAAAAAATGTATTTCATTGTCCCTTCGATATTAAGACCATGCTTTAAGAATAGTCAGCATTTGTTTTTTTGTTAAAATGAATGAAAGTGAAGTGTAAAATATTCGACTAAGCTATGTTAAACAAGGAAAGATGTTATCAGTGCCATTATATGGTTAATGATGTGTTATTTTCCCTCTTTTAAAACCCTTTTCTTTACTTGTTTAAAAAGCCGACATTCTTACAATAACTAATGTTCCTTGTCGTTGTTAAGCAGGCGCACTTAAATTTATAAAAACTCAGTATGAGTTGGAAGCTAGGTAGGTCATACTTTAATGTAACGATACATCACATCTCTAAGACACCCGATATGATTTGTCACACGCTAGAAGAACCGCAAAAGCGATGGTAGTGCCCTATAAATTTTTTTGCAGTACTTGCCTTAGAAAATGCGAAACGACTGATAATGTAAATGAAAGTTAATTTCTAGCTGTTTAAGATTTTACAATTAAACAGATGGTTAAAAAAAATAATACGTTGTTTTACGAAAAATAGAAGAATTTTTTCATGTACATGGGCATCACTATATGAACTGCTTCCCTATAGTTACTCCCGTGGGCGCCACAATTTAGTAATTCGAGTAGAATAGGGTTATACTGTACCCTGAAAAAATTGTACTATTTAGACACTATAGGATATCAGTACACCAAAAATTCATTACGATATACTGAATTTACAGTTATATGGAAGACATTAGACTCTTAAAAAAGTATAGATAAGAGTTAATGTATATATTATTGTGTCATATATGATTATTGAGTTTTAGCTGTTAAGTACTTCAAGCTAAGTGAAAAAGCAAAGGAAACCATTACTTCGCCCAAAAATTGTAAGCTAAGCTTAGCTTACAGTATAATTCGCAAATATGTGTTCACATTATAGTTGTATTATGATCTACGTTATAATAATTTTCTGTATACTAAAACAAACCATTTAGTACACATAAAATTTATTTAATTTTTTTTAATTGACGCTAAAAATCCAGAAAATTTTCGAGATTTGTGTTTACGTGTTATCATTTTTAAGTTAAAATTGCTATATGAGTAACTTCTCCAACATTTCCGGCCTGATAGCCTTCCAAACTAACACACGTGGTGTGCTTAGTACTATCTCTGGAAATTTTAAATTGTTTTTGTAATTGTTTGTATGCTTGTATTTAAAATTATTTTGGGGGTAATATCAACACTTTAACTCGAATATTTCTTATTGTTTAGTGATATAATCTACCTTTTTTTTTTGAGTTTTTGAAGTTAGTAGTTTTATTAGTCGAAATATAATGGCCACTAGTGATTCAGACTTTAAAGTTCAAATGTGGAAAGTAAAAAAGTTAATCAAGCAGCTGGAAGCAGCCAGAGGGAATGGTAAGTATATAAAAAAATAAATAGTTGCTTTTTACTTGTAAAAAGTTTTTTTTCCCTTCCTCTTCTTTGTATATAACAATACATTTAGTATATCTTTGTAACATCAGGGACAAGCATGATTTCTTTAATAATTAGACCGAAGGACCAGATGTCTAGAATTGTCCAAAAACTACAAGAAGAATATGGAACAGCCTCCAATATAAAATCTCGTGTTAACCGTTTATCCGTGTTGAATGCTATTACTTCAGCGCAAGGTAAAGAATTTTCTATATTTTAGTAAAACTTTAAACTTAAAACACATAAAAATTCATTTAAGTATTTATATAAATCTAAATAAAGCAGAAATTTTTGTAGAGATTCATTTTATTAGTAAAAAAACGTAATATTACCTGTTTACTAGCTCTTAAACTTAACGGATTTTTTTGTTTTTTTAATTAAACTTCGCGTACTTAAGAATGAATAACTTTGAGGTTGTTGAGAGTTTTATACCTGTAAAATTTTTTTTTCAAATCCACTTTAAAAGGGGTTAATTATGTGTTTATTGAAAGAATTTAATGTTTTATAGCCAGTAAGTAGGTATTTATATTTTTGCACGAACTAGTTAGTATTCTATTTTCAATATTTTTATAATACAATTAAATCTAAACTTATTTCCTTAAATTGTAGGGAAGTTAAAGCAAATTAGTAAAGTTCCCTCTAATGGGCTTGTTGTTTACTGTGGAACAGTTATAACAGAGGAAGGCAAAGAGAAAAAAGTGAACATAGACATCGTGCCGTTCAGGCCTATAAATACTACCTTGTATATGTGCGATAATCGTTTTCACACAGAAGCCTTAAACGGTAACTAGTTATTTTTTTCTTGCTAATTTACTATGTATTATTGGTTGTAGAGTTATTAATTGATGACGATAAATTTGGATTTGTGGTTATGGATGGGAACGGTTGTCTCTTCGGATCCTTGTGCGGAAACACAAGAGAAATCTTGCACAAGTTTACAGGTTTTTGACTTAAAAGTTAACACTAAGTTTAGCCATTTAAAGTTTTTTTACAAGTGGATCTTCCCAAAAAGCATGGAAGAGGAGGACAATCCGCTTTACGCTTTGCCCGTTTACGTTTGGAAAAGCGACATAACTATATTCGGAAAGTTGCAGAGACTTCAAAGCAGATTTTTATAACCAACGATGTGGTTTGTGTTTTGTTTTTTCACTACCTTTATATGTAGTTTGTATTTAGTGGTGTTTTATCACAGCCTAATGTTGCTGGATTAATCATAGCGGGAAGTGCTGGTTTTAAAAATGAACTTGCGCAGTCCGATCTCCTTGATCCACGACTGAAGTCAAAGATACTCGAGGTCACGGACGTTTCCTACGGAGGTTATGTTTTTTGACTTCCGCATTGCATACTGCTACGTACATAAGTTATATACGACCTGTTATTAAACTCCTAAACTCTTTATAAACTTTTGTTAATATTGTATATAATAATTTATAAAAAATTTAGGAGAAAACGGGTTTAATCAAGCCATCGACAATTGCGCGGAATTGCTATCAGGAGTAAAATTTATGGAAGAAGTCAAACTTATCTCGAGGTATTTTAGTGAGATCTCTCAGGACACGGGGAAGTACTGCTACGGTTACAAGGTCCCTACAGGAGTTTCTTCGCATCATAGTTATCTTATGCTTTTTTTGTAGGACACGCTGGCCTCCATGGAATCGGGTGCAGTGGATGTGTTGATTGTGTGGGAAAATCTTCCCATCAACCGACTGGAAGCGAAAAATCCGGAGACACAAGGTTTGCCTTTTTTTTTTTTGTTTACACTGTATATTATTTATTACTTTGTTTGATGCAGAAATTCAATTCTTGTACTTGACGCCCGAGCAAGAGAAGGACACCGAAAACTTCAAAGACCCGCACACAGGTTTGCAGGCGGACGGCGGTGGACGGGGGTTTGCGTGAAAGTCGTGTGTTTGAGGTAGGCCAGATGCTGGAGGTCGTCCGGAGCATTCCGCTGGTCGAGTGGTTCGCCGACCACTACCAGGAGACATGCGGTTCCATGGAGATCGTGACGGACAAATCGCAGGAAGGTGCACAGTTTGTCCAGGGATTCGGGGGAGTGGGAGGTATACGTCCTCGTGGTATCATGTTTCCATTGCTGGAAGTAACTTTTGCGACAGCGATTCTTCGGTATAAAGTGGACTTACAAGAGATGAATCCGCTTGAGGAATTTGACGAACTCGCTGAATATGAGGACTACTTGTAGCTAGACATTCGGATAGATTTAAAAATAGGATAAAAAATTTTAGTAGATTTATTTAAAAGTTGTCAATTCGTAGTTTTTAACTTCTCATCTTTTCTTTTTTCGATGTCTCTTAAAAAGTCAATATACGACTCTCCAGCCATCGTGCGGTCGTTGATCAGCGACTGCAGTTTGAATAAGCTTAAAAAGTAATTTAAACAGTAGGCAAGTTGCCTGGTAAAACACGTGGGGGGAGAACTCTCCCGCAGTTGCTTCGCTCACTATAGTCAAGAGTGGTGTTAGATGACATCGCTGGTTAAACGCCGCTAACAGTTCATGGAAGGCATCCGATAGCGAGTTGCGTAGGCGTGGTGGTAACTAACGAACGCCAAAGCTGTACTAGAAAAAATGAAAAAGTGGACAGATTAAAAGTTACACGGCAACAAGATATCGAGGCTGGCTGGTCGGCCATGAAAAGTTGTTCGCACATATTTCGGCTAATATTTTTCCCAATGAACACCAAAAGATTCTACATGCGAATAATGTAAAGCGCTGTATATAAAAGTGATGCACTGTTTGCATCATACCGTCACGTTGTACAGCACATGTACTTTTGAGGGAGAAAGATACTGCGAAGAGGGTGGCAGCAAGCATATGTTCTGCCCGAAGAGGATTATTATTATAGCCAATAATAAATTCAACTGTAGCATGCAATACTACGCCCTCATCCGCGTCGCTAAAGGAGTATAATTCCGGGTAAATGTATACAAGTAAAGTTTCGGCTTGTAAACTTCTGTACAACAGACGGGCATAGTCGCGCATGTCCGGCGGGACATCACCTCTTCTAGCACCGATCTAACCATCAAAGTTAGTGGCTCGTGAAGGTGTACGAAACGGTAATCCTTGCATTTTTAGACAGCGCGAAGGCAAAAGGAGGCAGAACAGCAAGACTGGCCGGATAGTGGAGGCCGTGAGTGGGCATCGAAAAAGTCTTGTGAAATTGCATAGAAATGTTCACCAGAAATGATTTGGTGAAATCAGCGGTGTCTTTCTCCATTGCTGCTGTACCGCAAAAAAAAGTACGAAAATATTTTTGTTCAAAAAGTGCGTGTCATACCGAGTCTTGGAAGGAGAGAAGCAAGTGTATATCCATCTACCCCATGAAGCACATCTGCCACACTGTTGCTCGTAGGAAAGCGAAACGTCATCACTCTTATATTACGTATACCTAAAAAGAGGGAGAAAGGAGTGTCAAGTGCATGATTGTGGTTCGCCAGTTACCATCGTAAGTGGTATACAGCGTGGTCAGTTGTAGGCACGTCTGCAGATGAGGTAAAGGCTCCTTCAGCTGAAGTTGAAGCACTAAAGAAAAAAATCGGCTGTCCACCTGTCACTTTATGAGTAGCAAAAGTAAGGCAGCCGAGAATGGGCCAATAAAACCTTCGACATAGAAACCACGGTAGAATCCGATAGTTCAGAACAAACACAGCCCGCTGGCGCACGTATCTTCAGCGCCTGATTCAACAAATATATTAATACACGGCATGAGGGCTGAAGTCATCGTCTTCCTCGCACTTTATGAGCCCTGATCTTGATGTAAACTTCAACAAAGACTTTCGTGCAAAGAAAATTTTCAAGCTCAGAAATGTATTTATCGCGAAGAGGAAGATCCTGCGAAGCATTGAAACTCCTATAATGAAACACGTGACCTCCTGTTGCTTCAGACAGGGCCGCTAAGTAAATTAAATAATAACTTTTAATTAGAAAATCCGGTGGATGGAAGGCCTTTATCTCACCCAACAGGCTTAGAGTGGTTGAACCGGAGGAAACCAGAAATTGATCAATGGCGATACTTCTCTTTGAACAATTTTTTGAAAACAACAACAGAAAATCTTTAAGACTCTTATTTTATAGTTAATTGTAAGATAGAGCAGAGATATTATAACAATACATCGCCCATAGGAGAGCTGAAGAGATGATGAGATAACAAAATAATGCGACCTCCACTTTTCCTCTTGTTTTTTATAAATAATAAGAAATAAATAACATAGTAAATATAGTATTAACCAAGAGCTTAAAAGCAGCACTCAAGTAAGACTGCATTAGTACTCCATGTGATAAAGCAGAGTAATCTGATTCGACTAAATTTGAGCTGGAGCCGTATTTTTCTTTGCAAAGGTTTAATATATCCACAAGAATATTTTCAATAAAATGAGAACACTCCTCCCTCAAAATAAGAAGATCCTCTTTTGGAAAAGGGAGGAACGGGTCTACAAAAATATTCTTGTTTATAATTGTTTAGTACGGAATAAGTTTAAATTTTAGATAGTGCCTTCTAACTCTGGAGAGGTACATTTTTGCGGTCTAAGAAGGGACTCTTCGTAGCGGTAAAAATGAATCTGAGTTACATACATGTTAAGACAACTAGCAATTCAAGCTGTCTGCTATTTAAACTATGTAGCAATTATGATAACTGCTCCATTATTTATAATTATATCATAGATAACCTTGTATAACTCAAAACTATTATTAGTACCACTATAAATACATAAGCCCGTCATTTTACACTACATAACTTCAATGATTTTTGTATTTACCCTTAAAATTGCTTTTATACTTATTATTGATATAATATCACTTAATAGAAGTCATGATGCCCTTTCATGCATGCAAAACACGCCTATTTGGAATTTAAATACAGTATAAGAAAACTATTTTCATTGGGTTTATGTAGAGTTTCGATCTCCTGCACCCGTCAAGGCTTGCAAACATGCCCCCCAGAGCAATAAGCAGCAAATCCAAGAGGGCTTCCCGACGACCATGCACCACAATGGGCTAAAGGAAAAGGAAATGCATGATTAACACCACTTGTACGCGGCGAAAAAATACTTGAAAGGCTTGTTTAGCTCTTTAAAAAAAAAGATTTGAATGACTGAAGGCTGAAGCCCTTCCGAACTAGGGATTATATGCTATAAACTTTTAAGCTAGAAAAAAAAGCTTTTAAGTGAGAGCAAGATGGGCTGTTTAATTATTTATTAAGTAAATCTTTTATACCTCTACATAGGTTAATTTTTATAAAAGCTCCTAAGCATTATTAACCATTAACTGTTAAGGGCGATATTTCTCAAAGTTGTTAAATTAACTATAAAAATAATTTTTTGTAAAAGTAAATATAATAGTATTTAATAAAATTACAGAATATATATAAAAAATTGGAAAAAAAATTCTTTAACAAGAATTATAATAATTCCTAAGGGATGTAAAGAGCGTGCACCTGGTGGTCAAAAGTTATTATTGCAACACGAGTACGACAATCTCCTGGTAAAGAGTGAAGTTTTGAAATTAAACTAGATAAGGTGAGTTCAAGTACTCCTGTAAGACAAACTAATTAGAAATTTCAAGTTTACAAAAGTTTAGTCGTAGATAATTTCTGATCCAAGTATGTTTTCACACTTTAAAAATATAAGTAGTTACAACAATGTTATATAAAGTTGGTTATAACTACAATAACAAAAAAATGGTTTAACATTTTCATATGTGTATTTTTTTAAAAAAATCAAATTGTTAAATCAACTTATAACTTAAGAAGATAAGATACTAGAAATATAGTAAAGGACTACAAACAAGTTATTAATCATAAATATACCACTTTTGAAACTTTTTAAACTTGTATCAACTAGAAAAATATAACAAGCAGGTGAAGGTTCACGAGAGAATTGCACAAACTCTTCGGTTGCGTTAAACTCCACAAAAGCTTCGCGTAGGAGTATTAAATTTTTTGGGGGGACTACAACAGAAAAAAGCAATTTTATGATATAGTTCCTTCTGAAAAAAACCAAGAAAGTTTACTAATTTACCTTTATTTAGATTAAGACAGATGCTACAAGCCCAAGAACCATCGTTAATTGTAACAAAGGGGTTAATAAACGAACGGCAGAACTCACATCTTTCGGATTCTGAAAGCTCAATTTTACTAAAATTTACCTCCTTATTATTATTTAGTTAAGATTTTTTAAAAAAAGACCCTGATAATACCTCCGAAAAAGGACGTAAACTAAAAACAAAAGGTAAGTTAACGTCTCTATGAGTTTGAGGAAGTTGAGGCAGAATTCTGAAAGTAGATTTTAAAACATCCTTAAAAATATAAGAAGTCAAGGTAAACTTATAAAATTATAAAATATCCTCTAGAAAACTCACGTTTTTACCAGGTCCATTTCCAAGAGGCGAAAAATGGATTAAGTGGTACAAATTTACAGCATCTTTTTTATTTAAAGAAAAAAGATGTTCACTTGGCGTGTATAATTCGGGAAAAATATTTTTTTCCTGAAACAGGTAGTTTGTAGGACTAAGGGCGGATTGTGATGGAATAAAATTAGTTGAGTTTTGAAGCGAAAGAGAAGAGTTTGATAAAGTGCGTGAAAACGGTTGAGGTAAAGTATTTGTAGAACTGCATCCGTGTGATTCTGTAGAAACCGGTTCGTGTGATATATTGAAGGAATCTTTTGAAGTAAGCTCTGTAGTACACTTTTGCTGGCTAAATTTTAAGTCTATATAATCGTAAGGGTGCTGCATCTATACTGCATCTTAGCTAAGTACTGAGTTTAGAGAATCACAAGGAAACCACAGATTCGTTGAAAACACAAAACAACGTTGTATCGCCGGGCTCTTCAGCCTCTCAACAGTCACTACTCGTGAGTCTGTAAAGACTCCTGCTATCCATAAGTCCAGGATTGGTATTTATATTTCCATTGTATGAGTCTACTGTAAGTGAACGGGAGGCTCTTCGTTTTGTAGGTTATGATCAACTTAAATACAGCAGATTTTAATTATTTTCCTGGTTCTTTACTTATAGGTAAGGAAATGAAAAACTAACTTTATTAAAACAAGCCCAACTTTAAATTTTTTTTTTTTTTAATCGATAAAAAAAAAATGCTATTATAAAACGCGTTTCTTATAGTGATGAAAACCATAAATTTAAATAAGTTACTGATCCTCTTATGAAACCGCTTTTAAGCAATTAAAAAATCCGGCCCTTCTAAAGCGATGCTTTTAATTTGTAAAAAACTCAATACATAGTGCAGATATTTTTAATCTCACAACAAAGTTTGCAAAAAATGTTATATTACTCTTTTTATAGCAAATCCAACTTTTTTATAGGCTAATATAAAGTCTTCCCTTCTTAAAATTTCGCTGTGGCGTTAACAAAGATTGTCCTCTATAATCTAAGACTTACTCTAGACTTTAGGGAAGACCACGATTTTTTATTAATGGTTGTGTAAAGAATATTCCCACCTAAAATTAATTAATTATAAGTGGTTTTTTTTATTAGCAAAAATTTGAGAAAATTTCTCCCGGTTAAATAATTTTTGGTGCGGTTATTATTCTTCACAAGTTCTGCCGGCAAATGCTTAACAGACGTCATTCTTAATAGTTATATCTTCTTCTTATGCCTTCTCAAGTCCTCGCTGGGAGCTTAGTCTGTGCATGCAACACTATTACTATTATTCCCACGAAACCCGTTTTCTAAAAGAAATTTCTAGTTCACCAAAAGTTCAAAGAATGCCTTAGTGAATAATAAAAGCAAAGACTAACTACCTTAATTTTTCATCTGTTTAACTGTAAAGAAAAAACAATCAAAACAGCAAAATAAATTTATATCAAACTGCTTGTCCGTTACTTATATTTATTTACATTTTTATTATAATTTATAAGCTATAATCCTGTACTAACAAGACAAGGGGTCTTATAAGTTGCGCCCCATTACTTCCGAACTCACTTTAATATATTATCACCTCCATTTATTGCAAAGTAACCATTTCATTCAAAACGATCTGCTATGAAGGGATGCTTCAGCGCTTCGTTCACTGATATCCTTCTCGTTGGATCAATCGTTAAGCACTTATCAAGAAGATCGGAAAACTTCACTTCCCACTCCTTTACTATCGAATCAGAATATGCGTTTTTCCCGCCGGTCACCTACTCAGAGTTGCCACGGTCATTCTCAATCTGTATTCAGTGATTATAATATACCATCTCATGGATAGTGGGTCCACGTGGAATGGACGAGATGGCTCTTAAAACGTCCTTCTGTGTATTTTTGTCGAGCTCAAGTAACAGAAAATCGTTGTGTTCATCAAAAAATTCGCTGTAAAAACGATATTATTAGAGGAAGGTAGCACTAAAACGATTTATGACACTAAATGAAAAATATGATAACACGCAACTGTTTCAGTTGAGACTTCCTTAATAGTTTGTTAGGAATTCTTCCTCGCATTTTCTGAATGAGAAAAAGCATTTCGTTGTTAGTTTTGCCTGAAAAGTAATGTTAAGTAAAGAAGTTTTTTATATTTTGCAAAAAAGGCACCAGGAAACAGTACATTTCCGGTGTAAAGTTCGTATAAAGAACAAGCAACACTCCATAGATCCACGCCATAGTCATATGGATAACCAAGCATGACCTTCAAAAAGGGAAACGTGTTGGTGTGAAGAGTAGCAAAAAAAAAAAAAGGACCTCCGGGCAGCGATAAAAACGACTGACCAATAAAGGAGCAAGCTCAACATCTTCCACGTGAAGAGCTGACCCGAGATCGGCCAGCTTTAAAAACGACTTACGCTCATCAACCAGTATATTATCTTAATATTACGTTTAATATAGAAGACAAATAAGTTACAAGCGAAGCTTTAATAACTTAATAGGGGAGTTTACTCAAAAAAATGGGACCACTAAACGAGTCAATGTAGTTTCAGGAGCCCGTTAGGAGAGAAAAAAGTGCCCACTATATCTGAAAACTTATTAAAAAGCAGACCTGGCTTAATGTCCGCGTGAATGCACTTGACTCTTTTGAGCAGCTTCATCGCCAGAAAAAGCTGTTGTGCGTAAGACTTCACCGCTTTCATATGCAATCCAACCCCCTCACGAAGTTAAATTTATAAAAAAACTAACCTGCCCAACCACAATGTTACCTTTCCATACTTCTTTAAAACTTCTCTTAAATTCATACTCATGGCCTCAAAGACAATACAAAGATGGTTTCTGGATAAACATAAAAAGATAATTCTGATCCAGCAAACACAATATATGAAGTCTGCAAAGACCTGTGATAAAAGTGATGGAACATCCGAACAATATGGTGGCGGTCATGCTGATCAGCTTTGTTCAACGTCTCCAAGAATTGCAGCTCTTTAGTACCCGCTTTCTCCATATGTTCGTTATTTCTGATTATCTAACAAAAAAAAAAGTATTAGCAATCAACTTATAATAATACGCAGGTGTATTCAGCGGTGGCAAATAAATAACCTTAATGGCAACGTCTTTGTCGTCATTCCTTGTATCTCGTGCGCGAACAACTGTACTAAACACACCTTTACCAGAAACTCCGTACACCTACGAAAGGGAAGCAAAAATCAGTAGATAAGATAAAGACTAAACGAACATTGCGTACGTAATCACGCCAAAGTCAAAAACTCACCACATATCGATTGTCTAAAAGTTCGCTAGAACGAGTCCGATAATAACCTTCTGAATCGTCCCAGTTATCGCTTAATTGGATATCCGCATCTAGAAGTTGAATGCCGCTAGCTAAAAGTATAAAAAGAAGAAAAACAACAAGTTGTAATCTTCAAAAGAAAATAAACAAATTATTGTTTGAGTACTATTTAAGCTTTCATCTTTGTTTGTGTTGACCTCGAACGCATCATCTGCAAACATGTCTGGAAGAGTTTGGTTAATAACTTTTTCTATAGGCTGCAAGTCCTCATTGTATGTGGATGAGCCTAAGCTGTTAAGGTTGTTGTCAATAGAGGATGAGGAGCACTCGTGCGCGGGTTTACTAATTAGTTCTCTCATTTTTGAAACAGAGGCTTGATCATTTTGTTTAACTAATGACGCCTCCTTCTGAGAAGTATTTAACAGGGACTTAAGAAGCTCTTCTCTCTGTTTTCGACGTTTCTGTTAATAAAAATAATAATAACTTAGTTATATTCCTTAATAAAATTTGTCCTAATTTTAAACGGACAATAAATCGGAGACATATAGAGTAAAGACCTCAATGATAAGGTCCTCGTCTTCGGTCTCCAGCTGCTGTTCGACAGCATTCACATACCTTACTTCTTCTTCCCTTGACATTGAAACTGATAAAACAAGATGATTCTTATCAATAATCGTTCTTCTTGCTTCTGGGGCTCTTCCCCCACTGCCGCTTCTCTCTCGGTGACAATGTTTATCTCGTCTTCCTCCTGTGCTCCTTTCTTTATTACTTCTTTGGTCTTTATTGCTTTTAAAACTTTCCTCCTTTTTTCTACTATGAGATCGCTTTCTACTTCTTGTCCGGTACTGGCCTGCTCTACTTCGACTATGATGCCTGTAAGCAGTTCTATCCTTACTTCGACCACGCTCTCTGCTCCTGCTCCGTCGTTTGCTATTCCTAACTTCCCCAGTTCGCCCTCGGAAATTTTGTGATGCTTTATTTCTACTTTTTTCTATTTCTTTATGCCTAATTTCCCTATTAGCACTACTTTTCCGATGTTTCTTATGAACATTGCCTTTTTCTTCAGTTACATTATGTTCACGCAGTTTGATACTACTATCCTCGCTCTTCTTAACACTAGCTTCTTTATCTATTCCAACGTGTACACGCTTTCTCTCTTCAGTATACTCTTGAATATGGTCCCCTTCAACACTTTTATTATCCTTTTTTCGTTTTCTTTCTTCACTCTCAAAAAGTTCAGAATGACTGTCAATAGTCCGCAACTTTTCAAACGTATTATTATCAATATTCATTTTAGTACACGTCTCATTAGCTTTATCCTGATTAAGTGGTGTAATTCTACCCGAGCTTAACGTATCTTTATCAAAAGATTCTGCAAATTCACGAGTTGATTTATTGTCAACACTGGATGGTTTCAAAATAAAAGAAACTTTTACGGTATTAAAAGCGCCAGTGTTAGCCGCTTCTCTTCCTTCACTTTCCAAGAAAGAATCAGTATTTTCACCAATTTTGTTAAGGTTGGAGGGTGGTACAGTATCAACTTTAACAGTCTTATCGCTCTGGCGCCAACTATGACTTCTTTTCCTTTTCCCTTTTTTTTTCTTTTTGTAACTTTTTCTTCTGTGAGACTTGAGTCTCCCTGATATATGTAAATTACTCGAATCCCTCTTAGATTTACGATGTTTCCTTCTATGGTCAGCTCCCTTATTTTTGTCAGAATTTCTTAAACGATCGTCGGATTGTTTAGGGGGATTTTCACAAGTTAAAGAAGTGTCTTCAACTTCTGTTAGCTTAATTTCCCCTTCTTCTTTTTCACTAGAATACTCACCATCCTCTTTAAGATTATTATAATCCATTTTACAAGTGATGGAATCCGAGGCCATTACACTGCTAGTAACGACCTCTTTCTTAACAGTCTCAATTGTCATTATAGTTTTTAGTTATAATTCAAAAAATTAAGTTTAAACGCTGAGCAAATTAAAGATGAAAAAAACGTTAATTTCATTCATAATACATTAAAACGTACGACCTGGTATGTTTTGTTAAAATCAGTATAAAGTCACGAAAAGGTAAATTAGCGTGGCAGAGAAAGCCACATGCAGTAGGCAACTTAAAAGATTCTCAATTTTAAGCTTTGTAATATTCCGAAATTGTCACCCAGAGGTTAGTACTCACTTAGAAAATACTATCTCTATTAATGAATAAGAATAATAGTTTAGATAATTGAGATTTCTTTATTGGTATTCATATAATATTGGTATTAAGGCTGTTTTACTTGCTTATTATAAAAATGCTAAAGTAATTTTGGTCCTTCATGGGACATTATCGCGTTTTTTATCGTAAGGAGGCTTTATACTTTTTTTAAGAAGGATTTCTGTCGGGTATAAGGGTAACATAACTTTAACTATTATGTATTTTTTTTCCTAATTTTACAAAGCGTTTGTAGTTATGGTAGTTATTAAATTTTTTAAGCTATAATTGCAGCAATAAGTTGCTATACGCACAGAATGAAAGCGTTTGAACGAATGATCATAAAGGCTATTAGTTGTAAAACAAAATCATGTTGAAAACTTTTACAAAAGATGCTTTATATATTCGTTTTTAATTTATCAATTATGTAATTTATTATTATTTGTGTTAGATGGCAATTATTGAAAAATTGTTTGTTTGCTGATGAATAATCAAAATAGCAAGTGTTTAGTAATCTAAGGCATATATTTATTAACGTTTAATATTAAAATAGCATGCAAGACGTGACATTAAAGTTTACTTTGAAACTAATTGGTTAAAGTAACAGATAGAACTTTTTAGAAAGGGTGCATTAATTCTACGTAACTTTTATTTCTTTGTGCCATTACCATGAGCAATAAGTAACTTTAACTAGATATAATGAAATTTCGCCGAGGACACGGTGTTGTTTATTTTCCGCTTAATCAGATTTCCCAAGAGGAATTAGGAGACGAATGCCCTGAGTGCATCCTCCATAAAAAATATCAGGTAACATAGTTACAGTTCAATATATGATTTTTGGTTTAACTGTGACTTATCTACAGGTTTAAAGGAAGGAACTCGTAGAACAGCTGCAGAAATAGAAGGTGTCACTGTCATTCAATAAATGATGAACATGGTAGTGTTGACACCAATCAACAATACCAAAAAACATAGACTACGGTATTTTTAGGTTTCGTTTCAAGCGCCCTAAGTACCGATTACATTAGAATTTCTGTACCGAGCACTTCCGGAATTGAACACTTGGACAATTTTTTTTTAAAACAATTTGACAATAACTAGGCTGATTCGATAGATGTGGAAGAAGGGAAGGATTTCATCTGATTGTGACGATGCGAAATTCAGGAAAAGGAATGTGTTAAAAAAAAACATTAGTACATGTAACTAAAGATAAAAGGGGTTCATAAATTCAAGTAAACGAATAAGGGAGCAGAAATTGCAAGAAACAGCGTTACAGAAAACTGCTGTTAATTTAAGAGGAAGGAGCCATTAAAAGGTGAATTAAGACTAATTAGGTCACCTTGTAAAGAAAACAGAAATTTAGAAGGAGAATTTAAGCACTATAAGAAAAAGTGGAGCGCGTTAGAAACTGCAAAGCTTTAGCAAGTTGCCAATTAATTGCAAAGAGGGCTTCGACGAAGCGACTAGAGATTCTTTGTTTAAGGATATTGATCGCTTGAAAAATTTAATGGCAGTGGTAAGACTTGAAGCTCTAAATACCCCTTAGAATGAGAAAACCCAAAACTGAATATGCAAGGGGAAGGCAAACGAAAAAAAAAAATTATTGGTAACTGCTCTTACCATATGCGTATTAACGGTGAATTGCGTTGCATATGTGAAGGCTGTTTTTTAGACTATAGGCAAACTGATATTTTATGACAAATGTTTCAAAAAAAACTTTTTCTTTGACATAACCCATCAAGATAAAAGTGCTCAACTGCAATTAGCAAATAAAACGCTAGAAGTTGACTAGAAATTAATTAAAGAACACATAAAGGCGTTATCATCTTATGAAATACATCATTGTCGTCCACAGACCAGTTAAAGGTATCCACCTGCACACTACACACTAAACAAAAGATGTGAAGAGCACAAAATTTTCCTTTCAACTGATAAGAAAAATGTTTGTAGGAGAAAATATACGTATCTATTTTTCCTTTTATAAAAAAGAAGATAAAAGCCCCAAGCAAAGGTACATGTCCGAAAAAGAAAGAAAGGGGGGATAGACGAGCCACAATTTTTTTATATAGGCATTAGCATACTAAGGCCGGCCTTCGTGAGAGATTTTAATCCGCTTAATCTAAATTTTGGTTGGGACAAGAGTACCACAGAGTACGAGCTATTATGACTGTCCCGAAGGACTGGAAAAGCAGTAGATTTTCTTCAGGTCTCCCAAGGTAAAAACCACCGACCGGGAGAGGCAGCCTTAGGCACAAGACCCAAGGCCTTCAGGAGACGCCGGCCCGCACCACTGCCAGCTATGACATCTCACCCAGATAGGAGAAGCTTTTTGCACACACATGTTTTATTTGATACAATGTATATATACTATACATAGTAATGCAATTAATTTGAATGCTACCTTATAAGCTCAATTATTCAAAGTTTAAATCCGTGCTGTAAGTTAACTAAATTCTATACAATATATGATTAGAAAACGGTCACAGATGCACGTGACTTATGGCGCAAGAAGAAGGCTAACTCTGGATCTGAGTAAAGCAGTTGATGACAGAGTAGAAGAGAAAGCTAACTAAACCCACCAGCGGGACCACGAAATTAATCAATGCTAGTACCAATGAGGTTTGAGTTTGAATTAGCGTTCGTGGGCATCGGCAAGGATATCGGTCAGTATGTTATGATGATTTGTAGGTATTTTATTAGATAAAATTCAGTCTGTAAGGTGACCACCGAATCTAATCTGGTTTTGCAATTTTAATAAATAGGCGAAAAAAGGTAATTCACGCGTCATTGACCTCCTTTGTTGATATAACTACATTCGTACTGCCTTCTAGCATTCAGGTGTACTGTATATTATAAAACATGAAAACAATTCGCAGTTGGTAAAGTTCTTTATTAAGAATACAAAAGTAAGGTAAGGAATTCATCACAGTGGGAGTTAAAAATTTTTTTTCCTTTTTTCATGAGATGAATTTACCAAAAATTAATTTAAAGAGATGTTAGGAAGAAGAGTGAAGAAATAATAAGAATAGAATTTGCAGAGACAAGAATAACTTTTTAAAAATACCTCAACATAAGTTAAACGGAACTTAGAATAGAAATATTTTGGTGATTTAAAATAAACATATTAAAAAATATTTAGGAGTAAGAAGAATGAATTTAAAAGTCTCAAAGCTTAAAGCAATAATATAGAACACAAGAAACAATCGTTACGCAATTTTTAAAAATATCTGGGCACTTGAAAGAGAAGACACTTTTATAGGGTTGCTGTTATGTACATACAAAATGTTTATTTCGTTAAAATATAACGTGGTTATCAGATTGGTGTGTTAGCTTTTAAAAGTAATTTTGCGTCAATTGAGTTGACGCTGGAAGTAATGCTGCGTTAAGTAATAAACAGAATTTTGATAATTCAATAAAATACTCAAAAAAAGTATAATAGATAACTTACAATTTAGAGGAAAGGTTGCTGGCCTTTTTTATTTTAATTTAATGATAGTTTGAGTATATTTTTAGTTACAAACCTAGACCTCTTTTTAATTTAATCTAAAATTTTATTTTTATTAACGCGCTATGGAATTCTTTAATATAGCTCTACTTTAACCGTTTATCAAACAAAAAATTTTATTTTCATTTAACATTAAAAATTCTATAGATGCCCTATTGCGAAACTTATTGTTTTTGGGCTAATAATTAGTTAGAAATACGTTAAAATGGTATCTACTTTGGGTGCTTCAAAGTATTATAAGGATTGGATATTTAAACTTATTAGATTACTTTTTACCAAACAACCGCAATAAGCGTGAATATAACGTAAAAATCATCGCCTAGCTTTATTTTTTCGTGTGTCCGCTCATGTCGTCAGGTGATGGGTCTCGATAAACCTTTTGTTATTTTAAAGTATTTTTAAGTTACATCTGCTTATATGTGCTTTATATGTCTACAGCTATAAATGACTACAATTCTCAATTAGTTACTGTGAAAACTACAGAAGATGTGAAAGTGGGATTGAAAGCATTGGTTACTGGGGCTAGTGTAATACTAGAAATGACGACAGGGGGTAGACGATTGTATTCTATGTTATATCTTTCTAATATATAACTGTCTTTCTTGAAGTGTATTTTTGTTCTTACAGTAAGGTTTAATAAGTAAACCTAAGTAATTTGTTATAACTTTTGAATTTCTTAATTTATAATTTCCGTGGTGCAATATTAATTTAATAGGCTTGTTTATGGAAAATGTTAAGATGGAGAAGCAGAGAACTTCTGAACCCTATCCATTCATATGTAGAAATATTTTATCGCAGGTTATTAGCTAACTTTATACTATATAACTTATCGAGATCTTTAAATTTAAAAAAATTACTTCGACTCATTTTTTGTATAAGGGGATCAGAGGATTTGAGGCCGGCTTGTGGCCTTGGGGCTTCATCTTAGGACTTGTAAAGGGATCTGTTTTGGGTGGCTCTAAGGCTTATTTTGATACTGTGTATCGAGACTTTGTTACTGATAAGAAAAAGGCTGCTTTGGCCGCTGGATTTTCTGCTGGTGCCATTCAAGGTACCAATTATTTTTATCACATCCGACTTTTTTTCTAGTACGTAACTATTCTTATTTTAGTGTACCCCGAATCTCTATATAAATTTTTTAATCATAACTTTAACCTCATTTTTACTTCAGCGCCCCTTTTCTGTCTATTATAATATGTTATTACTATTACAGGTCTGTTTATGTCTCCCATCTTGTTAGCACGGACGCGCGTTAACCAAAGCATAAGCGAGAGGGCTATTAGTGGCGTTCGCGCCATGTCCGTGTGGGAGGAAATGAAGTTTTCTCAATCGATATTATATGAAGGAGTAAAGCGTGATGGTTACTTATTATATATATATATTTGTAGCTTTTAATGTTTCTAGCTAAAATACTGATAATATTTACTTTGACTTTCATTTTTCAATGTTTTTATATGTAAATTGCTATATCGTTTATAATAATTTAAGAAATAAATAGTTATATATTAAAGTAATCTACCTTAGTATGATGATGATTTATTATTTTGTTAATGTTTTGTTATAAAATTCTTCTGTATAACTATTTTTAATAAACATGCTTACTGGGTTGAATAAAATACATAACATTTACGTGTCGTTTCCCATTTATGTTTTATTTGTTTTTTTTTTGGTATGATTATTTACCACTTAACCCATTATGAAGCTTGAGTATTCATTGACATTGAATGGTTGTTTGTCAAATGAAAGCTCTTAATCAATTGGCTCATATTTTTTCAGCGTAAAATTTTCAATAACATTGCATACGATCCCGCAGGCTTATGAAAAACAGTATAAAAACCTTATTTTCCCTATTTGTAGCTTGTCTGTGATTATTTCGTGGCCAATAGAAGATTCTATTAATTTATTTTTAATTTTTTATTGATTCTTCATTCTCAGTCCTTACTATGCTTGGCTAGATATATGTGGTCTAATTTTTTATTATTATTGGTCAATAAGATTTACACAAAACTTTTTGTAATGAACTTATCTTTATAATAGCTATTAAGAAAAATTTAAATATTAGTTTAAATTATTGGTCGATCTGTTTACCGTTTATAAACTTTAATTTTTTAGTAGTACATTTTTGTTAGAAGTTTAAAAAATACATGAAATAGTAATTAATTATTATAACTAGAAAGTTATTGGATAAACCTCTGCTCCATATTTATATTTTTATTACTATGGAACATTATTTTACTTTAAAGTTCTTTTTTATGTTAATTATAATATAAACTACTTGTGCTTTTAGTAGGTAATAAGAAATTTAATTGTTTTCCACAAAGGCATCAAAATGTTAGCCACGGGAATGCCCACGTGCGTGTTCAAGCGTTCTATGGACTGGGGGACTCGCTTTTTTTTCATAGACTGGTAATCTTATAGAACTGTTTAAATAATATTTAAGAATTAATCATCATTTTTTAGGATCCGTAAAAGCGTTAAAGACTATTCAGGAAACGACCAAATGAGCAACGCACAACAGTTGCTGACGTCTTTCGCCGGCGGGGCGGCCTCCGTCACGGTCACCATGCCAATCGATAGGTATGAGTTAAACCTTCTTCCCCGCTTATGGTGGCCACTAACGAGGAAGCGCGCGAGAAGGCTCATGCCTGTGATCCAGGCGGCCACCAAGGGCAGCATCCCCGTTACACGTGTTTTAATGGACAAGTTTAGGAAGGAGGGGGTATCAACATTTCAACGGTATTAATTGCTAAGAAAGTTAACTTCGTACAGAACACATGTTCGAATGACTATAACTACTGCAGGGGGTGGACCATGAGGACGCTGCACACGGGATATCACACCATGTTCGCCACTTTTGTGTCCGATAAGATTTATAAGATAATAAACGAATCATAGTGCCATACACCCCTGGAAAGGGTCCCTCATTTGAAAAGCTAACTTTATATATAAAGCACAAGCAATACTTCAATTTTTTTTTAATCTGGCTTTTTATAATTTTGGACGTAGTAATTCATTGTGTAAAAAAATATTGTTATATATTATATAGATTGGTGGCCTCGATATTTTCGTCGACTTTTATAAAAAGGGATAAATTTCAGCATATTTAAATAGTAATACAAAAAAGATCAACTTTTTTCTAAGTAGGTAATTAAGTGGTAAAAGTTTTGCATTTTTTAAATTAATCCGGACTTTAGCTGTTATATACGACCACCTTTGCAGCGGATTTCATTGGTTGAGAGTGATCCCAATTGTTATCTTTATGGTTTCATATTACACCACTTAAATTTTTTTATTATGTTTTTGCTTTAAATAACTAGTTATATTGTTTTCTTATGTATTTGCGTGTCGATTAAGACCTATATATTTGTATGAGAGGAATTGCTCTCTTAAGTTTTTATCGCTTTTTAGAGTTGGAGTATTCATTGCAATGATCTTGCACGTGATCTCGCTCTCTCCTCCCCCCCCTTCGTGCAAATTGCTTTAGAATTGGACGAAATTTTCATGCTCACTCCACCATAGGGAGGTTTTATTAAAGCGTTTAAGACTATTAAGGATAGCTTGTTAAGAGATCTTAATTTAAGAATGCGTAAACTTTTTATCGATAAAGAAATTGATGTAAATGCCTTTAGACTACAAGCCTTACACTGAAATCGCTTGTGAATGTAGTGTCTGGTGTTAAAAAGGTTACATCATCCCGGGTCAAAGCTCATATGCTCCAACCTTCCTTGCAATGAACCTGGGGGTTCAAGATCTTGACAAACCGGAATAGAGCTCCACTTGTACGACAAGTGACATCGGGTGCAATTGAATCTGCTCAGAAAGCTTTAAAAGTCATAGAAACAACATTAGATAAACCAGTTTCAAGATCGACAATACAAAAAAAAAAGTTAAAAAACCCGCTTTTCCACACTTACAAGCAACTAACATTAGAGTTTGCAAAGAACGAGATTTGTTCATTTCTGACTGGAAAAAGGTTCAGATGGTATTAAAATGGTGTTGGAAGCGATCCAGCGTTAATCGAATTCTCCTGCGCAAACCTATAAACATGAGGGGTGGGGGGGGGGGGGGGGGGGAAGAGCGATTATTTTTGGTCCTGTAAAACATCTGAGGGGGTCGGATATTCGGAAAAGTGACAGGGAACATCATCGCAAGTACGTAGTTATAGACATAATTAAGGACTCACCCAGAGCAGGGCCTAGAACTTGGTATATAGTTTTTTAGAAGGATAATGTCTCATGTCACACTTCACTATCGATGCAATTATGGCTCCAATTCCAGTCGTTACAAGTGCTAGACTGCCCTCCGCAATTGCCTGATCTCAGTCCCATTGAGCATTCATGGGGAATCTTGAAGAGAAAATTGGGGTCATACGAATCGGCTCCTGCTAACTTGGACGAGCTTTGGCGACGTGTACAATTAGAATATAAAAATATAACACCGGATCGATGCTACAATCTGATTGCCAGCATGCCAAAGAAGATAAAAGTAGCGATTCTGGCAGAAGGGGGCTATACTAACTACGAAAACCTCATTTATTAAAATAAATTTATATTACTTGCAAAATTGTTTCTATAGGCTCTCAACCTTACAAGCTCATCTTTTCGAGCATTCGTCCAATATAAGATCAAGGATTAACCAAATGTAGCTAGAACATAGAGAAAGGTTATTATATATATTAAATGTAAAATACAAGACATTAAAACAGTTTTAAACTGTAGTGTAGAATAGTGTATTGCCTTTGACGAAATCCCCACTCAATCCCCTTTTTAAGGTCGTGGCGCATGAAAAGTAAAGAAAATCGTGTCATCTTTACCATCACTGGATGTACAGATAAGAGAACGCTAACTTAAGCCTGTTTCCTGGGGTTCATTGTTTATAAATGATACTCAATGCAAAACTAACCAGTCTTTCCCTCGCCATCTTTTAACTCAATCCTTCAGGCCCCATATTCTGTACCATGAGCTTTTTTTCGCTCGGGTACAAAACACTCTGTATAACTATATGTTTTTAAAAATCACACCGCTTATGTCGAGGTTGTTTAATATTTGTCTTAAGAAAACTCTTGTCGAAGTTATAAAGTAAGAGGAACGTTCCCATAAAATAAAAGATAAGAGTCTTGGAAACATTCCTAGAAGCTTCGATAAATTTTCAACGTGCTGCAATAAAGTTGTTTTAAGATAAAACTGACAAACGGCAGCCGTAGTATTTGCATTTCATTTATAAGTAGAAGATATGAAGTTTTATACACATCTCCCTTTTAACGATAGCCCGGGCTTTAAGGTGCCAAGGGTAGTGAACGCGGTCTTTTGTTAGGATGCAACATAAGGAGTATATAATATGGGTGAAAGAGAGAAAGCAGGAAGCAAGTTACTCGACTCCAGAACCGTCAGTAAATATGGAGTTACTGAAAAATAAAAAGGATATTCGGAAACTTATCAAAAATATGTAAATGAAACATTAAATCTGATAAACCGCATCTTAACAGTGTGTCCCTCGAAAAATAATTCTTTTGCCATAAGAGATATTTGATAAAAACGGGACAGCTAACAGTTTTGCAGAGAAGTCGGTTAAACCAAATATTACATCTTCCGGCTAACCTAACTCATTGAAGAATCCAATAGGCTAATAGGTTAAGAAGCCAAAACAGAGAGTTAGAGAAACTCAATATCTCCGTCCAATTCAATTTACTCCTGTGGCAAACCTCAGGGATCATGTAAAGAAAGGTAAAGATGTAATCCACAATAACATATACCTTGCATCTAACCCTTAATTTTACTTTGAGTATATGGTTAACTTCATAACTATGGTTTATGATATTTACTTATCCCATAATAAGCAACGTAATAGGAATTCCCTTGATAAGAAAATTAAAATTTATTTATTTTTAAAAAGACTCCAACTGATTTTTGATAATAGAATCGATAATCTTACTTTCCATCCCAACCAAGGAGACTTCGATGGAAATTGTAAAATGGCTACACTTTAAACTCTGACCGCTTCCTTCGAAACTTCCTTCATCCTTAAGCCTTTTTTTTCACTAGAGGAAATATCTTGACGATAATAAAATCATTTGTTCTTTAGGCTACGAATCTCAATATATGTACTTCTTTAAAAAACCAGGATTCTCTGTGGAATACCTTGTTAAAGGTGATAAGAACACGTAAATTTTTATAGTAACTACTATGAAGGGTTATCATGTTAAGGCGTAACTATCTCTTCATCTTTATAGTCAAACTTTACCGGCAGTTACAAGGAATTCCTATGGGAAATCTTGCAGCGTCAGCTTTGACCGCCTTTTATTTAGCACACTGTGAAATCCACTATTTCATAGATTCAGAGCATATATTTAGTTTTACAAAAGTTATATGGATAATACATAGCTTATATGGGATACTAAGTTGTACAAATAACGGATTTCATTACCCATGTGTCCTAATGTACTAAGCTAAACTTGACACTAGATGTATATCAAAATGTTAACTTTCTGAGTCTACATCTTAAAAAGGAGTTCCATAAGTTCGTCTGCAAAGTCAATGGAAAGCAACTCAATTTATATTTATATACAGCCTTGAACAGTATCATACGAGTACAACGAAAAATTATATTGCGGGTTTAGCATGCAGGTATAAACTGCTTTGTATCAGGGGGAATCCTTAATCCTTATAAAGGTTCTTTATGAAAGACTTATGAAAAGAGGATACCAAAAAAACATTGAGCAAACCACCAAAACTTTATGTACAGGCAAAATAAACGATTCCAAATATTTAATCACTTTAAAATTCACTATGTCCGCGAACACCTTGATGGCGACCACTCACTATTCGTTTGTAGAGGCGTGTTTCCTATAAGCGGTGGATTTATAATACTCTTATGTTCTCTACTTTTTAACAAACAATCATACTTGTTATTCATAAAAAGCATTATAGAACGCTTCGACGGGCTAAAAAAATCACAATGAAGTTTATTTAAATATTAATAATTGTCTAAAGGTTAGAATCATCCTTCTCTTCTGCTTTAAGCTTTTGCATGGACTTAAAAGTTTCAAGACAGTCAATAAAGTTATTATCTTTTTCGGAAAAAATAATGCCTATATTTTTTTGAAAATCATCCCTAAAGCAACATAATTTCTTCATTAATATTATTGAGAAATTTCAAAGGAATAAATTTAAGTAAAAAACGTATAGATAATCTTCCGCATTGTATAAGCAATGAATGAATTATAAAAGCTACCACTCGTTTTCATCCTCAAATGAGAGCACTTCTTTTACAAACTGCACAGCTATGACTGGCCGATAACTAATTACATTAAAACTTGCTACCACTACAATTATAAAACGGAAGTATATGTAACACTCACGCGCTCATCATAGCTTTCATGGCTTTCTTACGTTCAGGAAATGCGAACGCATCGAAAAGATACTAGTGGTTAAAAAAAATTATAATCATCCAACGAAAGAAGAGGAAGAGAGGCCAACAAACGACTTACGATGCCCATGTTAGGGGTCTTGGTGTAGAGCTTGAACAAGGCGTGATAATCTCCTATGCAAAACATCGGTACAATGAAACAATAGAAGAGCAAAGAATCGAAAACCAGCAGACACATGCGCGCGGCAAGCTAAGGCATGCTGGACAGCCGGGTCGTCCGCCAGGTCTTCCGGTATGTTAATAAGCAATTTCAACGCGGCTATACGAGTGGCACGTCATGAGCATGAGCTGCTAAAAGGCTTGTGTATTGTAGACGAACCAGAAATAGAATTGGTGTAGATGAGGTAAAGGATGTTGTAAGCAAGAAATTCTGCGTAGTGACCAGCAATTCCTTCCTGGTAGAGTTGCTTTAACTGGATTTGGCATTGGTTGAACTCTAAATAGTCGCACTGTAATTTATATAAGTAACGAAATATTAACAATAATAAACAGAATACAAGCTGAAAAGTATCAATAATGACCTGTTCTAACGCGATTCTGGCGTGCGTCTCGTATGTCATCACCGTAAATTCATTTCTAATTGCTTGAACCTAAAAAAAATTCTAATGCTATTAACCTTCAAAGAAATGAAAAAAAGGGGGCCCGCTATTGTACCGTGAGATCCTGCCGAATGGACTTCAGCTGCTCACACGTGCTTAAATACTGCTCAGAAGTGTTGGAACTGTTTTTGTATTTTTCTTTTACCTTAAAAGTTATGAAAAAAAAATCATTATAATAGCAACCAAAAAAAAGGTAAAAGTTAATTATAAAAAATACTAATTTCAAGGATTCCTTTAAAACGGAAAGCGGCCTGACCGAGGCCGGATCAGGGGCCTTCATAATTATTATCATAAATTATTTATTCTCATTGTTACTGATATCATTATTATTTATTTATTATTTTCGGAAGCAAAAAAACCGAAGTAAGTCTCAAGTATTTCTTTTCGAGTTCAATACAACTACCAGTAATGTGCGCCTATTATAGCGTATTTATGGTAGTAAATAAATATGCAAAGTTCATAAAAGAACAGTACTTCTTTCCAGTCGAGGTTGCTATCCAAAGGAGTTTCGGGATTTTCTGTGAAAAGCGCGAGTCGTAATTGGCTCTGCTGCGCTGTTATTAACATATACAAAAATATAATGAACTTAATATTAAGATAAAAATGTGAGGAGCCCTGTTTAGCTATAACAAACTAACAAGAGCAATATCATTGGTTTACAGTGCAAAGTGAAGACTATATCAGGTTATGAAAGTGACCCGCAAGTTCATGCAGTGAACACAATTATAAATAATTTAGTAAAAATCACTAAAAATCGACAAAAGTTACAAAAATATACATAAAAGTCTGTAAAAAAAAAAGTGACTATCAGCTCACCTTCTAGCTTTTGCTGGTAGCTCTGATGCTCGCTTAAAAAGCGCTGAGCCCGAGATTCGATGTTCTGCAAAACTTCTTGATCAAAAATAATTTCGTTCTTTTCTTTTGTTTTCAAAACTTGAAAATATTAAGTAAAAAGTTTTAGGAAAGTATTATTATTTATAATAAACTTTTTCTTTAAGATAAATAAAGAAAAAAATTAACAGTAATAACAAGCAAGCGGGTTTCATCTCCTATATAATAATAAAAGATAGAAATCTACTGTGTTAATAAAGAGTATTATTCATAAATAAAAATGCTCACAGGGATAAGAATATTCCAGAATATAAATAAAAGTTCTCTATAATAGCAAATGTAACTTTTTAACAGGATAAATATAAATAGATTCTAAATAATGAAAATCCACCATAATAGTCATATATAATAGTGAAAGAAAAAAAAAAGGAAACCCGCGTTTTTTTTCTTTTTGGACTTCCTCCCCTTCCCGCCTTTTCCAAACTTATTTTTTTCCAGCGACACTTCGCTGTGTGCGATGCGTATAAAAAGTTAATATAAGTTTTATAACTATACGAAACCACCTCATAATAATGTTATCATTTTCAAAGTTTTTATGTCTGTGGGGCCCGGCAACAATTTTTCCTTTGCTATTAGTACTATCGTTACGCTTAAAATTTCTCTGCCTATTTTTAAATAAATATATATTAAAAAAAGAAAAAAAATTAGTATTTTCAAATAAACCAGAACAAAGAGTTCCTAAAAATATAACGAAGCAAATTTTTTAACCGAGAAAATAACATGTAAGTAATTAAAAAAAGAAGATATCAAGTTAGTACTAATATCCCAAGCCTGACGCTCTTAAAAAATCTTGCAATATTTATAATGAAATAAATAAACACGAATTATTATGTATAAAAATTATAAACACGTGAAGTTTTCACTGATCTATAAAAATTTTATTTCAAACAAGTAAAGCCCCACCTCCAGAAAAAAAGCACATCATAAAAAAACTTGTCAGCTTTGCCAAAAAACGGCAGTGCATAATAATAACTAAATAATAATTATTAAATATTTTGAAGTTAATAAAAAAATTACTTCATAACTTTTTAAAAATCCCTAAAAAAAGAAAATAATAATGAATTAAAGTTTGTTATAAATAAGCCTTAACCCTTATAAAAATAAAATATTGTATTCATAATATTATGAAAACCTTAACGAATCAATAGACGGGATTGGTAGCCTTTGCCATTGAATTTTATTTATACTTCCGGAACAATGAGCGTCGAGAATGAGTCCTTTGAGGTGCTCTTGCACGATGTCCCGATCCTCATCATTCACACAGTGCGAAAAAGCACGTGTGATATAGTTCCTTGAAAAATAATTATAAAATAGCAACTTTTTTAATGAAAAGGACTAAACTGAACAGTAAATCCGAAAATAATATAAAAACACGTCAAAAGAAGAGAAAATTAATTATAACAAATTTAAATCAGAGAGTGAAGATTATGGCTAAAAGAAAACTTTAAAGTAAAGAATCTACAAATAAACAAAGGTAGAGTAATTTGTAACAAAACAATTACTTTTTCTTCCAATTTAAGCATTTAATAACTATATTGAAGCAAAATATAATAGTCCATAAAAAAAATACGTATTTAAAATTTAAAATGCAGCCCAAGAACGACGGTACAATAAATCGCACTAAAAATCTTTTCAGTTTTATTAAATTAAAGGAGTACAAGCTTTTTAACAAAAATAAAAAATTTCAACATCGTTATTATATTATCTAATTAACAGTAAATTTCCTTATAATATTATATTTAGTAAAAAACGTACTTTATAAAATTTACAAATTTTCAAAAATTCAAACCATAAAGAATAGAATATAATTTAAAAAATCAATAAGCAAAACTTTCTAAAGCACACTTATAAGATTGAGGGTGCTGCCAAAAGAAAGAGCGAGTCGCAAGAAAAGAGATGCACCAAAGTTTAGATTAAAATTTTGTTAGACTTGTAACGCAACAATAAAACGAAAACAATTTGCTTATCTCGAAACCAAAAATCAAATTCAATTTTCATAGTATAAAATAATCTTTTACTTTCAACTTATGGGGGTGATTAATTTGTTTTAATTATATTCTTATAAAAGTTAGCCAAAACGTTTTAAGATCGTAAACAAATTTATTATAAAAGAAAATTCTCTTTACTGATAATATGTAATAAATAGCTTTTAAAATTATAATTAGATTTTAAAAAAACAAAATAAAAAACTAATTAAAAATATTTAAGGCTTAGTAAAGTTAATTATATAAAACACAAACTCTAATATAAAATTGTAGGCGCCCCTATAACTAAAAAAACAGAAGCTTACAATAAACTACTAATTATTTAAAATTCTAAAAGTTTTATAAAACTGAAACGATAACGACATTTTCTTTTTCTAACAAAAAAATTTAAAGATTCTTTTAATTTTAAAGAAAGTTTGAAGATTTTATTATTTTTTTAATAATATATATAATTGTTTTATTTTCTAAACAAAATTCAACAGTTTAATAAATAATATCTCGACTAAAATTTTTTTTTAAAAAATTTTCGTGAAGTAAACACTTACTGCAAAGACTTAGGCAAACCGCTTGCATTATCGATAAAGGAAGAGCTGTAGAAGTAAGACAGCAATTAATAAAACAACTAAATGTTGAACTAAAATAATAAAAATACTCAACTTATACAAAATTGCTTTAATTTTTCTTTCTTACAATAATAAATTTATAATTTATAAAAAAAATTCATAAAGCTTCTTTAACTCCACAAGCAAAACTTAAAACAAATAAATTTCAAAACCAACTTATTTTTAAAAGTAAATAAACCGTTAACAATAAGTAATCCAATATAAACTAACATTAAAAATTCCAAGATGAGAATATAACAGGTCTAAAGAAAACTACAAACGCAAATAAAATCTTCAACTTTTACATAATTATAAAAGTTTTTCTATAACTCATAAAATTAAAAAAGAGATTACGGGGTATTTTTCCCCTTAAAATTGTTTTCTGTGGACTCTTCTCCACATCGATCCACAGTATACAAGGCTGAAGGAGTAGTCGGGACAGTTGCGATTTCCGCTGAGCTGTTCAGTGAAGGAGAGAATTGTTTTGGTTTTGGAGGCCAAGTGAGCTTAGTTGCCTGCTCTACCCCAGAAGTGAAGGAAGTGAGTTTAGTTGAAGCCGTGTTGCTAGGGGAACTGTGCTGTGCGTTTTGTGATAAGGGAGAAATCAAGGATGAATAATAAGAAAATTGAGGTAGTGAAGAATAATTAGTGGGATAATATTGCTGATAGCCTTGTGGATTAGGAACTGTGTAATAAGGATATTGCAGATTCTGAAGGTTGAACCCTGGAACCAAAAATTGTGCTATGATAAGAAAATGTTTACTCGAGAGGTAGCAATAATAAAAGGAACCCTGTTGCTGATAAAAAGATTGCCACTGCTGCCACTGATACCACTGAGACCAGTCAGTCTGGAACGTACTCCCTGCTGGCTGGGAAGATGGAAGTGGCTGCGAACTTGCTAAGGGAGGCTGCTGAGGCGGAGGAGTTATTGAGGAAGACGCTTTATTATCGTCTAAATTAAAAAAAGAAATTAATAAGGGGTATACATATATAGCTAAAACCAAAGCTAACTGTACTCCAAAAAGAGTCAAGTATCTAAAAGGCTAAGGAAAAGTGTGTTTCTAAAATTATTCTACTCTAGTAAAAATAAATTTCGTAGTTCAAGTTTAAGTAAAACACACTACACACTACCTACCCAAAATAAAAATATCCTGAAAGTTGTAATATGTGTATTTGAAACACAAAAAAAAAAAAGTAGAAGTAATAAACATATGTATTACAAGGATTATTAGAAGGCGGTAGATTCTCTGAGGACTGTAAGTGCTGTCCGAAGCTAATAGCAAATAAGACCGTGAACTTGTATATAATTTAATAAAAAGCGTACCTATCCATAAATAAACTTTATTTTTTCACTAGTTACACGGTTAGACCAAAAAAAAGTCATGTACAACACCAAAATGTTATTACAGTACTCCCCCCCGCATAGCAAAAATCCAATCAATCCTGCTGAGTAATAAAAGCCAATGGGAAATATAAACTCTAGAAATCTTTTTGTTGGTTAAAATTTAGACACGATGTGCGCTCTGCTGGCATTCCTTAACCGTAAAGCGCTAATACTCGTTCTCTTCGTGCCGAGTATGTCTTTTGTTATAAACTTATTAAATAGGAAGGTTTCATATAAGTTCAAAAGGAAAAGTGTATTTTAGGGTTAATTGAATTATTTTTAATTTAACAGGTGTGTAGGTCACAAAAAATTAGTCGTGTATTGATTAAACTTTAATTTTAACCCAATATATATGTTGTTTTTAAGACTTGAAAAGTATATATCGGAACTAAAGCTTCCGTGTAAAGAGTATGAAATTAAAACTGAAACGTTACTGTTTAGTAACGTTTGCTTTTGTATTTTTTTTGTCTATCCTAGTGAACTTCATGTTGGGGGTACAATATTTTTAAAGCGTTTTACTTAATTTATGGAAGGTAGCCTTAAAAAAGAAAGTGGTCTACTGTTACCCACTGGCTACTAAAGTCTAAAAAAGTTACTTCTCCGCTTTATCAAAGTTCAAAATTTGTATAAAAAGGTGGTCTTTGGTGCACGCATCCTCCACACCCTTAGACTTTACAGTTTGAATAGCAGGGCATTATATTTATTAGACAAAAGTTAAGTCATTACTATAACCGCTGTTTATTTAGAAATTAAAGGTTATTGAAATAAAGCATTCCTTTTTGCTTATAAGCTTGATCTCCTTTTATGCTAAGGCATAAATAATAAGTAATATTAAAGGCGGATGAAGAACGGAAGTAGATAGTCTAATAGATAAGCGAAGCTTAATACCTTTTTATCGACTTCCCAAGATCAAACTTGAAAACGAATTTGTTTATGGGGATTATTTAGATTTTAGCGCCGTGTTAGAGAAGCCTTTTATATAAAGTTTACTAACTAAGCACGTCATTAAAGTTTCTTTATGTTGACGGACAACTTCTTTATTCATTATTGAGTTATTATAACAAAAATAATTTCGAGTTGCTCTGCAACTAATTTTAAATGGAAGGCATTCACAGAATTTTTAAACCAATATTACATCAACTTTCTCGTAAATTTTAAGTCAGCCCAATTTTATTACGCAAGTGGTTTAAACATTTAAAATATTGTAACATATAGTAATAAAATAGAAGTTTATATAAAAAAAGGGAAAGGTCTGGTGGAAAAAAGTTTATTTTAAATTTACAATTTGTGTAGTACAAACCTAGATTCAAGCAACGTTTTCGCTTTCGCCATGTTTTTCGATTCTGTGCTTCTTGACTTCCATCATAACGTGATGTCGATTGATAAGTTCGTTTTTCAAAGAAATCTCATTAAACGGCTTCTTATTCATAATATCGAGGAATCTCTACATTTTTAAAGATAGTAAGATTAAAAAAAAATTCAATCTAATATAATCTTTATAATTGTTTAAATGCGAAGCCTTGAACTGAAAAAAAAAGTTAGTTTCAAAGTTTATAAATTGTTAAAAAATTTAATGTTAGTGAGTACGAGTGAATTAATTATATAACGCTTCCGAATCTTCCCTCCTAATTTGATCTAAAACTTGAGCAAACGAAGCCTAATATGCTGGTAGTTTGTAAAAAGCTACAGCAGTATAATACTTGCTCTCTACAATCATGCAGCTTTACAGGTTTACTTGCTCTAACGTTTATAATAAAATTTATTTTTATATATTAATACAAAATTTTTATAGAATGTAAAGAGCAATATCCTTTTAAATAAAAATATTTATATACTATTTATTAAAAAATTTTAGTAAAAGAGATTGCCGGTCTCAAATTAGTATAAATTTATTAAAGCTTTGGTGAAAATATACTTCAATATTCTATAAGTATGTTAAAATTTACAACAACAACAAAACCAAAATGATAGTTTCATTGAAGGTCAATAAACTAAACAGAAGTTTTATATCAACGCTTTTATAATAGAATTAATTCGGTTAAAACTAATTTTATTTTATAATTTTATTGAAGTTTGCAAAATTAATAAACAGATGCACAAAAGTATTAAAAATTTGTTTAATTTTTTACGAATGCCCTTTTTAAAACTAAATATATATAATATAATAAAAGAAGCTTTTTCGTTTTGTTAAAGAAAAGATACTAACAAAAAAAGGAAATAATTCAGGACATTTAGAATATATACCATTTAAAATTGTAATATATATTTTTTTAATTGATAAAATTACTATAAAATATTTTTAGAAGTCATTAATTGACCTCGCAAGATTAATAATATTCCTCTATAATCAAAAGAAATCTATAAAACAGCAAACCTGGTAATAATAGAGTAGTGCCGTTAAAGCGCTGTGCAAGATTTCTGTGCCTAGAAAAAAATATAATAATATATATATAAACTAATAATAAATTTTTCAATGTGGTTTTTATAAATTATAGTAAAAATAATTTTAATTTAAAATCCAAATTTTTTTATGTACATCCTAAGAAATTTTAATAGCAAAAAACAAATTCTAGCTGATGAAAGTAAAAAAAAATAGTTTCAATAAATAATGACAGCCACTTTATAGATGAATTTAAATTTGAAAAAAAAAATAATTAAATGCTGTAAATTTTTAATGGTATAGAGTAAAGTATATCAGGGAAGAAGTCTATGGATCTAAAAAAAGGCAAGCGTGATAGGCTTAAAAAATACTGCAAAAGTTTGAATTAAAGAAAAAAGATTGTTCTCGAGAAGTATTAAAGGGTTTTATTAATTTATGCAAGAAACATAAATTATATAATAAAAGAACTAAATAAGCTTCCAAAAGAAAATCTATATATGTATAAAAAAGATCTTCACTTGACCGTAGAAAGCCACTGACTTCGTAGATTAGCAAAAATGTAAAACACTTTTAATTTAGTTTAATTGTAAGGATTTACCAGTTTTTGGACGCGTAAAGGATTTAATGACGTCATCTTTAATAAATTCCAACGCATCTTTCCACACCGAAGAAAATCCCTCAATTATATGTTCGATCATTTCTATAAATAATAATAATTGTAAAAAAACTATAACGCCATAACAATAATAAAAAATAAAAACACGTCAAAACTAGCCAACCACGATAAGTACGCCGTGAGCCTACACAATAGCTATCACACACAGTCTAACACAACTAACCAATAATATTGTAGTAATAAGAAAAGGACATTAACATTTTTATTTATTAGTTGCGAAAAAGCCTAAAAGATTTTTATTGCTTTCTTTGGAATACACGTGTTAATTGCGACAAAAAAAACACTAACTTGCACTATGTTCTTTGCGTATTTTCTTTCCCAACATACCTTTATCCAATTCAATCTCCTCTTTTCGGGATAAAAGAGGTTCCGTTTCAATGACGAAGGTAATCATTGGCCCAAAAAAAGGGCGGAGAACTTCATCGACGTACTTCTGAATAATAAGAATATTTTAGTACAATTTCTTTAAGAACAAAATAGGTGGGAATCTTAAGTTCACTGAATGTTTTAGTATACTTTTACATTCTTTTTAAGAGGCAAATCACGTGACACTAAACTTGAATTGTTCTGTTCAAAATTAAACTAAAGCGCTCCAGCTCACGTGATGGGTTCTGCATCCAGTTCTGTTTCTATTATTATTATTATTATTCCTCCTATACCCCATTATTTGCTTCCTAATAATTTTACCTCGAATGCTGTTATAATTGTATTACAGTTGTTTATTATAAAAGTGAACTTCTCTTTTTTTTTGCGTACTACTCTATACATTCTCTTCAAGCATTGCTCAAATTCAGAACTCATTCTCATCAACAACTGGTCAATCTGCAATTTGTTCATTATTTATAATGAAAAAAAAAACTATTACAAAAAAGGGTTAAAGGTTAATAACCTCTAATGTTAATATTTATGCTTAGTAGTAAATCACTATAATTTCTGAGATGCCCAAATGTTGGAAGCGCGTAAATTAAAGGCCGGTCAGCATTAAAAAATATTAAACACGTGCCAAATGCCTTGTGATGTGTATTATTGGTTCATATAAACAAAAAAAGCGCGCACTTTTAAGTTCTTTATATTAATGAATTAAAAAAATGTTTTTTTTATTAACGCCTTAATTATCTTTACAGGCGCTTTCCAACTTAAAAAGCTGAAAACACGTGGTTAGTAAGCTTCGTTATTTTTAATATTAATATACATGGAAGGTGAATGTACATGATAAATCCTTTGAAATATTCCATAATAAACTGAACTACAATTAAATTTTTCGCATAACCATCGGATAAATTTATAATAAATAAAATTACTGCGATTTTCTTAAATAAATACCCCACCATATATATCAGTAATCAAGGAAGAACACTAGCCTGCTGGTCGTTCCAACCTTCATTGATTGCCGCTAGCGATGCGATAAAATTTGCAAATCTTTCAGTGATCTTTTGATTTTCAACAAATTAAATAACGCTAAAAATATTAATATATATATTTTTCCCCAACAATTTGGGGTTCTGTAGAGTTCGGCTTCATTTTGTGAGTGTCAAAAGTTTTAATGCTGTCAACATTCATGTTGAGCAGTTCTTTGGCTCGCGGCCAAATAAGCTGAACTATTATAAAAAAACTTTATCATTTTTTGTTGAGTTAACTATTGTTACAAATTCGAGGCGAAGTTGTTGTTTTTCCAAAGCGGGGATTTTTCTTATTTGCAAAACTCTTAAAAACTTTTGAAGTACTCTAATGCACAGTAATGCGCCAAAAACATCAAAAGAGTCTTTAAAATAAGAGTCTAACTTTTCCTATGACATATAATAAAAAAATAAACTTTTTCATTAGAATAAAATATTCCTTAATTTTAAAAATCGCACAACATACCGCCAAAAAATCAATGGTTTTACTGAAGATGGAATTAAAAATATTCAGAGCGCTGCTATTTTTGGAGTTGAAAAATTCTAAAAAAAAATATTATTCAAAAGTCGAAAGTTTTTTAATGACAACCAAAAAGTTTGTGTATCCATATAAGGAAGGCGAAACCTAGTACAAAAAGAAACTCTGCACTGGCATTGTCCACCAATATATAATCCAATGACCGAAGAAGTTCCTTATACATTAAATAAAATTAATTCTTATTGGTTGTTAATAATAATAGTACAAAAAAAAAGAGTGAATATACTTTTTAAAGTATTATAATATGATTAGTTAGTAAAAACAGTAATAAAAAAATGAATAAGTGTATAACGATGTTCCGTTGAGAGCTTAATTTTTTTTTTATTGATTCTTCGTTATTATTAATGGCATATAAACCCCAACACGTTCATTCCGACCAACCATTGCTTTATATTTAAAAAAGTTCCTCATACGCGTTACATAAAGGGCTTTACATATAAAATAACGACTCAACAAATAATTTTGAGTAGATTATTAAAACCGTACAGATAATGCAAAGATTGTAAACAAGTTAAACTTTCTGATGAAAAGTAAAAGTGGTTTATAGACCGATAGGGACATATAAAAGTTTTATTTATAAGGTGGTCTGTTCTTTTTGTATATTAATTGTTTTATAAATAGAACAAGAATAGTAATATAAATAAAAAAGGTATTATAAATTTAATGAAAAGGATGAGTTCAAACGAACTTTACGATAAAATAATGAAACTAAAAAACTTATATAGTTAGAAAAAATAAGGTGGAATAGTTGGACATAAATGAATAGTAATTAATGAAGTAAAAAAAACTTCAATAAAAAACTTCAACAAGAAAAGAGATATTACAACACATGAATTTATAATAAAGAAAATAAAACAATTAAAATAACAGTAATATGGAAAAATTGAACTGTACTTCAAAGTAATATTTTTGATTGGCTTTCTCGGCAACGTGAGGGATAATTACCGGCTTTTCCAATTCGTCCAGGCATTTAAGCCTTTCCCCAATCAAAAAAAAATTAGGCTCCTAATATATTTTTATAAAGAAAAGCAATAAATATTATTATTAAAAGTTTTATAAAATTATGAAAAAATAGTTATTAGTCTATTATTTCTACATATTATTAGTTTCAAAAATAAAGATTTGTATACAATAATAATAAAATAATAATTTAAATTCATAACAATTTGAGAAGGTCGAGTCGCTGAAAAAGGAATTTTTGAATATTCAAAGTGACCAATCAGATAGTCCTTTTCTGGTGTTTCAAGCTTGTGTAGATTTTTTTTATTAAAAAAGTGTTATCGTTCAACTAATGACAAACTGTAAAAATTTAAGGCAATTCCGTTAAACTGCTGAAAAACTGTAAAGTTTTTTATAAATTTTTTCGTAGTAACATAATATTTTTTATAAAGCTATAAAAAAAACTCTAATAAAACTTTTTATTAGAAAAACTATAAGTTATTTAATAAAATAATGAAGCGAACTAGTATTTTTGGCGCCGTTATATCAAATAAACGTTTCAACAAGCTTTTATAAAATAATAATTAGAAAAAAAGTTATTAGAATATAACAAAAAATTTTACAAAAAATAATCGTTGATAAGACGACTAACAAAAATATTTTTGTAGTAAATAAATAAAAAATACTTCAACTAGTAAACATTTAATAAAATTACATTTAGTTTTATTAAGCTCTGAAAATAATGACGAAAAAAACTCAAAAATATTTTCTGCATTGTTTCAATATATATCAAGCAAACTTCCTGAGAGGAGGTGCGGCCATGCTGCTTCAAAAACTATAGAATAATAAGGATAAAGTTTACTGACACGTGCCGCTATACGAAATAAAAATAAAATTCCAAAAAATCTTTACGAAATTCGTTGAGTAGTAAAAAATTCATAAAAAAGTCTTTATCAAATTAAAAAACCTTGAAGAAATATTTGTTGGGTAACAAAAAGCTTTGTTGGTACATTTGAACATTTGTGTTCGGCTTTCTAAGTCCGTAAATACGTTGAAGCAAAAATTCTCGAACCTTCTCGACGGCCTGTATTGGTAATAAAAATATACTTTTATTATAAATAATAATAATGAGCCCTTAAGATAAATAAATAACGAATAAAAGATCTTTCTTTTTTAGAATACTTTCATACGAAGAGAATCCAAGCTTGGCTGCGCATCGCACTTACAAAGATAATCCTTTTCGCTTTTGTTTTGAAAAAATTCAATTCTCTCGTCCAGTTTTAATAAATATTGCATGTACGTCTCGTTTACTTCGCTTTCACATATACAGCTGTGAAAGAAGACCAGATTAATTTAAATGCAGAAGAATGAATTTCGTACTTTTGCATAAGTTTATAATAGTAAAAGTTATTGTATCCATTACGATAACACTTATAAAGAAGAAAAAGAAATAAATAAGAGTAAACTTTACGTTCTGGCTAAATAATTTTGGATTAAGTTATGATAATTTAAAACAACCAGGTTACTTTATAGATAAATAAAAAAATTTACTCAGCTATTTAAAAACATACTAAACTCCTTATATAAAAAGAATCACGTAAATTTTCTAAAGTGGATCTACATATTAATATTTATAACATAATCTTTATAGTAAAATACTTAATCATATCTGGTGGCATCAAAGAATTACTTATAAAAGAGTAAATTTGATCATAAACTCCCTTGCAAAGTCGTAATAAATGAATATATAATAGAAAATTAAAAACAATTTACTCTTCGGTTAACTAATTTGGTGTTCAAGGAGAGCGATTGCGTCTGCAAGGTCTGAATTTTAAAACTAATTTCTCCTAAATTGCTCTGAAACTGACCTTATATAATAATTAGTAGAATGTACGTGCAATGAAGGTTTTAATCAGAGTGACGCACAGCGAGCATTATTCTTTTATAAACCATCAAAATTCGTTTATTTTGCAAAAAAAAAAAAATTAAATTATTGCGATAATTTTTTTAAAAACAGTTAATTTTGGTACAAAACGTTATTTAAAAAGTAGATTATGATTAAGATGAATCACTAATTAAAAGTGAACGAAAGGTAAAAATTGAGCAACGGAAGGAATATGCTTGAAAAATAAAAAAAAATGAAAGTGCCTACGGCTGCAAGCTTTAAATTTTCTAGATTTAAAATTATTAAAAGCTTCATGACAAGACTTATAAATCTGCCTCTACTATACGGCCTGCCTATTTACATTCATAATTAATAAAAAATTATAGTACTCGTAAAAAAAATATTATTTAAATTTTAACAGTAATAACTAGAAAACTATTATGTAAACCCAAAAGCTGTTCGGCGTCTTCTAATAGTTGTTCGCAATTTTTGATCTGAAAATGAAGAGAAGCAATTTTTGAACTTTCTCTTGCATCTGTGTAGTTATGTATAAAGGGAATTAAATAAAATTATGAGTTAATTAATAATTTACTTCGCTTCAGGGTAAAAACACCAGTACAACTAGACTCTGAAGTGTTAGTAAATTTTTAACTTAAGAATTTAAATTCTTATATCATATATAAAAAGTTAAAAAGTCAAATTTATTTTTTTAATAGAGATATTTAATAAATTTAAGTGAGCTTACAATCCAAGACAGAATCTTTTTGAACATTCTCTAAAGCTTCTTCGATTTCGCGTGCATAAACTCTCAAATCAAGCCCCTTGTTTTTAATTTGAAACTTATACTAAATAATTGAGTTAAACGCAAAGACCTGTGCTAGGGCTTCTTTTACCAACTCATCCTCTAAATTTTCTTGAATATGAACTAGGGAAAAAATGTGAATTATAGTGGCTGATAAATAAATTTAAACTAATTGGAACTATTAGTACTTAATTAAAAATAAAAAAAGAGAAATTTAAAAGATAGTAAAAGATATAAGAGACTATCCACTGCGTCAAATAAGTTATCTTCCTTAGTTATTTCTAGCTCAGTTAAGTCAACCTCTAAAGGCTTCTTTTCAAGAAGTATTATATTAATATTTATTAATAAAAGATGTAAACAAAATTAGTGATGCCCGATTTTAATGAATACTAAAGAACCTTGCCATTCAGATCATTATAGTTTGAAAATTTCTGTAAGGCACCATTGTTCTATATAATAGTAAATGTAATTATATAAAATAGATGAATAGTCTTATCATGTAATATTACAGTCATAGCTTTGAGGAGAATACTGCCACTAGAATAAAAATTTCATAGCTATCTGTAAAAAAACATCAGCTTGGTTCTACACAACCCTTAAGAGGCAAATATTACTTTTTAATGAGTCCAGCGCGAAACCAGTAAAGGCAATAAGAGATTAAAATAATTTTAGTATTTTACTACAATATTTTTATTATTAGGTTTTCATGAAAAATAGGTAATATAAATATAACTTTAGTATCTAAACGAAGAGTTAGCATATGATATGAGTTAATATAACTTAAATATTTTAGAGAACATAAACCGCTCAAATCAACAAAATTAAGAATAACATTCGTGTATTAAACTTATTGAGAATAACTAATTATATGAGCTTATTATAAGGAGGTAATTGGGGATAATAACCAAGATAGGTAGACAAAAATTAAAAGATTATGCCCATTATCGAAGACATTTAAGTTTTAATTGGTTTTTTTCTTTACGATGTCCTGCACCAAGTTTAAGGAAAACTTATTTAACCCTTCGTTAGTGTGCTGGAAGATAAAGGTACCATTATTATTGATAGGTATTTAGCGTATAATCTTCTCAATATATTGGAATAAGTTTTGTACCTGTATCAGGAAAAACTATAATTAAGTTATATACCTACATTATCAGATACGCCATCAAATGCAGTGAACGAATGAAACCAAAACTGGAGTAGGGTTGTTGTCTTTTTTATTTTAGGGCTAATCAATATTTCTAAACGGTCGTAGTATTTCTTATGTGAATAAGTTTTAAAGATGCCTCGGTAGTCAATTTTTTGGAGGCTTAAAACCCTAGTAAAATTGCTATGATGTATTTTTTAAATTAAAAGACTGTGAAAGGTAATTAATTAAAGCCATTTCTTCTAAAAAATGTATCATAGCATTCCAGCTGCGTTTTTAACCTCCAAGATTACAACCGAGGGATCTTTAAAACACTTCTGGTCAAGCTTAAGCCTAAAATAAGATAATAAATATGGGATTCACAGTAGATGAAAATTTGAAAACTAATGTGAACCTCCCGACTGAAAAATACAACTCGAAGCTCATTTAAACAGAAAGTAAGCAATCGAGGCTCTGTTTAATTCTAAGGATGAAAGCAATAGCATGGGATGTGTTAATAGGTACTCTTAACAAAAGTTTATTTTATATTGTCAAAACGGTCTATAACACCATAACTTAGTATACACGACAATTAAAACAATTTAAAACCCAATATTCGGAAAACAAAAAAAACAAATAAAAAAATAAAAAAATAAACGTAAATTACAAAAAACATGTATAATACATTAAAGTATAAAGTACACAACCATAAAACAAACAAACACAAAACACTAACCCTCTAAATTTGCGCAGGAAAATGATCCATGATTAATCCAATCAGAATCGAGAAACAACCAATAAAAAAACAAGAAAAGAAAAATTAAATTTCAACAAAAAATTTAATTTGATATACCTTATTAATTGGAAACAAACTAAACAAAGTAAAATTTTATCTGGTTCAATTAAATTTATTGTACATATATGGAAGCGTATTTCAACCTTTTGTAAAGGTTATAAATAAGAACGAAATGGTCAGTAAGAGTATCCTCCTTGATTTTGATATACTTCCTTTATACAGTTCTTTACACACAATTTTTTTTTTGATAGTTCATGTTAAAAAGTTACAAATGGAATCCGAAAAAAAAGGTATAGATGTAAATGGGGTAAGTTATTAGGGGATGCCATAAAGGCAAAGTTAAACGCAAAAGTTCCCACCCCAAAATTGGCACTAGAACGCGGACTACTGGAATTTACATTAAAGCCAAATTAAAAATGTCCTCTCTACAAGACCGTCTGAACGCCCTAGTAGGAAGACTGAACATGTATCTACTAACAGAAACATTTCAGATGTATTAAAAAAATTGACAGACTTATTAATGCACTACCAAATTAAATGTGGATTTTGTTTAAAAAGTCACTAATGCAACGAAATATGGTTGGAAGTAACTTAGATAATAATTCAGTAGTGCGCTTAGCGGAAACCAAAGAATTCATTAACGCGCTGAACGGTAGCAACCTAAATGAGAAAAAGCCCAAAGGGCTAAAATGAACAAATTTTTAACTCGCGGGAAAGCGAATCATTTAACAGAAAACTGTTTATTTTAATAAAAAAAAAAAAAGTAGAGATTGCTTTGGGTGCGAGAGAAACGGTCATAAGGAGAAAAACTGCTTTTATATAGATAAAGATTGTTATCAGTGCGGTAAAGTAGGACACCGGAATTCATGCAAATCTAAAAATCGTATAGGTCATTTGAATAATGTCAGTTGGGCGGCAACTTCAAAGAGCAAAAGCTTTAATGTCACCAAACAATTGTTAACGTTATCAAGACACACGGCCTTCCCATGATGAGCATATCTTGACTCGGGGGAAAGTTGTCACGTGGTAAACGTTGTTAATCTTATGAAAAATATGAACCCCACAAGTGAACCTGTCCAGAGGTTGTCCGAATGCACCAAAGCTGTGGGAGTGCGTTCCTTATACAACGGACAGACTTACTTTTACCTAACTCCAAACCAACATTATAAGAGTTGGCAAAATATGTGACAACAACAGTGTCATTGTTGAGGACAAAAAAGCTATGATTATTTAAATGGGCCACAATCTTGATCAATCACTAGTAAAATTACCAATGAAAACTGTTGCCCCTCAGCAAAATGGAATGTATTACATGAACTGTGAGAGAATAGTGATGGTAAAGTCTAAATTGGAACGGAACTTTTGCCTTCATGGCCCCTATACCCAATCCTTTGGTGGCGCAGTATGGTCCGAACGATAGTTTGCAAAAGGACTCGTTTTGTCTAGGTCCTCTTTGAAAGACATAAAATCGACGTCCATTCTCCCGTAGAGTAGTTCTTGGATGATATCTTGGGTATCTGTAACTAAGTAAAAAAAAATCCACACGGATAATGGTACCGAATTTAAATCTAAGGTATGGAAAGATATATTTGTATGAGAGGGATTTGTCCAACATATAGAGTACCCAACACACCTTCTCTTAATCCAATTGCAGAAAAATTTAACGGTTTGTTAAAAAAGATGACCAAGGCAACGCTACTTGGGTCGAAACTATCATACGAATTTTGGGGTGAAGGCATGAATTACGCTGCGCTAATTTTAAATTAAACTTCAGAGGCGTGGGAAAGTTTTTTTAACCTAATTTAACAAAACTTAGGAGATTTGGGGCTATCGTTTATTTTCTTAATCTAAAAAAAGGGCCCTAAATGTATTTTATTAGGTCCGGTTATAAATGCGTGCGGAAACTGCTTTTGTATTTTTAACTTAAAACCAGGACTTATTGAGAGTAGAAGTTTTCATGAAGTTTGAGGAGCATTAGAAAACACTCCAGCGGTGTATAGCACACCTTTTACGCAAATTAATTTGGACGAGGATTTCGAAAATGACGACCTAAGTTTCCGGAAGACTTGTTTGAGAAGAGGAGCGCCGGGGGAACAATGACAATTGACTGTGATCAAGATTGAACCAATGTCCATAAGAACCAAACTTATAGATGAATCTGGCTAGAATATTTACGTCGAGTCCGAGTCCGACGTGAGTCTAATGCCACTAGAGAAGAAAGTAATTGCGGAGACAATAGTGGGGCTAAGCTTTGCAGAAATCAACCAGTGTGAGTCCAATTTGGTTGCAACGCCCCCCGCAGATGGTGTAGTGGTTCAAAAATTAGAAAAGTTAAGAGGAAAAGGTACTAAGTTACCTTCGATGATGGAGAAAGTATAAACGATGTACGGGATTACGAAATGCGACATCTTGTCATGCCCGTGAATGATGAAGGAATTTACTCCATTCCCAAAGATGCTCATGGGGCACTGAAGGATAAAAATGGTTCGGGGCTATGGAGAAGAATTCTTTTCCCTAAAAAATAAAACCTGGAGCTAGTCCCAATTCAAAAAGATGCAGAGCTCAAAGACACTACATATTCATTTAGAATTAAAGAAAATGGTTCTTTCACAATAAGAAGTTGCTTTAGAGGCTTCACGCAAGTTCATGGATTAGAATATCACGAGTTCTCGAGCCCTGTCGCTTCGAAAGAAAGCACGAGATTGTTAATTGTTATGGCGCACCACCAGAATTTTCATCAACTGCAGTTTGACATCAACAATGCATACATATACGCATCTATCGATGTTAAATTATTAATTAAACTACCCGTTACCGTCCATCTAGTTTATAGCGGTAATATCGAAGGCCTGTGCTTATCCCTTAATAAAGCATTGTATGGGACCTAGCAAGGAGGGCACCTGTGGTACGAACTAATAACAAAAAAATTGAAAGAAGTTGGGTTCCAGCAATCAGCAGTGGAGCCTTGTGTCCTATGCATACATTAACAACTACTACCTCAATTATTATGCACTTCTTTAAGTAGATGACCTATGCATTCTTACAAGCGGTGTTAATAAATAAAGAGACATGATCAAATCCATTGGTTTCGAGTATAAAGAGGTCACATCTAACTCCTTTGAGGGCCTCAGTATTAGAGAAGATGACGAGAAGATAATATTTGCTCAAGAAGGTATGACACTTAAAATTTTGGAGTATAGGCTTACAGATGCTAGACCTGCCCTTTGCCCAATGAGCAACTCACCCCTTTAAAAACTTACTACCATTTCCTATAGCTGCCTTTATAAAGAAATCTTAGGGTCACTTTATTTGTCGAACGGGACTAGGTTTGATATAGCTACCGCAGTAAACGAACGCGCTCAATCACAACTGCTTACGACGTAAGGTCATTGGGGCGCAACCAAACAAATTTTAAGGTACTTAAGCGGAACCAGCTTCTTAAAATTAGTAGCCAGAAGATACAAAAGCTTAAAAGTTGCTAATATTTCCAGATGCAAGCTATGCTTCTGAGTATAATATGAGAGGTCGTACTAGAATACACAAATGTATAAATGATTGCCCCATAGTTTAAGGACTGAAAGGGCAGTCTGTTTTAGCTTTGTCCTCTGCAGAGGCCGAGTATATCACCATAACATCGTG